TTTACAGAACATTAGAAATAGATCAGATCGTGACTATGTGAAGCATCTGGAAAACTCGTTGGACCATGAGAAACAAAATCTAAATTTCTTCAAGTTCATAAATTGATTTTACACCACTTCTGGCCCGAATAATGATTCAGTACAATAAGAAGTTACAATTCTACTCATTTCTATAATCAAGTTGGAGTGAAATGCGATTATAAATACACAAATCAAACTTTGAATTTACAGAAATGTTAGAATACGCTTACCCGTTCAGACAAAATTGAGAGCAATGGCGGACAATGCGTTCTACGTCACATGACGATATTACTTGGAAACACGATCGATCCGTAATCGCGTCGTATGACGACTTGGTAGTTCCCTTGACAATTTGCCATATAAGGTAATAAAGGCGGTCTTTAGGTCACGTGACCGATCCACTGGCGATTGCCCGGAATAAGGTACAAAGAATCCCACTTCGTGGGGGGTCTTTGTAAAAAGAATCCCACTTCGTGGGGGGTCTTTGTAAAAAGAATCCCACTTCGTGGGGGGTCTTTGTAAAAACGTCACACTTTTGACAAGTATTTTCTCAAATGTCTATAAAGTAGCCTAAAGGTAAAATTATCAGGTTGTAACAATATGTAAAAGATCGGTGACATATTAGGTGAGAATTGACAAATTCAAAAATGCATGTCAACAAATCCAAAATCGATGGAAAGCCATTTATTTCAGTCTAAAAGAACCTTCAAGCAGAAATGCTCTTGTGCATTTTTCATCAATATCGCCTCCCATGACATAATTATCCAATCCTTTAATGCATGTTGTATGCAGTGCATCTCTGTTTAAAAGTCAATTTACAGTGAGTAACATGATTTTAACTCAAGCCTTTGATGGTTGATCTTCCAACCAAGCCTTTCACTTTAAATCTGTTCTCAATGGTAGCCCTATCACTTCTCACTAAATGCATTTGTTTATCCCTCAAAACTGAAATCTTGGACAGAACATATTTTGCAATCAGAGAACAGTGAAACAAATCAATAAACCTGACACACAGACAAGCTGTTTTTTAAACTAAAACTGATTGACAGATTCTATTACCCGATAACAGGTACAAACCCTATGGAAGTTTGATTGCGCGGCTTTGATATTGGATTTGTTACATGCATTTTTGAATTAGTCAATTCCCAAAGAATATGTCACCGATTTTTTTCATATTGTCACAACTTGTTACTCTTACCCTTAGGCTACTTTATAAGAATTTTCAAAAGATTTGAGACATTACTTGCTGGGAATACTTGTCAAAAAGTGTGACGTTTTTTAGGACACCCGATATATATTATTTTATACAGTATATATCATTGTTTACAAGTAAGTGTGATATATTTTTGTGTTACTAGATCATAGAAATATACCCTACACCGATTCAGTTAATGAACGATTGTGAAGAGGGAGAGAGCTACTGCAGTGGTTTCAGTAACTTTCTGCACAAGGGGCAGATGAAAAAAACAAGAGGCGCCATTCAAAACAACCAATTTTACACTCCCGGAAATGCAAATACTTGTCCATGGACAGAAAGTGGACAAATGAACAAGGGCATGGACAGGCTTTGCCAAAAATGATATAAAATTCTGATGTACATTATATTTCAAAGACAATGTATCTGAAATACAATATCATTGTACAGTCAATCAAAGTTTTGAACTTTGAATCCTAATAAGAGGTGATTTAGAAGATGTCCAGGATTTTACTTTTTGCAGGTTTGTCAAAGTCATTTCCCCGTGTGATATTGGGTCAATTGGATTGACCAAAAGACATGGGCTACACAAATGACACCTTGAACTGTGGAATGACTATGGCAACTTATATGGAATGTCATTTACCTTTTTTGAAATAACTTCCCCTTACATAGGGTGCAGTTTACAAATTCAAATGCATCTGCTATAGAATGCATCCTGTGAACATATATAACTTGCATCGAAACTTAAGGTATCTGCTAACTTTACAATCCCCATGTAGAGTTTGAAAACATCTTTTTTCATATATTTACTATTTATCATTACTTAAAAAATGATTTAAGAGATTTTTGTAAAAAAAATTTGAAATGAAAGTTGTCAGCTTTTCATTTCTTAAATTCCGAATTTCCCGCAATTTTTCAAATAAAGTTGACCTTTTTTAATCATCAAATATTTCACTATACAGTGCAAGAACATATTATCTTTTTAACAACAATATAAAGATTGAACAAAGGACCCACTATTTCAATAATAGAATGTCATATCTGATGTGCCAATTCAATGTTTTAGCATATTGAAAATATTTTGCAACCTAAGTGACCTCATCGTGACATCATTTAGGTGGCAACATTTCTCCATGTCTATCTTTTTCTATGCTAAACTAAGAAATAAACCAATGTTGACTGTCTAACCAGGTTAAAAGGATGAATATATTATGTTTTTATAATTATCACCATTGGTTTCTGTGGGTACTAAAATTTCGAAATGCATTTGTCCTGAACCACTTTCATCCATGAATGAGTTTATTGCTCGCTTATTTATCAACCAATTTTCTTAATTTTGTCGGCAAAAAACAAATGAGGATGAATGCTATGCATTGGTGTGGATTATGTGTTAGTGTAACCTCTAAAAGTTAGATTTTAATAAATTCACGATATTTTGAACAAACGGTCCTTCAAAAAACATTTTTGAAATCAATAAAAAGTTTCACATTTCACACTTTGATAATATTTGATAAGCCAAAGTTTTTATTGGACCTTTAACTGATTAATACAATTTTACACCCATTGAAAGATGTATTGTGACTGGTTGAACATAGTTGTACATGTATTAATCATACATTTATTTGCATGCCCCATGGAAAATAAGGTACAAATCATAAACAAGGAAGTGAAAAATAAGATCGCTAAATCAAATAAAGGATAGTCTATAGAAGACTTTTAGTTTCCCCCAAACTTAGACAATATTTGGCTTCTGACAAACGGCGAATTATCGAAAACAAACGGCGATTTTAGGCCCTCGCCCCCTGCTATTGAAAGCCCAGTACTGTAAAGAACAAAATACATAAGGAACACAGCCTACCTGTCTTAATCAACAAGTGTGTTTTAAATGTTTATTAGATTTTCTTATTGTTCACACAATGGGTATCATGTCTTGCAACGTGACAGTGTAAATACGAGTATTTGTCTAATAGAGACAAAAATAATTGAAACTAAAAATACGTAGTGCTACGTAAAATTCATTTATGATTCATATGCTCATTTAGCTGTAAGTTACTTGCTTGTTGCATAACAAATGGTAACAAAATAGATATGTTTGTTGCGGTTAATTTATTAGCACTTTATATATGTTTATCAGGCATTTATTAAATACCAAAATCAATGTTTTTTTTACTTTGCAGATCTGCCCCCACCCCTAACCGTTAGTGTAATTCTCGATAACCTAACCGTTTTAGGGTTAATAAAAAAAAGAACATTGAACAGTTATTTCAATTATATTGAAATGTTCACGACATTATCAACGACCTTGTAAGTAAAATTGTTGTCAAAGCATTTTATTCTAGTTATTATAGACTTGGATTGATGATGTAAAGTATACTACATATTTGCTATATCATATTACTTTTTCGTTTTACTATTGAATCAGTTTTAAATCGTTTCTTTATTGGATTCATCTCGATGAAAATAAATTGTTTTCAAGAGACCAATAAATTACTATTATTATTGTTAGTATACATTATTAGATCAAATGGTTAACACATTTGCCGTGCTAATGAAACACATCCTGATCCTAGCTCTCATATACACATCCCACCAATCCTTACTCGTCTGTCTGTCTGTCTGTCTGTCTGTCTGTCTGTCTGTCTGTCTGTCTGTCTGTCTGTCTGTCTGTCTGTCTGTCTGTCTGTCTGTCTGTCTGTCTGTCTGTCTGTCTGTCTGTCTGTCTGTCTGTCTGTCTGTCTGTCTGTCTGTCTGTCTGTCTGTCTGTCTGTCTGTCTGTCTGTCTGTCTGTCTGTCTGTCTGTCTGTCTGTCTGTCTGTCTGTCTGTCTGTCTGTCTGTCTGTCTGTCTGTCTGTCTGTCTGTCTGTCTGTCTGTCTGTCTGTCTGTCTGTCTGTCTGTCTGTCTGTCTGTCTGTCTGTCTGTCTGTCTGTCTGTCTGTCTGTCTGTCTGTCTGTCTGTCTGTCTGTCTGTCTGTCTGTCTGTCTGTCTGTCTGTCTGTCTGTCTGTCTGTCTGTCTGTCTGTCTGTCTGTCTGTCTGTCTGTCTGTCTGTCTGTCTGTCTGTCTGTCTGTCTGTCTGTCTGTCTGTCTGTCTGTCTGTCTGTCTGTCTGTCTGTCTGTCTGTCTGTCTGTCTGTCTGTCTGTCTGTCTGTCTGTCTGTCTGTCTGTCTGTCTGTCTGTCTGTCTGTCTGTCTGTCTGTCTGTCTGTCTGTCTGTCTGTCTGTCTGTCTGTCTGTCTGTCTGTCTGTCTGTCTGTCTGTCTGTCTGTCTGTCTGTCTGTCTGTCTGTCTATCTGTCTGTCTATCTGTCTGTCTATCTGTCTGTCTATCTGTCTGTCTATCTGTCTGTCTATCTGTCTGTCTGTCTGTATGTCTGTCTATCTAACTGTCTGTCTGTCTGTCTGTCTATCTGTCTGTCTGTCTGTCTGTCTGTCTGCCTATCTGTCTGTCTGTCTGTCTGTCTGTCTGTCTGTCTGTCTGTCTGTCTGTCTATCTATCGAACTTTAGATTATCCAGCCATGCCTGTTGATTTTGATGCCACTGTTATATGATTCAGAGCCAAACATTATCATTTATTTTATGCATAATGATAACGTTTTTCATTTTACACACACCTGAACAAATCAGAGCTTCAAAGTCCGTTCATTAATAAAACAAAAATGGCGCGATTTATCATAAGGTTTAAATAAATCGTTTGCAAGGTGACAATCTCAACGTAGGATATATCGCCTACCCTCATGCAAAATGAATCCAACTCCAAAATGAATCAATTACAATACAGAAAACACATGTGCAATGTCCATTTATATTCATTTATTATTTTTTATAATACGTATACAAGGCTGCCCCCAAAACTGTTTATGAAGTAATTTACTTGTTTCAGCAATTATATATTCCAATCCCGATTTCCCAATTGTAGAGGTATACGGTCAAGATAAATAAGAAAAAAACGTTTTAATAATTCACTCCTCTTGACCTTTTAACCCTGAGAACACAACATACACCTAACAAGAGCTGTGCATCAGCACATTAGCCCAAAACATCATATGTTACATAAAATGTAAGTTTTATTTAAGTATATAAAGTTGTTTTTTAAAAATACTATATACCCGGTATATATCGTACACCCTTCATTAACCAATGAGAATGGAGTATCTAGAGACACACTAAACTATACTTCCCATGATTCGCGTCTGCTATGTTATACATATAAACGTGCGACTCTCAGATTATTAACATTACATTGAATATTGCATGTTCGTTGTCATTATAACAAATATCACCATGACTACATATTTGTTCTGTCAAAGTCTCTTCATTTCTTAAGTAGTCATGTAAGAAGTAGATTGCAATAACTCTATGATGTGATCCTAGATCATAATAACCATAATAACCTTTTTTCACTTACAAAACACATGCCACATAATACTTTTACACTGAATAACTCCAAATATCCATTAAAGATATATGTCTGGCGTGGGATGTTCGATGTGTATGATTGATTGTCCCTAGATCCCCATCCTACTTTGCACTATGTGTTATCCTATGAACCTGAGAGTTGCTAGCCCAAAAAGTAGCCTGCTCATCCAGTTTACCAAGAGTAAGTTGTTCATCCTCATATTGTGATATGCTGTCTTGTTGATCTGTTTGACCTGTAAACAATTAACAAGGAATGTTTAAAAGGTGGAAAGATTTTCATTGATTTAAGTTAAAGATCCTTTTGTTACCAGATTATTTTGAAAATCATAAAAGGTCATTAACTTAAACAATGAGACGTAAATTCATTATCAATTTACTATATAAGACATCAAATGGCAATGTCAGCATCTGTTATTTCTTACAGACACCAATGTTTCAGACACAATGTTACAGACGCCGATTAACACCCCTGTTCATAAAAAGTGGAGACTAAAACAATATGTTACCGCTTGAGGAGTTAGTACAAAATACAAAAAGCATGCATGTCGTACAACTTCCATTAACCAATGAGCGTGAAATTCTTAAAGGCAAACTAAACTGCTTCCCATGATTCACTTCTGCTATGGATAATGGATGGATAATGGTTTATTCACTGATTCAGTAAACACATAAATACAGGCAATATTCAAACAGTAGAGAGATTTCGCACATACGTGAAAGTACAACTTATAACGTATACTTATACTTATAAGTAAACGTACAAGGTGTTTCACAATGTGGGCTTTTCGTCAAGAAAGATCTTCTCGGACTGTAATAAATAAAGGTCAAAGGGATGCCATTTGTACTTTCTTGAATTGTAGCATGTTTAGTTGATCCAAATGTGTTTGTCTAGAATAAAATACGCGCATTAGTACATATGTTATAGACCCATCTCTTCTCAAATTGACTTTTTGGAGATGCTCGTTATGAAAGCTTCCTGGTCAACTCAACCCCAAGTCAACTCAACCCAAGTCAAGTCAACCCTCAGTCAAGTCGACCCCAAGTCAACTCAACCCTTAGTCAAGTCGACCCCAAGGCAATACTCAAGCAAAAATGTTCAAAATGGTTTATGCACCGATTGAGTATACATATAAACGCAGGCAATATATATTCAAACAGTAGATGTTCAAAATGGTCTATGCACCGATTGAGCATACATATAAACGCAGGCAATATTCAAACAGTAAATGTTCAAAATGGTCTATGCACCGATTGAGTATACATAAAAACGCAGGCAATATTCAAACAGTAGATGTTCAAAATGGTCTATGCACCGATTGAGTATACATATAAACGCAGGCAATATTCAAACAGTAGATGTTCAAAATGGTCTATGCACCGATTGAGTATACATATAAACGCAGGCAATATATATTCAAACAGTAGATGTTCAAAATGGTCTATGTACCGATTGAGTATACATATAAACGCAGGCAATATTCAAACAGTAAATGTTCAAAATGGTCTATGCACCGATTGAGTATACATGTAAACGCAGGCAATATTCAAACAGTAAATGTTCAAAATGGTTTATGCACCGATTGAGCAGGCTGGATTGAGTATACATATAAACGCAGGCAATACCCAAGCAAAAATGTTCGAAATGGTTTATGCACCGATTGAGTATACATATAAACGCAGGCAATATTCGGGAAATAATTATTCAAAAAAGGACTATGCAATTCTTTCCATTTCCTTAAGTATATCACTATTATCACATATACTACTCCTACTAAAGCAGTATTCAAAATGGTTTATGTAACAATGGTTTACAAGTATGTACCAATTATGTATTTATATTCACATAGACATTCATATAGCTACGTTTAAAGTAGTAAATATTCAAAAATGTGCAATATGTATATGTATATGTATTCATATTAGGTAATATAGACATGCATTATCATTGTCTCAGTTATTAATCAAAGACACCACCATCACTGAATAACTGTAAATATGATGAAAAGAGTGCTGAAAAACCATGAAGGTGAAATTATATTAAATAGGTAATAACTAGAATCATCTATCAAGCTAAGAGGAGACCGGCGTCGCGAGAATATAATAGATATAAACGGGAAGCATCAAGGGATAATAATGGGCAATTTAGAACCTTGTAATTGTTGCTTCTCGGATGAAACCAGCCGCCAGCACATGAAAATACATGTGACTTGACCTAATTTAACATGTTACTTCATGAAGTATAACACTGCGTTCAAAACGCCCGTAACAAGGTATTTTTGAATATTTGAATCATGTTCATAACTCAATTTAAAATTCTGGTATAAGAGGCCATTAGTTAATTGCACAAAAACACGAAAATATGAATGTTTTTTCAATATAAGTTAATATTGATGTTGTTCACTGCTGAAAAAGAAAAATGCCTGAAATATAAAATATCCCTAGAGAATGGATCGAGCACATTATCAATTATATAATCAGGCATGTCTGTTGATTATAAATGATGTCGTGTAACCTCTGCAAGATTTAAGACTGAATGACCTTCATGACTGACCCAAAAAACGCTAGGCTTTCAACTTAAACACGTGAGAATATTAGTCCACATCGATGCAAGTTATAATTGAGATATGCATGTAGCTCGTTGGAAGGTTTCCCTTTTTGGAGCACCCTATTAAAAAACTAGAATAACACGTGCCGTATAATTTATTTTCTTTTTAATTAGCTCTAGGTTAGATGTTTCCGATGTCTTGAAATATGAGCCAGTGATAAATTGCCATTGATCTTTATCACAACGTATAAAATATTAAGAATCCTTAATTGTTTCAAGCTTTGTGATATTGTTCATCTTGATGATAGATTAAACTCGGTCATTGATTTAGAAGAGCTACATATAAATTATGTCACGGAATGAGTAAGTACATATATTTTACTTTCCAGTCTAAATATGCTTTAATAAGCACAACAAGGGTAATGAATTTACAGCTGCCTTTGTCATTGGGAGGTGTTGTCTTCGTGTTAATTGATATATTGTAATTGCTTTGAACAGCATGTAATTGATATCTCACGTTGACGCTTAAAAAATGTATCAAACATGTGACAATTATACAAAAATTAGATAAGCAGTATATACGCTAATCATTTCCAAATATGTTAACAAGTGGGACAACGGTCCATGTGCAGTATGGCACGTGAATTTAAACGGTCATATCTTTCACATTGAGTACTTCCTGGGCATAAATACAGTGGTTTTTATTAAAACAATATGTTTTCTTTCAATTGAAGTTCCCATGATGAAAAAAATATCAATCAAACAATTCGAAAAATTATAAATAGGGACCCCACGTCAACAATTTCTTAAAAATGTTGAACTTATTTGCTCAAAAGATTTTTATTGCATGAAAATATTATTCAACAAGGGGTCTAAAACATCTTCAAAAGTAGAATGGCATTGAAAGTCTAGTTTTGAAGATATCAATTTCCGATGACCAAAATCATGCTGAAAACAATGGATAGCACGAGTTTTCATTATGGGAAAATAACATGGGAAATGTGTTGTTTAACTTTATCGCATTTCAATACACACCCCCTTTCAGACGTTATTAATATAGTGTAGAAGAAACTTTTGATATATTTTAATTGAGAAAAATAAGATCCTCTTTTTAGAAAATAAGCCTTACATTTTTAAAAAAGTGACAAGGTGGGGTCCTAAGCCATAATTTTTCAGAGAGTTGGATTGATATTTCACTATCATGGGGACTTCACTTTAAAGAAAACATATTGTTTTAATAGAAACCAATATATCTATGCCCAGAAAGTACTTATGGTGAAAGATATGACCGTTTAAATTCAGTTGCCTTACTGCAAATGAACCTTTGTCCCACTTGTTCACATATTTGGAAATGATTAGCTAATATACTGCTTATCTAATTTTTGTATAATTGACACATGTTTGATACATTCTTTTAGCGTCAACGTGAGATATCAATTACATGCTGTTCTAAGCAATTATAATTGTCTAAAATCACTTGACATACTACACATGGAAATGCACATTTAGAGCATGGGGAGAGACACAGAATCGCTATTAGACAAATACAATCCATTCATTGCACTAGACACTGATGTGAATAATACTAGACTGGAGATATAATGGTACACATTCCCAAGTCTAACTGCTCACGTTAATAGAAAATAAGTACAATGTAAAAAAGTCATGCCTCCAAAAAGAACAGTAAGAATAACAGAGCTAATCGTGTATTGCAGCTTGGTGCGGAAAGTCACTTTATTTGCTTATTTCTCCAACCCCCATGTTATTTCAATGGGAGTTTTTATCAAATATCGATAAAAGTTTCGCTTCAACTCATTCAGTCATTGATTCCAGGTCGTATAACGAGAAATTTGAAATGAAACACAAATCACCCTGACCCAAAATACAGTCATGAGGAAAGAAACATGTCTAATATAAATATCGAACATAACGATACTACAAATCACCCTGAACCAAGATACAGTCTTGAGGAAACAGAAATGTCTAATATCAAACATAACGATACACCCACACTGGCGTGTTAATTTAATAAGTATAAAGAAATACCGAAATATGACATGTATGACGACAGGAAATTGTTCAACTGATCCTTAGAGTGAAACAATAAATGCCAAAAGATAATCTGCAAACGTACGTATGAGATACATACATTATTTAAATCAATTATGCTTTTAACGATATATTCGGAGAGTTCAATGACATTGCACAACTTCGTCGTTTTGAATCGCTTCCTAAATGCATGCAATGAACAGCATTATCTCGAGTAAAATTACGACCAATATCTATTCAACATGGCTCCGGAAATGGCATGATGTAAACGGTATAGTATGGTTTAGTAACAGATATTTAAAATATCAATTTAGCAATTAAAGGAGTGGTATCGATATGGTGAACTTTTTGAACATGCGTTTCTCTTAAACCACTCATCAAAACATTCTGAAAATTTTACACATCGTCAATTTGATGGTCATCTTTTGGATGGTAACATTATAATATAAATTATAAAAATACAAACTTTTCTCTATATTGTTTTGGAAAACACATCAGACACTTCTTTCGTTCTTGGTATCGTATCTTTTTTTTTGGGGGGGACGTTGTTTTAAGTTTTTGCATAATTTTTCTTAAATCAACCAAAATTTCCTTTGTATAACTATACTACCGAGAGGTCTAAGAAAATGTTGTATATGCTATTTTGTTCCAACAAGGTTCGGAAAAGACATTTTATTTCATTCTCAAGAATTGGTATAAATGAACAAAAAACAATTGCACTAAAAAACAAAAACGTCAACAAAAACATTTATATAATATATATATAAATACTTTTTGCATTAAATTGTTGCCAATCAGTCAACATTACAAAAAGGACCGTGTGTTTTACAGAATGTTTTCAATAATTTGTTTAAGAGAAAAACATTGTTGAATTTAGTCCACCATATCGATACCTATCCTTTACATCATGTGTGCAAATGCAAAACTTTTTTAAATGTAGATTGGTTGAAAGTATGTCTTCATGGACTGTTTTCAAATTAATCCATATAATAATAGTTTTAGTTGACAAAAGCTGGAATATTGCTTTTCACAAAATATCAAAAAGTTTGACAAAATATTTAAGTACTATCCTACAAAGTGTGATAAAAGAACACAAGAAAATACATAGCATACATGGAATTCATTAATTGACTATACTTTGATAACATTTGTCAAAACTTGTCATGGGGTTTCTTCCAAGTTCATGGATTTATTTATTGTTACTGCTCCCATATTGGTCAAACCAGAGATATATTAAAACAGATGGTTTATATGTCGCTGGTTAAACTAGACCCATTTAATACATACTTCATAAATAATTGATTATATTCAACACAGATATATGTATACAGGAAACATGATGAATTAGAATGGTAATAAGTGTATCACCCTTTTAATTCATGCCAAAATGAACAACATTTCGATTTCATTATTTCAATTGTGAAAGGCATCAATAACGCATATTTCAACAATGTCCAAATTAATAAAATCAGTCACATGTCACCGCCAGATCTGTAGGGACTTGTGTGTATTGACACTCCTGATGAAAGCTAGTTTGCTAATTATCAACATTAAGATCAAAATCATGGATCATCTCAAAGGACAGGGGGTGTTTTGCAGATTGACCTTGAAGCGCCAGAACAAGATATCTTGCTTCATAAATATAGCAAGGTATGTTTGTTCAATCCACTCATTGGCTATTAAAGCCATGATGCATTCAGAGATAGATTTTTCAGATCCAGAGAAAAACATACATTTCTTACCAATTTGTACAAGGTTCGTTCAAAAGGTTTTGCACAAATATGTATAATTATACAAATAATGAACCAGTCTTGTTCATTGTAAGTAGGTAAGTGCCCCCATATTATTCCCTTACACTGCCAAGGTTTCATGTATATATGTCTACTAGTTAACATTTTACGGTTGCTATGGTAACCTAGGCGATGACGTTATGGTCCATATCACTTTTCAAAACACAAAACAAGTAGTGTACAAAGAACAATATCACTAGACATGCCAAAATTAACTTACATAAACTGTCAACTTATATTCAAACAATATCTAGTATTGTTCCGATGGCAACGGTGAATCTTATGTCAATATTTCTCATATTGTTAGCCAAAGAATGAAAGAAAACATACCCTTCAAAAATCTTGAACAAATCGCCTGATTTTATGACATTTTCAAAGTTCTCATGTGAATTTTTGAAATATTGGAGAATATGACTCAAAATAATTAAGTTGAAGGTGAAAACATTGATAGAATACATGATAAAGAATGGGAAGTAGTATTACACAAATTATATTCATTTATGCATTAAGACATATTATGATAATTCGAATATACATTGATAAGTATTCCGAAAATGTATAGGGGTAGGCTGTAGTTATGAGAATGCTTGACATCCGATTGGTAGGAGAGTGCAGACATGTTTTCAGGGACTGGATAGAATGCCACAAAATAATGCATTTTGCAAAGGAAGACTACATGTTAAGTACTTAATATTTTGATTAAATATAGACAAGTTTTAACATAAACTGACTAACAGCTGATAGAACAAAGATTGACCAAACAATTTCAGCCTATCAGGGCTCTGGATTCAATTTAATGACGGCATATGGACCATGGACCCATTTGTTGAAATTTTAAAATCAATGTTTCTCAGAAAGTGCATTGTTAATGGTCCTGAAATGTCATATATGCTTGTAAGATGGGTGATACTATATCTGCAAAAAAAATCATGTAAAAATAATAAAATCTTTTCTCTTCAGAAGCCTTTGTGCAAAACTTTTCGAAAGACCCTAATATTTCAACAATCTGCGATGGTAAAAGTATAACAATATTACATCATTGTGTACCGATTAGTACCCTTTGCATTCGTTTGACTTTACTTCTTAAAAGAGAGCTTCGTCTTCACTCTTTCAAACTAAAATAGACCTGTGAACTCACCGCGCCAATCAGTGTTCGTCGGCCCTCGTATGAGGCACTAGGTCATGAAGACGTAACCTAAATCGATTCAGTTAATGAATGATTGCAAAGAAAGTACAATAAGTAATAAACAGAATAGGTAAGAAACGCCGCCTACCTATATCAACAATCAACCAGAGTGTTTTTAGATGTTTATTGAGCATTTTAATTGTAGCACAATGCACAAATGGGTTCATGTCTTGCAACGTGATAGCATACGAGTATTGTATAATGGACACAGAAATAATTGAAACTGAAAATACGTACATGTAGATAAATTCATATTTATTTGAGTGTAAAACATTCTTATAAACATATCAATTTATTACACACGATACCAAAATCGATGTTTTTTCGATCTTAGTGCTGCGATATATCTTTTTTATTAACTCAAACGCTTAAATGAGGGAGTGAGAATTCTCAAATGTGAGAATTGGCGTCACAAACAGGCATTTTAACAATGTTAAAATTAAGAAAATCAGTCACATGGCATCGCCAGATGTGTAGCTACATTGTACTGATGTGTATTGCATCTCCTGATATTGCTTGTTTTTCAATAACGTAAATACCCAAAACGCGTCACCCTACGCATAATAACACTAAATAAAATATTCGCAAAAACAAAAATTTGAATTGGTCTTGAATATACAAACCTTTCCACTTACCTGCATTAAAACAATCCGTTTGGTACTATAAATGACCTTATATAGAATAAATGACCTTATATAGAATAAATGACCTTATACCTTATATAGAATAAATGACATTATATAGAATAAATGACCTTATAATAAATGACCTTATATAGAATAAATGACCTTATATAGAATAAATGACCATATATTGAAATTTTCCAAGAGGTTTTTGGGGCTTAATCTATTATCTATTAAACACATATTTGCACTGGTGAAAAGTACAGGTGTCCAAAGAGTCTCTTTACAATAGACCAATCCAGTAAATCATGCCATCTATTGGCTTTGATGTCATTCTTACAATTTAAGTGCATGCAGAAATAGGATTAAAATATTGCTAATTTTCAAAAACTTCTTTCAATTTTGTTTACAAACATTGCTGCCTGTAAAGTATTGCAGCATAAATCTAGCCAATATACCCTAGTTTCCTTGGTTCACAAATAGGGGTCAGGATTTATTGGGAAGGTCTATTACGATGCAAAGTCTGTGTAAAGTATGAAGATTCTTTATGAACAACCTGTATAGAATATGTACTGTATTTAACTTATTCAAAGAACTTAGATTCCAATGCTTTATTGATCTCGGAATCATAATAGACTACCTGGAAAATATGGAAAGGTGAACCAATCTGCATGCACAAACTCACAAAAGATGCGCCTTTAATACAGATAGGCCAATCTATCTACAAGGACACTAAATTAGTACCTTTAATTTGATACATCAAGGTATTTTTCATGTACACAAAATACATAATTTAATACATTCATGCCATCCTATCTACAAGTGCACACGGTGAGTTTATTAGTATAGAGTACAATAAGTTTAATAGCCATTGTGTGATATTAAAATGAGCTCCTTTAATTTAATAGCAGTTGTTTGGGTATAATACCAGACATTTTGCAATAAGACCTTAAGAAACACTTTATGTCTGAGTATGGGTAACAATGAGTTTAACTCGTCGTGGTGATATGTTTAGTACATGAACATGCCCATAGCCCCTCCTCAGCCAAAAATCGAAACCATGTAATTTTCACAATTTCGAGCACTTTTTAAATGGTTTTGAGCCAATACTTTTAAATTTGGACCCGCTGCAATTTTCTAAAACTGAACACCCTCTTAGGGAAAGTTGGCTACGTGCCTGATGACGGTTATTTTTGGAATATGTTAGCACCTTCAGCATTGACTAAAATGAGGGCTCTATAATACCAAACATTTCAATATTAATAAGGGTATCAACGAAGGGTTAAACACCAACATCTATTTGATATTGGAATGATGCCCTTTGTCACCGATCACATGACAGATTAGTAGGATTTTAATTGAAAATAGTTTACATAGAGCCTTTAATACCAAACATATGTAGTAGTGTTTCCGATTAAGTACCATTCATATTAATCAGCCCTGGGGTTTTAAAAAGACAGAATATGCAAACAAATACACAAAAACATCACCTCTGTCCCCATAGTAACACCAGATCAGAGCCACCTTTTGTCCATGTTACTTACTACTGAGAATAATCATATTCTCATCATCATCCAAAGTCATGCTTCACGGCATCAAAATACAAATCATGTCAAGATAAATAAAAATAGGAATAATGTCTATGAAATTAATTAAATTATGAGAGCTGACGTCAAATCTAGTCAGACTTGAGATCGTCAAATCTAGTCAGATGTGAGATTGTTCTGAAATAATTATGCAAATGCTACATTTCCGATCTCCCTAGGATGCTTCATATGGCCACGAGGGAGTATATGTCACAAAAACATCTTTGGAACTTAATTAATCTGATGACTTACTCATCTAAGCTCCTCAAGGCCAAGAGATAATGATTTTGTTATTCCGCAAGAACCTCCTGATGATCGTAAATAGAAAATTCTGAAGGTGTGGAAAGGTCATTAGTGGCTTATGGCACTAATAACCCAGGCAAGCGATTTATTGATAAGTTTAGATGGACCAGACTTAAAAAACAGGTTAATATAATTCAGGTATTTAGCTTTCTATTTTGAATACAGAATTATATTAACCTAATTGCACCCCCCCCCCCCCGGCTTAAAAATAGAAAAATTGGTATTGGTCCGTTGAGGTGGAATTTATATCATCATCCACTCATTTATGTATATTTCAAATAAGATAAATAGAAACGAATCTTGTTTGTTAGATTTGAATTTAATAGAGAATGGTTTATTATCAGAATAACGATTTTTTTAAAGTTCCTGTGTAGAGTTTGAAAATATGTTTTTATCATTCGTTTAACTTTTTTAATCATCAAATATTCCTCCATACATTCCAAAAATGATCATTTTAACACCAGTGCAAAGATTGAACAAAGGACACACTATATTAATGATAAAATGCCATATTTAATGTGCCACTTCAATGTTTTAGCATATAAAAACTATTTGAAATCTAAGTGATGTCATTATGACTCACTCAGGTGGCAAAAAACTTTTTGAAAAGAATTTCAAAAAATATTTCTATGGAAATATTTTCTAAATATGCTAAACATCAAAAATAAGCCAATGTTGATTGTCTTACCAGGTTAAAAAATAATTTATTATGTTTTAGATATTATTCATTATACCATTGGTTTCTATGAGAAATAAAAAATGCACTTTTCTCTGAACCATTTTTATGCATTGATGAGTTCATTTCTCGCTTATTTATGAAACGATTTTCTTAATTTTTTCTGCAAAAAACATAACACAAAGAAAACAATTTTTGAAAGTCACATTTTTCAAAAATTGTCTTAAACATTTTTAAATTGTTGCAAGTATTATGTAACTGGTAATTTCAAACATTACACGGGGCCTTTAATTATTTTTACAGATCCTGAACAATCTTCCCAAGAATGAAGCAAAATATATTATGAAAAAGGAATTCAATAAGCTATCGGCAAAAAATATTGTTATAAAACGTTATGTAATTTATAATAAATTTACGTCATCATATTATATAGCCAACAAGAAACCTACTTAGTTGTACTACTCTTAATTTGCCTATCAAATAGCGCAAGTACCCAGAGCACCACAGCTTTATAAATAACTTGTTGTTGTCAATATCCCTTTAACAACTTGGATTTGTCAATATTATGAAAATATTAACCTCCTGAATCCCAGGCTCTAGAATCAGTGTCAAACCAGAGAATTTTTCATTTTTGCCAACTTTTGACATCTTAATACATACAAATACAACAGGTGATGCTTAATTTAGTAAAATTAGTCTGCAGAGATCATTTCTACACATTTTAAAATTATTATTTTTACAGATTATCTCGTCACTCTTGGTAGTCAAGAGGTTAAGACACATTCTTCAATATTCTGTATGAGTGAAATGTCCCTTGGTGTTATGGTACTGGATTGTGATAATAGATTTTGAATGGTTCCTTTTCACACTGAATTATGGTTTGGAATAGTTGCCATGGTGTTTGTTTTCTTTTTCTCACTGGGCTCCTTTACAATTATTGGTCCTTCCCCTTTGGAACTTTTACATACATATTTGAATATCTTCTTCTTTTGGATATTGAAGAATGTTTTTTGATATTTTCATAATATTGATAAATCCAAGTAATAAAAGATATATAGACAAAGTTAACAATGTAGGTTTCGTATTGTATTTATTACTCAAACACAACAAAGACTAAGATCACAATTCACAACATGAATTTTGTCTGCACTCATGAAATCCATTCCATATTAATACCAGATATTAAAAGCGATGCATTAAGCAATTTGAAATGATTAAAAGCAATTCGTTAAGCAATTTGAAATGATTAAAAGCAATTCATTAAGGCAATTTGTTAAGCAATTTAAACAATCAAGCCACTCAAGTGCAAGAACAACAGCATGTTAAACACTAATTGGATATTTAATTGAAAATTGTTGAAAAATTAAAGATTTCAACATTTATTCAAGATGTCAACATTTATATCTTAGGATAGACTGCACTTCAACTCAATCGGTCGCAACAGACTTGTAGATACCATGCTTTCCATCATGAATGGAAACTGTCCTAAGACCTATGCCCAGGCTGTAAACCCTCAAAAGCCCTACCACCAAGCCAAGTTTTGAACAATGAGTGTGATGCACATACAATAGCTGACAATATACCATTACAAGTATGTAGCACAAGTGTCAGAAAGAGTATAGGAGATGTACATATTGTAAATAATAGTAATTCAACAATACAGGTAGACTCTAATGGGAGTATTTCTGATAATATTGAAACACACTTAATGTTTTCCGGAAATATTCAAGATAACTCTGTATCAAATGAATGTAGGATTTCAAATGAGAAAACTCAGTCTCTAAATGAACACTTTTCAGTTTTACTTTGGAACATCAATAAAATTTCTGATAAACTTCATGATGGAAGAGATATACAAAAGTTTTTCAATGACTTTCAAATCATATTATTGTGTGAGACATGGCTTTCACCAGAGTCTGAAATTTCTTTTGAAAACTACACTTGTTACAATCTTGCTAGAAAATCAAAAAGCATGACTAATGGCCATTACTCAGGAGGACTGGCAGTACTGATTAGTGATGTATATAGTAAAAATTGTATTGAAATTCTTTCACAGTCGCATGACTTTTTTGTGTGGTTAAAATTCAATTCCAATCATTTCAATATTACAGAAGATTTATATTTATGCTTTGTATATTTACCATTTAAAGGTTCTTCATATGAATTTGTAACTGGTTGTAGTAATATTGACATTTTAGAAAAATCTTTAGCTTATTATCAAACATTAGGAAAAACTATTATATGTGGAGACATGAATGCTAGAACTGCTCAGTTACCTGATTTTAACATTAATATACCTGGCAGTAATGGTGATATACCAATACCAGTATATGAAAATAGTGACACTGTTCATAATTTGCTAGATATAAACGAGGTCTTAGTTAGTAATCGAACTTCTATGGACAAAAATGCAAAGGCAGTCTCTCAAACTCATGGAAGAGAATTTTTATCACTATGCAAAACTGCTAATATGAAGATACTTAATGGTCGCCTTTATCAAGATAAAAACTTAGGGAAATTTACATGTTATCGCAATGTTACGCACAAATCTAACAAAGACCCCAACTTCGGAAAATCAGTTATTGATTATGTTGCAGCTCAATCAAATACTATTTCCTTATTCACTGATTTTAAAGTTCATGATAGGCGTGTTGAGTCTGACCATGCACCATTACATTTTTCTATATCATTAAAAAGTGAAACTGAAAATCAAAGAAAATCATCAAATTTTCAATCAGAATCTCTGAACATTAAAACATATAAATCATACAAATGGGATCCTCTAAAGAAAAATGAATTTAAACATAAGTTATCTGATAATATAAGTAATGACCTTTTAACATCATTTTACACTGAACTTGGATGTAATGATATAGGATCTGACGAATTAGTAAATAAGCTCCTAAATGTAATTCATTATGCATCTCATGACACTTTCCAATTTAAAAAATTAAAAACCACAAAAAGGCATACCTTTCCGATAAATTCATGGTTCAATGATGAATGTAAATCCTTAAAGAAACAAGTCCATGAGGCAATAAAACTCAAATTTGACGATGATATTATAAATAGTTTAATAAAACAATATAATCATACTAAACAACGAGAAAAGAGAAAGTTTAAAGCAGGAATGCTCAATAGTTTAATTCAGAATAAATGCAGATATTCTACAGATTTCTGGAAACTGATAAATGCAATGCCAGGAAATAAAATTAATGAGATGCCAGTCCCATCTAAAGATCTATTCAACTTTTTCAAAAGTCTATCTAAACCTCCAAACATAGATTATTTTGATGATAATGCACTTGAGGAAATGAATCATTTTGTTACAAAATATCAAATTAATCCTGAAGATAAAAAATTACAACTTTGCAATGATACCATCAACATGAGAATTACTCAAGCCGAAGTTCAATGTGCTTTGAAAAGAGTAAATGCAAACAAATCAGCGGGTATTGATGGTATTCCATCCAATATTTTAAAAAATTGTGAAACCCTTGTTTCTGACTTTACAGCACTTTTTAATGCTATTTTCGAAAAGGGAGAATATCCAAGTGACTGGAGTATTGGTATGCTCAGTGCACTTTATAAACAAGGCAGCCGTTTTCAAGCTGATAATTATAGAGGCATTAATGTACTGGCCTGTATAGGGAACTTATTTGACTCCGTTATTCAAAATCGTCTAGTCTTTAATGCTGGAGTACAAAATTCACCAGACCCACTTCAGGGTGCTTACAAAGAAAAGAGACGTACAACTGATAATATTTTTATTTTGCAAACATTAATTAACAAATTCAATCAGCATAAGAAACCATTATATACATGCATGATTGATTTTAAGAAGGCTTTTGATTATATAGATCGCTCAGTATTGTTATACAAGCTGTGTAAAGCTGGAATTCACCCACATACTAAAATGTACAGGATTATAGAGAATATGTACTCTAAATCTAAGTCATGCCTTAAATTAGTAAACGGAATCACCCAAACTTTTGACACTGAAATAGGAGTTTTGCAAGGAAGTGTTTTAAGTACATTTTTGTTCAATCACTTCATGGATGACTTAAATGAAGTATTACCACTAAGATGTGGCGTTATCGTAAAAGATGTCAGGTTCAACCATCTTCTATGGGCAGATGATCTAGTACTCATTTCCGAATCACATGATGGACTTCAGTTATTATTAGATTCACTCTTCTCTTTCTGTAAAATTAATAGACTTATAGTTAATACCTTAAAAACAAAGGTACTCATTTTTAACTCTAAAGTTTCTGCCCCTTTCACTTTTAATGATCAAGAAATTGAACGTGTAAATAAATATAAATATCTAGGAGTAATTCTTACTGATAATAATAAATTTGATATCAACACAAGTTATCTCAAAGAACAATCACGAAAGGCAATATTCAAAATCAAACAGCAGTATAAGAAATTCAATGACGTGCCACCTGATGTTGCTCTTCACCTTTTTGATTCATTAGTCAGTCCAATACTATGTTATGGCTGTGAAATTTGGTATGACAAGAAGCAGATGAAAGCGATTGAAACAATACATTTGTCCTTTTTAAAATCTATTTTAGGTGTCAAAACTCAAATAGCTAATCCCGCAGTGTACGGTGACCTTGGTAAATTTCCTTTATCTATCAGAATTGAATTATCAATTGTGAAATACTGGTTAAGACTGATTAAACTACCAAATTCTAATATTTTAAACCAGGCTTACTTATATGGACAAGAAAAACATGAATTAGGGTTTAAATCTTGGTCTGGAAAGGTTTATGATATTCTTCATAAATGTGAACTAACAGAGTATTGGGATGACCAAAGTCAAATTACAGACCACTTAGTAAATTTGGTTGACAAGAAATTAAAGAATATGTTTGTAGAAAATTGGAAAAGGGACATTTTGATATATCCCAAATTAAGAACATATAAGCTGTTTAAGAAAGATTTTGCATTAGAACCATATACAAAGTTAGACAATAAAAAATATAGATTAGCAATAAGTAGATTTAGGTTGAGTTCACATCAGTTAAAAATAGAAACAGGAAGACACACAAAGCCAAAATCCAAACCTGTAAATGAAAGATTATGTAATATATGTAAATGTGTAGAAGATGAATTTCACTTTATCATAAATTGTACAAAGCATTCTCAACACAGGCAAATATTTTTCAGCAAAATTTCTGAAACATTACCAAAATTTGATTTAAATAGTGATAATTTATTTACAAATATAATTTCAAGTGATAATACCATCATACAACGACATCTTGGTAAATTTATATATCACTCATTTAACAATTTAGAATAGTCAGCATATTTTGTACATCACACTTAAAAATATTCTGCCTCTCTTGTATGCTTTCAATATGCATATGGAATTTTTGTACATTACTTTGTAAATGTAGAAGTAGTTTTAGTTAGTCTTAGTGAGTAGTTGTGACTAATGTAATCATGTAATGATACAATATGTCAATAAAAGTTATATATATATATAAGATGTCAACATTTATTCAAGATGTCAACATTTATTTAAGATGTCAACATTTATTTAAGATGTCAACATTTGTCGATGGGGTCAACATTTGTCAATCATGCCAACATGTATCAATAATATTATTGAGTAATATCCAATTTGGTTTAAAAGTCCTTTCAAAAATACATATACCTAATCCACATCCTCCGAAGCAGGTATCCAGAATTCGTAAGCTTACCTCCTTCTTCCCCCTGCTATAGCCAATTTGGAAGCGCCTGATTAAACTGAATCGGGTGATCTAATTATGCGCAATACATGATTTCTGTCACAGTGTTGCGACAGCCAATCAGATTGCGAGTTCTTAATCGGGGAAATTCTAACTGCTTATCGCAGGGGGTAAAAAGAAAGAATGTATTCTGGATTTTGAAGCCCTGTGATTGGAGGATGCTAATTGGAAAATTCCTCACTTGTACACTTTCACATACCTCTGTTTTTGCGCATTGAGCATCCAGTTTTTAACAACAGGCACGAGACAACCTCCTAGCAGGATCTGCGTTGGGTGGTATATAAGAAGAGGCACTGAGATGAGAGATAAGTGGGCATGGCCCATGAAGACAATCTTTAACATAGGAATGCCTGGAAAACAATTAAAGATCATTCAGGACACCATTATTAATTTCTTGAATCCTAGGCTCTAAAATCTGTTTTTTCATTTTAGTGAAATTAGTTGACAGAGATCATTTCTACACATTTAAAACATTTTTTAGATTAAATTTGATGAAAGGACGATTCTCGGTTTGGAGAACAGTCTCCTGGCTAATAATTTTTTTCATGAAAAATATAGAAATATTACCCAAATTAAACTATGAATATTCAAAAGAGGACATTTAAATCTACAAGATGTAAAAATAACGAATTGGTCTGAAGCAGGGATAACGCTCAATTAGACCGATTCAATAAAATACAAGTCTCAATTTGGGGAAAGAAGTTCATCAGTGTACTGCGCTAATATTTTTTTGCAAAAAATCTAGAAATATTACCCAAATTAAATTATGGCTATTCAAAAGAAGACATTCAAATCTATATTATGTAAAAAAATCAAATTTGTCCGAAGCAGGGATAATGCTCATTTAGATTGATGAACTTCGTTCTCCAAACCGAGAATCGTCCTTTGTGGTGCGATGGGGTAAGATGCCATGGTGGAGCGTAGTATGTATATGATACATACCTAATGTAAGTGACTTGTGAGTGGCACAGAACATTATAGCCACGGTATCTGCTGGTTGGAATGACATCCAAGGACGACTAGACACGTAAAATGTCAGGCTAAGTAAGACAACTTGCACCATAAATACTGAAAATCAAAAATCAAATACTTAATTTGTCCGCAATTTGAACACCTGATTCTATCAGGAATCTGCAGATAAATCATTGAGACATGTGAGAATGATTATAGCTACGTGAATATTCTGATAAAATTGCTAGATCCAGGGACTTCGTGACTCACCAAGGTATTTGTCTGAATCTCAAATATATTTCCCCATACTAAAAATCTGTGATATTTTCTAATTTTGAATGATATAAAAATCTGTAAATTCTCAAAAATCAGAAATGCTAATTTCCCGATTTGTAGAAAAATAACAAAATATTTTAGTTTTCTTGGAATGAATTAGAAACTTTGACATAAAAATGAATGATATCAGCAAAACAAATAAAACAATTTTTTTCTTGTAGTCAACAAAATAAGGAGTCAGGTGGTAGAATTGTGGATCATTATTAAACGTTATTAAAATTTCTTGAAACAAGATTTTATTTCATTGTCTCAGTTGGTTTAAACTTGAAAAACAATTAAGATATGACTAAAGCACTTGTTGATCTATTAAAACGTGACTGAACCACCTCCAGATCATTTAACATGTGACTCAAGCACCTACGTATCGATCTACATATCGAATCTAATTTCCATCTACCACATGGTTATGAATATAGTTAGTATGAGAATAACTATAATTCATTATCGAAGGAACTATTCTTGATAATTTCAGGGTTTCCCCTCTCTCAAAATCTAAGGAAGAGTTACCTATTAAAACTGTTGAGAGTAGACTGAAGGTGTCTATAGCTGCATCTTTATTTGAGAATGTATCACAGAATGTTGTGTAAATTATCACCAGTAATATTGCACTGAAAAACAAAAAATATGGAATTTATTTTTCAAGCACTGAAAATACAAATAAATCGAAAATGACCATTGTGCACTGTAAAATACAAATAAATGGAAAATGACTTTCTTGCACTGAAAAACACAATATGTGGAAAATTACCCCCATGCACCATCTTCGTTCACTCGGCTCCCATCGGTGAACGCAGTGAAGACCGAGTGTGCGAAGATGCCCATGCACTGAAAAACACAAATAAAAGAAAATGATCCCCATGCACTGAAAGGACAAATATTTTGAAAATGAATATTACCCTTGTGCACTAAAAAACACAAAAATATGGAAAATAACACCATGCACTGAAAAATACAAATATGTGGAAATAAAGCCTCCCTTGGGCTAAAAAAACACAAAAATATGGAAAGTCACAAGCATGCACTGAAAATCACGAAAATAACATGTATCACCAGCATGTGCTAAAATTGCATATATGAACAGCATGTACTGAAAATGTAAAACACATGGATATTAATCCCAAGTTATGATATAATTATTGTAATGCACCTGTTATTGATTATGTGTTAATATACAATAATACGTAATAAATACAGAATATCACATCATTTTGAGTGATATCATTTTTATCGCCGAGTTGATATCAAATATCAACACGAGTGAGCGAAGCGAATGAGTGTTGATATTTGATATCTACGAGCCGATAAAATTATACCACGAGAAATTATGTGATATTGGGTTTATCCCATGATTACAACCACCTTGTGATGTTCTGATCCAATTTCCAGGACATTGGCAGACAAAATAAACTAGAAATTAGAATACCAATTGAACAAAATATGCACTACTTTCTGTACATGATATAGTTCGTCATAAATACCATTTTTAATCGTTAGTTAGCAGCGTTCTAATCAAATTATATATACAATCGTAATTCAATACACCAATGAAACTTAAAAAGAATAAATTAACGGATCTATTTTCTCAAAAGAGAATAAATTATCTGACCTAATTTCCAACAATATTATATTATATTACAAAAATAACATTCAAATTAAACAATTTTCACCCAATCAATAATTATAAAAACAAATTGAAGATCAGTGCTTGTAATAGAATCTCAAATGTACAGACCATTAAAATGCATTTCAAATTGCTCAGGTAAAAAATGTCTATTATTACAGTGTTTGTCATCATTTTCTACAGAGTCTAGTCATAAAGCTTGATTATATATTTCTTTTATTGACAATTGTATCAAAACATGACACATTGGTGTATATACAAACTAGCCTGTCTTGACTCAAGACAATACTACACTATTAACTAAATGTTAGACTACATTTATAACTGCACTATATACATGTAATGCCGTGGTCACATTTGCTCCGATTTTCAGCACCAGCGCCCGGCCGATGAGTATTTTGTTCAACATTGAATACAATTTTGGACAAAATACTCAATCGGCCGGGAGCCGTTGTAAAAATCGGAGCAAATGTGACCATGGCATAACATAAAATCATTTGCATGAGTTTACAGACTCTTTGTAAAACTTGATGCATAAAATATAAAGAATGTATTATTGTAGCACAATTATAATTGTTGTTTACTCTAAATTTTGAAAAGAGTGGTAAACATATTTGCCAATATGTCTTTGAATAGTAACATTTTGCATAGAAAATAACACTTTAAAATTTGTTTCATTGATTAGAAAATTGGGTCCAAATATTTCTTTCATTTTTTCTAAGAGGACTCTCCTTTGTGCATCATGTTTTCTACTCAATTGATTGAATTGAGATAAGGTCAAAGACTTAAAGTCCTGTATACTGTAAATTGCATTTCAATTGTTTCAACCAAAGCTATGTTCACTTTCACTTCCATTTCAGCCATTTCAACAATTGTGCCAATTTCACCCATCAACCAGTTGGCAAATTTCGCCCCTGTTTTAAGCGTTTTGCCTGCAAAAACAGGTCTAAAGACAACATTCAAAACATGACTGTATTCACGCCTTCTATAAACTGTAAACAAAGACAACATTTCACCCAGGGTATATTCGCGAACAACACCCCAGGTTATACATGTAATGTGTGACGTCATAACGGCGGGCAGACTATAATGAATATTCAAAATATTTTGGTGAGTTTTCATGTTCGAATCATAATATAGACCTCAGAGCAAGTGTAATATCGCCGAACACACCTGATGGGATGTATTCAACAATATTACCCCTGCTCTTCTATATTTCTTAATTTAATAGCTGAAGTTAATTATAACGAACATCTGAACTCACCTGCTTATTGACCCAAAGGGAATGTTCGCTCTTGTGATGCGTTCTTTAGCAAAGCCCCGCACAATCTGACCAATCACAAGCGGAACAACCACTGTCATGGAGAGCTGACCAAATATGGACATAAATGGGACGGAAGATGAAGAACCCAACTGAAAGATATGACAAATTACCATAGTAACTCAACTCTTAATCTTTTTAACAAATACAATGATACAATAAATAGGAAATCACCGCTCTGCATTTGGTAGTTTACTGGCAAAATATCACCCCATTCCATCGACATTATGAAGAAAACTGTATGGGGCCAAGTCTAAGGTTAGCTCTAAGTATTTCATGGCATTCTATGGAGAAGCTAACAGAAGGCCATGATTTTTTATGACAGCCTCTTGGGAGATGGCCATCTCAAACATAATGATATAGTATAATAACTAAAATCCTTTGAGTCCTTTAAACAATGAACAAGTAAGGGTCACGTAAATTCCTAGTATAGCGCTTGTAATCAAAAGAAACTTGGATTCATGCGACCCGCTAATTCATAATCATCTTCAATATATCATCTCTTTAACGCTCAATGCTCTAAGTGGACTATTGAGGAAGTGATAAATCTCTTTAATTATCTCTTCAGGATAATGAGAACATTCATGGCCATGTGAGATCTGAATATGAAGTCATCTAAATTGCTTTTGATCTACTCTAAAGTTCAATGTCCATGACAAATTATCTTAAATTAAAGAGAGATATTCAGATCTGGTGAGGAGCCCACAAAAAATTCCTCCATTTTTAGAATGTTTTGGCTCATTGTCATTCCTTGTCATGTCTATTTCCTAAAGATCTCCAAAGTGCACACTGGTCTAAAATGAGCTCTAAGTATTGAGATCTGAATATGAAGTCATCTAAATTGCTTTTGATCTCCTCTAAAGTTCAATGTCCATGAAAAATGATCTTAAATTAACTTGCATTAAAGGAATAAGATAATGATGGTTCAATAAAATAGACTAGATCTACATCCAGTGTGAAAGGTTTATTTTATGTACATGTATTTTCCTTGAGTTAGTTTCCTTGAGTTGCTACTGACAACTCGTTAGTAAAGCTTACAGTATACTGTACATATCCAGGCCCGTAGCCAGGGGAGGTTCGGGGGGTTCGGGCGAACCCCCCCCCCCCCCTGGCCAAAATTTCTTTCAAAATCATGCAGTTTGTCACCATTCTGACTACTTTTTGAGTGATTTTTGGCCATATTTGCCAAAGTGAACCCCCCCTAGAATTTTTTAGAAAAACGAACCCCCCCTTGGAAAATTCTGGCTACGGGCCTGATATCTAATAAAAAAATATGATTTGATTGAACCAGATTTCATTCTGTGTTTTCACAAACTATATTAATACATTGAGCAGAGAATACCTACAATTATGCCATCTTTATATATTTACTTGCACTATTGTGATTATATTGGTTTTATATATTGCCAGCAACTGTAAATAGCAGATTAATGAACACTTCACTGATTAACACATAGCTAGGCGAGGTGTGTCTGATTTCAGGCGTTGTTTCCTAAAATTAACATTTTATGCTGCGCATCTCGTGCAAATTTGGAAAGCAACACCTTCAATGAATGATCATTCCACATTGCACTTGGTCCAGGGCTTAAATCCTTAAACAAATAGACCACTCATGTCGCTGAAAGTAATTACCTCTATAAAAGTGAGACACCAGGTGGTAAATATCTTATTTTTTTATTTTAAAAAAAGACATCAAATTTACCAATCAGATTGTCTCCTAATACATGTCTTAAAATTCCAAGTTGAACATGTACATGTAAGCCATTTTCTAAGAACGTTGATGACAAGATTAACATGTACTGTATGTGGCATCCACCAAGGTGCCCTCTAGCCAGCCTGGCCAGCAGCACAAAACAACAATAACAGTATACATGTAGCACATTGAAAAAGTATTACATAAAGTTTGTATACTTACAAATAACAGCAGTAGAACAGGGGTTATCACAATACCCTACAATGAAATTCATATTTATAAGTTATTCTTAAATCATAACTACTGTAACTTTGATGAACATTTTCTAAAAAGTTGAACAATTCCCAAACTTTTATTTTATCGATAAACATCGATTTTCAGTCTATTATTTCACCTTTTTTTACACGCAAAATTTGACTACCTGCCATTTGTGACAGATATTGAGGCTGACCCCCAAACTCCAACCGCTGTCCATAAAGAAACTATAACAATATGTCCAGGGTGGTGACATAAAATCACATGCAGGATTGGAAGAGAAAACATTGGCAACCTTTCTGAAAAAATTATTCCCACAATTTACACTTCCTATCCCTTCTATATGCCCTTCCTTAAAGTGACTACAACTCACCAGAAAACTGCCAAAAGCAGAGTTGAAAATGGCAGCAGCCTCATTACCTCCTACTGCCTTTGTGAGTATAACTGCAGAAGACACAGGGGGTGGCATACACCCTACAACCAACAGACTGTAATGCAAAAAAAACAATGCACTAAGATGTAAAATGTCACCTACTGCTATCTCTTACAGATACCAAACTCTGAACACAGGTCAGTGATCTCCCCAGCATTGAAGCAAGTGGACACAGCACCCACCTGAAGTTTTAAAAACAGGATTGTACCCACCTGAAAATTAATTTGCACCCACTTGAAAATGAGAAAAAATCATGAGAACTGCATATTTTGACAAATTTTAGTGTGAATTGTAAAAATGAGAATTTTTCACCCATTTGAAAAATCTTAGGGAGATCACTGCTGGTAACCAACTGTGGACCACTTAACACCATCCACAAGTAAGTTGGAGAAAAGTCACTACTTTAATTGTGAATGATTTTCTTCGTCAATCTATGGCCTTAGTGTCATTGCATGATTTATTGAAAACATAGCAAACTATATGCTAGCTAATGTAACAGGCCTGTCTATCATCATCTTCATGAGTTTTAAAATGGACACCTAAATACATGGAACATAGGCCAATACTAGACATATTGGAGCAAAAGTATATAGTACTAACTGTCACATTAAAGAAATTGTTTTCTAGAAATATTTATTTTGCAAGCTTTCTCAATGGAAGGTAGACATTATGAGAGTAAACAAACAATACGCACCCCTTGAGTAGCCATGGGCTGATAGATGAGTATTCCAGAATATTAACGAGGAGTTGCACCAGACATGGAACCAGCATGAGGGTGAAGCCTTGGACAAAACAATGCAGTCTTACTTGTAATAGAGCACTTGCCAGTTCCTGAAAACAAAACAATGCAGTCTTACTTGTAATAGACCACTTGCCAGTTCCTGAAAACAAAACAGTGCAGTCTTACTTGTAATAGATCACTTGCCAGTTCCTGAAAACAAAACAGTGCAGTCTTACTTGTAATAGAGCACTTGCCAGTTCCTGAAAACAAAACAATGCAGTCTTAATTGTAATAGACCACTTGCCAGTTCCTGAAAACAAAACAGTCCAGTCTTACTTGTAATAGAGCACTTACCAGTTCCTGAAAACAAAACAAATCAGTCTTACTTGTAATAGAGCACTTGCCAGTTCCTGAAAACAAAACAATGCAGCCTTAATTGTAATAGAGCACTTGCCAGTTCCTGAAAACAAAACAATGCAGCCTTAATTGTAATAGAGCACTTGCCAGTTCCTGAAAACAAGCAATGCAGTCTCACTTGTAATAGAGCACTTGCCAGTTCCTGAAAACAAAACAATGCAGTCTTACTTGCATTAGAGCACTTGCCAGTTCCTGAAAACAAAACAGTGCAGTCTTACTTGTAATAGAGCACTTGCCAGTTCCTGAAAACAAAACAGTGCAGTCTTACTTGCATTAGAGCACTTGCCTGTTCCTGAAAACAAAACAGTGCAGTCTTACTTGTAATAGAGCACTTGCCAGTTCCTGAAAACAAAACAATGCAGTCTTACTTGCATTAGAGCACTTGCCAGTTCCTGAAAACAAAACAGTGCAGTCTTACTTGTAATAGAGCACTTGCCAGTTCCTGAAAACAAAACAGTGCAGTCTTACTTGCATTAGAGCACTTGCCTGTTCCTGAAAACAAAACAGTGCAGTCTTACTTGTAATAGAGCACTTGCCAGTTCCTGAAAACAAAACAATGCAGTCTTACTTGTAATAGAGCACATGCCAGTTCCTGAAAACAAAACAGTGCAGTCTCACTTGCATTAGAGCACTTGCCAGGTCCTGAAAACAAGCAATGCAGTCTCACTTGTAATAGAGCACATGCCAGTTCCTGAAAACAAAACAGTGCAGTCTCACTTGCATTAGAGCACTTGCCAGGTCCTGAAAACAAGCAATGCAGTCTCACTTGTAAAACAGCACTTAACTAAATAAAAACAAAATTAAACTCACATGTAAACATCATTCAAAAAGGACAGATAATAATTAAATGCCCTAACAAGGCAATTTACTGAAATACTTCTAAGATCAATAAGGCATTAACATGCAAAATCTCTCCACCTGCCATTTGTTACAAATGCTGATCGCCAAACAACCAAATGCCAACCACCGAATACTGTTCACATAAAAGTTGGAGACTATAACAACACGTCACCACTTCTGGTGGAGACATTATAATTTGTAAAATCATTTAATGATTCATTAAGGCATCGTTAGAGTGTCTGAACTCAATGCAGGCAAGAATTCATGTAAATGACTATCCATTAATTTCTGCTGTCCCCTGCATCACTTTATAATTAGTTGTCTACAGTACATTTAAATGGGTTAATATCTCAAGCTGTGCATGCACTGATGCTATTATATAGACTCCCTATTATGATAGCACAAGCAAACTACTTTTTCATTTCAGTTAGATTTCAGAAGAATTCCAAGTACATGTATGGTATTCTCAACAGATTTAGGCAATTATTGTTTTTGAGCTTAATTGTCTTTGTTTAGAGAATAAGTTCCTTTAAATGTCATAAGAACATTTCAAAGGAGGACCCTTGGAGATTGATGAATGAAAATGAAATGAAACCAATTTTTGAAAATAAGGTCAAAATAAGGTACAGTACATTTGAAATCCCCAAATTAAGACCCAGAAATTCTTAAGGATGGGGCCCTCTACAATACAGGTTCTGTCCACTTCAATTATCTAAAGTTGCCTCAAGGACAAGTATCTCTATTTTTAGTACAATTACCTGTTTTAGTACTGAATTTCCCGTTCTTAATAAAATTACCTCATAACTAAGTAAAATTACCTGTTCTGCTAACATAATTACCACTTCTCTTATTTCAATTAACTCTTTTCTTGACCACATAATAATTTACAATTGAAAAAAACAGTCAGTCCTTGACTGTTATTGAAAATTGTATATCGGATGTATGTCTGGCCCTAAAAGGGCATTAGTACTAATAGAATCCTATTATATATATTGCAATGAAACCAGTAAAGTGGAACACCTTTGTTATTAGAACACTTTTCAGAGTTCCAAGACCAACTGACTTAAAGTTTAAAGAAATGTTAAATGAATCTCTGTAATGGGAGGCATCAAAAGTTCGTTGTCAGATCAAAAACGAAATACATTTAGTTAGGGGGAGAGGGTTCAAAGCCATTTCAGTTTGCTATCCAACAAATTTCAACATTTCAATTTTTTGCAATTTTGACCCAGAATGCCTTGGAATGGTTTAAAAAAAGATTTACCTGGAGCTTTCTTTGTCAAGATCATTCCAATGACTCATTCTATCAACAGGTGTTAAAAGCTGCAAATTATGATAGGAATAACTAGATTCGTATAAGAAATAATTTTTCAAATTCTCAAACCGGAAATCGAAACCAGATTTATCTAGTTTCCGATCAGACATCAAACTTTTGATGCCTCCTCTAAGTGGAACACCTCCCAAGTGGAACACCTTTAAGGGGTACTAATGATGTTCCACTTAGACAGGTTTTACTGTACCTCTGTTTTCAGGGACAATCCACTGTTGAAGAATATCACAGATACTGCAATGAATTTTACTGTAATCTCTGGTCTTAAAGGCCCTGAAATAAAACATTATATAGTAAGTAAAACATTTAAAGTGGAATGCCTCCATATAAATAGACCACAATGAATTTCACTGTAACCTCTGATCTTAAAGGCCCTGAAATCAAACATTATACAGTAAGTAAAACATTTAAAAAGTGGAATGCCTCCAGCCCTCCACATAAATAGACCACAATGAATTTCACTGTAATCTCTGGTCTTAAAGGCCCTGAAATCAAACATTATACAGTAGAGTAAAATATTTAAAGTGGAATGCCTCCACATAAATAGACCACATTGAATTTCACTGTAATGTCTGGTTTTAAAGGCCCTGAAATCAAACATTATACAGTAAGTAAAACATTTAATGTGGAATGCCTCCACATAAATAGACCACAATGAATTTCACTGTAATCTCTGGTCTTAAAGGCCCTGAAATCAAACATTATACAGTAAGTAAAACATTTAAAGTGGAATGCCTCCACATAAATAGAACACAATAAATTTCACTGTAATTTCTGGTATTAGAGGCCCTGAAATACTGTCTAGTGGAATAGCTCCAAATAAACAGAACGTTTTTGCAATTCTGTTAACTTGAAAGTAAAATGTACAAAATGTACCTATGTAACTGTATCACCTCTCAAGGAGCTCACTGTATACATTACTAATGATTCTCAATATGGTAAGTTATTAACCTCTTGAATCCCAGGCTGTAAAATCGGTCGAAACCAGAGACTTTTTCATTTTTGCCACCTTTTTAAATTTTACTACATACCTATACTACTTTTCATGCTCAACTTAGTATAATTAAATGACAGAGCTCATTTCTACATGTTTTAAAACAATTTTTGTGAAAATTGGATGAAAGTTGTTCAAATAAGACCAATTTCAGTGAATAATTTTGTGACGGATTTTCTCGTCACTTTGGATTTCAAGGTCATTTCTGAGGTGACGAGAAATCTCGTCATTCCAGCTAGTCAAGAGGTTAAATACTACAAAATTGCCAAATGTACTCAATTTGACAAATGAGAATGACAGAATTTACAACTATAAAGCAATCATTTAAAATGGCATGATTGTCTATTGATTATTCTGAAGCTGTTTCATTTAAACAAATGTGGGGAACATTTGTATATGCATGTTTCATATACATCATTTTTGCCTTTCAGTTCCATGTGTTGAATTTCAGTAAAGAAGGTCAGTCTATTGATTTGCGTGTTTTGTTGATAGTCAGCACCATTTAAAGTATCAATAGTAATGTTTAAAATGTTTTAACATTTAAGATGCATACATGTACATGTATTTGTATTCAGTCGTTTAATAAATTAGATAGCAAGTTGCACGAATCAAGATCTACTAACGTATTTGGATGGTTTAACAATAATTTCAAACAAGCTAAGAAAGAAGTCCTGAATACCCTCAGGTTCAATTGTGCATGGTTTCGGAAAATTTGAAATCACCTCAAATTGTTAATTGTATGATTTCAATCTAAGCGACCCTTCCTCTTACCCTTACAATAAATTGGCTAGAGATCACCGCATAAGGAATGTTGTTTTTGTACTGAACTCTAAAAAACCTCTAGTCATGATGACTAATCTTAACTAAAATTAATACTAATGATATTAATTTGATAATCTTATCTTATATATTATTCTAAAAATATTTGTACCGTGCAACCTCCCTCTTTGCCTCGACCCCCCCCCCCTTCATTATAAAATGAATCTTCAGCCAGGGAAAAAAAAGTACCTCATCCATCCCTCGGTAAATACTGGCTAAATATACCTAAGAGTAAATTGAATCAGAATTGAAATGAATATCATAACTGAGATAGTGCACTATTTAGTCGGGAATTACAATCAATTTGTCTATCATATTGGAAAATATCTAACTTGTTAAACTTTATCTTGATTAAGCAAAACAATTTCATCTAAAGGTGAGACCATGGTCAGCACCAGCAAATGGAGAAAATTCAGAATACCCTACACCTCGCAGAGTCTGCATTTAAACTACCATTTGCCTAGAGACTATATTAGAGGTTATATGAGCGTAGCGAACGAGTGAATATATTATATTCTCACGAGAGTATAAAATGCACGATATGAACCATTATATAATCTTATTACATGTATGCCACTCTAAGTTCAATTACAGTTGATTCAAACACAATCATAACATTATAATAAAAACCATAAAAATATCCCATAGCCAACTCAGTATTGCCGATTTTGATCTCGATCCATTTATGACGTCACTTGATTCTAGCAAATCATGTGGGAACCATTTATGACGTCACTTGATTCTAGGAAATCATATGTAACAAAACATTCACCTCGTTCTTCGGTCAATATTTATTAGTTCTCAGAATGCACTTCTACAGTGATATACGCTGGAGTGTATACGGAGGAGTTGTATACGATGACGATATACCACTCTCCACTGTATATCGTTGTTATAGACACATGTAATACAACTGTAATCGGACTTAGAGTGGTATAAAATAACATATTCACTATATTTAAATTCAGATAAAGAGAAAATATCTTTGTACTGTACTGTACACACTGTACATGTAGCTGTACACAGTGCAGATCAATGAAATTGTCAATCAATGATTCATTCTCACCTCCTTTTATTCCAATATCCGGGTCCAACTTGGCCAAAGTGATAACCAAAACGATGCCAATGAGGAACCAGTTCCTTTTGATTTTGGCTAGAATAGTCATGCTGGTTTGTTCCCCAACTATCACACGTAATACGATTGGCAAACTTTTCAAATCATTTTTGAAATTTGGTAACCGGAAGTGCCTAGGAACACCCGCCACATCTTGTGTGCACATCCGCAGATACACGAATATAGATCACAATTTTTTCACTAACAGGAAGATGTTTTATGCAATTTCAAATAAAACAAATCATTCTGAATCGGGGAAATAGTTTCATTATTGGCAAATACGTGTGAAATAGCTAATAAATGAGGAATGTTAAAGTCTGCGGATGAACTTATCGAAAGGTCGGGAACTACAATGGCGGATAAAACAAAACAACTGAGATCAACTTTGGCTTTCACTTTGCCGATATCATGCCAGATATGTCTTGGGAAGGTAAATATCATGCTTGTAATTTCATAGATCTTCCTTTGTATTTAAAGACCATCAGTTGTTATGTAGTTCAAATTCAATCTCTATGTACCTTTATAACATGAACTTCAAATTCTGGAAGAATCAGCTACAGTTGGGGACAAAAATAAATGACAGGTCGATTTTCGATCACCATTTCCTAATTATGGTGGTCTGAAAGCCCATAATTTCCAATATTGTCTAGATACATATCCCTTAAAATTTGTATATTTTACATTTTGTATAATCTCATCCACTGATTTATGGCCTCTTGTAAATTCTCTTATTTTTAACATGGGAAATCCTCACTTCAGCAAATCCACCTGTCATTTATTTATGTCCCCAACTGTATGGTAGGCTACAGTCAAATTTTTTATTCTGTCAATCAGTTCATATGGTTAGAATAAGGAAAGAATGTGATGTAACCACATGTCTACTTACTAGCTTGTTCTATGTCATCCATCGGACTAGGTTACATCGTGGAACGCAGCCAAACACGACAATGAAGCCAGTATTCTGAGGTTATAAAATCTAAATCTAAATAATTTCCCATTTGCAGCCCCTTGGAGATTTCCGGAATTGAACAAAGTAGCGAACGTTGCGATCTTTCAACTTTAGTTCGTTGTTTTTTCACCACCTTATGTGTACTGTTTTCATTTAGGAGGCGGTCTTATTTGAATGCATCATTACAGGTCTTTATGAATCAATAGATCAATAAACAGCTCTAAAAATACAATTTAGCAGTTTCTTTCATTGCGTACTGCGCATGTTAGGCACGAAATAATTTAGCAGTTTCGTTCGTTGCGTGATTGGGCCTTCTATAATCAGTAGCAAATGCTCGGAAAACATTTTCCAAAATATTTACTTCCGATTTCCTTGAAGACATGATTGGGTGACACGTCATTGACACGTGATTAAGTCACATGATCGATACAGTAACTAGTCACGTGATCAGACATGTATCACGTGTCAGTCACGTGAGCTTGCAAAATGGACGATCTAAATTTCCAAAAATTCGGCTAAGATCAAGATAGATATGCTGTTGCCTTCAGCGTCCTGTTCGGCTGCGTTCCATGATGTAACCTAGTCCGATGGATGACATAGAACAAGCCGGTAAGTAGACACGTGGTTACATCACATTCTTTCCTTATTCTAACCATATGAACTGATTGACAGAATAAAAAATTTGATTGTAGGCCTACATGTTACCATATTCTATGGCCACTGAGTGTGGCCATACAATATAAATAAGACACTCTTTGTTGTTTTGAATTTGCCTTAAATTGCCGAGCCGACTTATTTTTATTGATGTAAACATAATAAACTCACCCTCATTGATCTATACACTTAGTCCTATTTCATAAATTGGTCTACTTCACAGGATATTTATTCACAAAATAAAACGGAAGGAAATTTTTACAACAAGCGGCCATCTTGACTAAATCGCTATAGCGGAAAAAAGTCATGCTTTCAAAATGGAGAACGAGACGACGTCTATTTTAAATGAAAACGTTCAATATCTCATCAACAAGATAAGCCGTTATCATTTCAATTCATGAAATATTTAACAGAATGATTTTTAGAATATTACATAAATTCATTGAACGCTGGCTTAAGATTTTACAATAGTTCACGGTGTTCCAGATGGAAACACTTCTAGCCAAGAATTGGCTAGAGACTCGAGTAAGCTACATGTAAGTTACTGGTACATCTGGCTGGCTAAATGTCTGTCTATACAGTCTTGTATTGGTCTTATGTTATCCCGTTCCCGGACTATGGTCCTGTGAACATCTCAATCTTTTGCCTGTGCGATTACAACATGGGAGAATTTTTTACTCATCTTACACTTCTGATACCTACTTCAATAGATTCCTTGGTAATTTAGCATTCTTTTCGTGTAGTTGAATCCACAATTGTCTGGGTTTATCGGCAGAACGAAGACATTTTCGTTTTTGATCGCAATATTTGCGTGGAACATTTAACTTATTTCAACCGTCAAATTCCTCCATATTGGTACTTCCGGGCTACATCCGGGACAGCCAAACGGGGGATTCCCCTTTTAAATCCAACCGCCATTTTGAAAAGTGATGGAATCTCTCTCGATGAAAAAGAGGAATGTTCCCGTTCTGCCGATATACCCAGACAATCGGCGGTTCCAATATATTAGAAGTTACATCTTGAGTTCTATAATGCATTGAGGTAGGTATCTTAAGTGTAAGGGGCGTAGATAATTCTCCCAAGTTGTAATCGTACAGGCAAATGAATGCGCTCAGTGCAGGACTATAGTCCGGGAACGGATAAGTCTTATGAGCCTTCAATCTCTTGAATTGAAAGCCCATTCAGCATTCTTCTCTTGAAACTACTTTGCCGTGTTAGTTTCACAGTCCAAAATATTCTACACTAACATGCACAGTAAGAAAGTTATGGCATAACTTCTCTCGAAAACCCAAAAAAGTGTAGCTTTCTCGAATTGCAGAGTATTTCAAAATATCCACTATCAATTAGAATTATTGTGTATTGAGTTGATGAAACAAGATGTAGTCTCACTTCGGTTATGCTCATATTGCACTCAGATTCCAGAGAAACTGAATGTAGTCTCACTTCGGTAGAGCTTGAGTTGAGCGACAAGAAAATGCAGCAAACTCCTCGTAGTCGAGATATCCAATTCAAAAACTTGCCTACCCAAGGCCCTGATTCCATGGGTTCATTATACCAATCATTGTTTTATGATGACTGATTCACTGTTTATCAAAACCCAAAGAGCAAGGCATTGAACGAAAGTATATGCTTGTTTGTTTTGTTGTTGGTTGGGTATCATGCCAATGACGTCACAAACGATCAAAGAAACTTTAAACCAATCAGTGAGGACTAGATTATTTCTTTGTAGTTGATTGGGCAATACATGCCTGACGTCACAGATGACTTGGAATGTGTATCACACCATTTTACGACATTGCATTATTTTAGCTAACTTTGGCTTCATTTTAAGCTATATTGAGGACTTTTATAAAAATATAATAATGAGTCAGTATTTTTTTTTAAATATTTATGTTTGAAGCGGATCTGCCATATTTTAAACATCTGAAGTCCTTTTTGGTGAGTCTTTCAAACACAAAAAATGGTAAATTAATTGAATATCGTAATGGAAAATACGTCTAGATTTTGGATGAAAAATGTTTGTTTTTACTTCTTGTATAGATGGTCCTAAAATCGAGTACATGTACATAAAACTTTCAAAATTACTTTCAAATAACTTATATTTGAAATACACCTGTAAATCTCCTTGAATAATGTTTTGACCAATTTCACATAAAATAGTTAAGTTTAAAGTTTTAAAATATTTTATTTCTGTGTCACAGGTTTAAAAACTACATTCAATATCATATAATAAATACTTTTTTTAAAAAACCCACCAGCCGGCATCGGCTTAACCTTTACCATGCTGCCTTATTTCAGCAAATATATCCCACGCAACTGGCTTATTTTTCAAAGAGTGCAAAAAATGATATACCTGGACTAAATAATTAATATCTCAATAACTACTGAATGAATCTGGATAAAATTTTCACAAAGGGAAGATACAGTGGCCTGGCTCATGAAAAAAATGTTCTCATGAATTTTTTCGTACATTAACACGACTGGGCATAAATATACCATGAATACTCCTCCGGAATCCGCCGCTCTTCGTCTGGTCAGAATCCAAATCTGAATTTGCAGCGATCGAATGTTCAATTTTTCAATTCAGAAAATATTCTAGTTTCTATTTTCGATGACCGTTATCGGCTTCCAAGAGCCTAAAGAGCTCGAAATCGTAATCCATTTCCTCCACATTTTCGTTGTGATCGTATTTGTCCACCATTTTGTACGATTCGTTCACTAAAAACGACTAAAACACTGTTTAAATTGTTGAATTGAGAATTATTTTTCGAAATATCGCCATTTCTAGGTCAACAGGAAGTCATGTTAAGCACTGAATAAATCGGGCAATCTAATTGGACAATACGAATGGCGCAAAAAAGTAAAGTTTTTGAACGTTTGAAATCGGGCGTACGGGTCCGCCGGCAGTTGTGAGAGACATTTTAGTCTCGGCGGACGAGTCCGCCGGCAGCACGCTAAAGGTTAAGAGACACCATTAAATGTATATCTAATTGTAATTGAATATTGACTAGAGTAAAAGTTGACTTAATAGAGCAATCTTAGATAGAGTAGTATTCAAGTGCTGCCATCTTTAAATACTTTGACAAATATTTTCTACTAATGGCCATTATCACAATAAATGAATATGCATGCATAAATAAACTGTATTGATACAATAAATTTTGTAGTCAAGTGCTGGAAAATGACTATAACAGATTGGGGACACACACCTGCTGCCCAGTTATATCTTTAATTCTAAAAAGTATCAGTTTTAACCAAGTCTGGACTTCACAAATGTAACTCCTATAATCCTATAATCTGCCACATAGTCAAATTGCCTTTTTGAATACATATTATGAATAAGAGCTGCTAGAGGTTTTTGAATCTTCTTGGCAAGCATTAGTCCAAATTTACAAAATCTCTGCTTTCAGGTGAAAGACCCAACTGTCTGTCCCAATCGACATGTTTTCTGCAGTGGTTGCATGGATGTTTGGTTACAGAGGAACCAACAATGTCCTTCCTGTAGGGTTCCTATTACAACAGAAAACCCTTGCAAACCTATTTTAGGTAAGTACTTAATGCACACCGTGTTCAAGGAGTGATGTTATAAGTTCATGATAATAGAGAGAGCAAAAGTATGACATTACAACCATTTTTTCATGGGTTTTACTTTTAAGGTGATTTAAAGATGGTAGTAATGTAGTTCATATTATGTTCACACTCTTTTTGGATCGGATTATTTCACAGGTTGACTTTAAGGCCATCTTTTTGTGAACCTGAGACTGGATACACATGCTTTTGGCCAGCCTCGTCCCCCTCTCTGTATATAACATCTATTTCACCTTTTTGGGGAGTCACATGAGCTTTCAAACAATTCTAACAGTGATTGTTTTTACCCAATTTGACCCATCAATGTTGATAAATATGCTGTATTGGTCTTTCCAAACTGGAAAATTTCCCAAAATATGGAAAAAAGGTAGTATTTGCCCAATCTTCAAAAAAATGGTCAATAGATAGAAGATACTGATCACAACTTGGAGTAATTTTTCGATCTGAGGTTTAATATCAAACTAGATCTTTGAATTGCTTTGTATATTTTACAGGGGGACATAGTGATCAACCAGTAGGGGGAGGTTGTGATAGGTTATTGTCAAACTGAATCTTTGAATTGCTTTGTATGTTATACAGGGGGACATAGTGATCAACCAGCAGGGGGAGGTAGTGATAGGTTATTGTCAAACTAGATCTTTGAATTGCTTTGTATGTTTTACAGGGGGACATAGTGATCAACCAGCAGGGGGAGGTAGTGATAGGTTATTGTCAAACTAGATCTTTGAATTGTTTTGTATGTTATACAGGGGGACATAGTGATCAACCAGCAGGAGGAGGTAGTGATAGGTTATTGTCAAACTAGATCTTTGAATTGCTTTGTATATTTTACAGGGGGACATAGTGATCAACCAGCAGGGGGAGGTAGTGATAGGTTATTGTCAGACTAGATCTTTGAATTGCTTTGTATATTTTACAGGGGGACATAGTGATCAACCAGTAGGGGGAGGTAGTGATAGGTTATTGTCAAACTGAATCTTTGAATTGCTTTGTATGTTATACAGGGGGACATAGTGATCAACCAGCAGGGGGAGGTAGTGATAGGTTATTGTCAAACTAGATCTTTGAATTGCTTTGTATGTTTTACAGGGGGACATAGTGATCAACCTGCAGGGGGAGGTAGTGATAGGTTATTGTCAAACTAGATCTTTGAATTGCTTTGTATGTTTTACAGGGGGACATAGTGATCAACCAGCAGGGGGAGGTAGTGATAGGTTATTGTCAAACTAGATCTTTGAATTGCTTTGTATGTTTTACAGGGGGACATAGTGATCAACCAGCAGGGGGAGGTAGTGATAGGTTATTGTCAAACTAGATCTTTGAATTGCTTTTTATGTTATACAGGGGGACATAGTGATCAACCAGCAGGGGGAGGTAGTGATAGGTTATTGTCAAACTAGATCTTTGAATTGCTTTGTATGTTTTACAGGGGGAAATAGTGATCAACCAGCAGGGGGAGGTAGTGATAGGTTATTGTCAAACTAGATCTTTGAATTGCTTTGTATGTTTCACAGGGGGACATAGTGATCAACCAGCAGGGGGAGGTAGTGATAGGTTATTGTCAAACTAGATCTTTGAATTGCTTTGTATGTTTTACAGGGGGACATAGTGATCAACCAGCAGGGGGAGGTAGTGATAGGTTATTGTCAAACTAGATCTTTGAATTGCTTTGTATGTTTTACAGGGGGACATAGTGATCAACCAGCAGGGGGAGGTAGTGATAGGTTATTGTCAAACAAGATCTTTGAATTGCTTTGTATGTTATACAGGGGGACATAGTGATCAACCAGCAGGGGGAGGTAGTGATAGGTTATTGTCAAACTAGATCTTTGAATTGCTTGGTATGTTTTACAGGGGGACATAGTGATCAACCAGCAGGGGGAGGTAGTGATAGGTTATTGTCAAACTAGATCTTTGAATTGCTTTGTATGTTTTACAGGGGGACATAGTGATCAACCAGCAGGGGGAGGTAGTGATAGGTTATTGTCAACTCCACAGCTGAGGAAGGCAAGGCTAGATATCATATATAACGACCTTGAGGTGAGTTATTAGAACTACTAGTTACTGGTCAAAAATGGAGCAAATTCATGACTTGGGGTTCTTGAATTGAATACCATCAAATAGTTAATGATGCTTTGACCCTATTTTAATTCTAAAATTATAATTTTAAAACATTCCTTGGTGAATGAAAACTTGCATATTTAAAGTTCTTACTGTAAAGTACATTTTGACAGAATTTTTGTTCAGTGTCACAAACTAGTCTAGTTCAATAATATCTGTAATATCGGCTTGATTTAATCATGTTAATCAAAGCTCACTAGTTAACATCAGTATTTTTCAATTAATTCAGGAGGAAATTCAGCGTCTGGAAAAACAAGTACAAACCACAACTGTTGAGAATGAAGCTCTCAAACTACAGCTTGAATCAGCCAATCAGATCCATGAACCAGAGGTCAATGGGGATACTGACCAACAGGGTGAAAGGTCAAAGTGTGAATGTGGGAGATCAGGTCAAGGACAAGGTATTGATATGATGGTTGTCATAACAAACAAATTGAAGGATGCAACAATGCAATATGAAAAAGTGAAAGAAGATATAGAAAAACTAAAAAAGGTAAGCCAACAACTGCTTTTTTTACAAAATACATATACTTGATAATTATGTTCAATTTTGGCTTTCAATATGAGTGACTATTTAGTTACCGACTTGTACATCCATCAATCCATCAATATTTTCTGACAAATTGAAATTGCCCATCGTCTGCAGTAAGACTCATATCTATTTTATAATAATCTACACCATTTGGTGTCATTATCTACTTTTGCTTCATTTTGTAGAAATCAGCTTTTTTGTTGTCAAAATATCATATCTTCAGAATATTCAGACTTGTCATCATGGCATGTAAATCTACCAAATGGAAGATATTCATTCTTATTGGCTGCTCAAGTTGCATCATCATGTCTTGGGGTAATCCAGGTAATCTTACTAATTTAAATCCTGTCGCAAAATGCATTCAAAATGTATTCATCCGTATTTCTATTGTATTCCAGATCAATTCCAGACTAGAAGATGACCTGAGTAACCAAACAAGAGAGACTCAACGTATGAAGGTAGAACTGGCAACTAGGTCACCACAGAGGTAAAAAAGCTAAGTCATGTGTACAATTAAACCTGTATCCAAATGCCCCTCCTATCTGAACACTTCTCATTTTGATCACATTTTGGTCCCATTTTCCTGTCAACACCAGAAGCAGTTGTGGTTGGTGTTTGGTGGTCAGTGTCTGTAACAAATTGCAGGTGGTGACATTTTACATGTTTATGCCTTGTTATGTCACCACCACAAGTGGTGACATATTGTTATTGTCACCAACTGTGTTGTGGATGGTGTTCAGTGGTTGGTGTTTTCCGTTTGGTGTTCGGCGGTTGGTGTCTGTTACAAATAGCAGGTGGTGAAATTTTGCATGTTAATGCCTTGCTCAATGTGATACAATCTTCCAGTTACATTTGGATTAGATTCATTTAACTGTATTTGAATTCTAAACTCTCTGAATTTCGAGTTACTATATTCAGATATTTGTTTTTAGTTGGTCAGTGAATTGATTTGCTGATTCAAAAACAGACAAAATAAAATATGCCACTATTCCTATATTTGGGAATATATCAAATTAAAGCTCATCTGTCAGTTGTTTAAACATAACGGTGTGTAAAATAATGTAAATACCAGTTATTAATTGAATTAATGGAGTATCCAAATGATTGTATTGTAATCCAAATGATTGTATTGGCATGTTACTTCACTTTAAAAGTAAAACACCTTCTATTTTCTTTTTTTCATGTCATTATTTCTTTTTACTGCACTGATTGCAGAAATAGCCCAACTTTATTATGATGCCCTTCATAACAAAATGTTTACATAAAACATCAAAAGTATTTTCAACTTGATATATATATTTTCAGATTTGGTAGATACACAGTTGCAGCTCTAGAGTCCAAGTGTGAGAAGTATGAAAGAGAGATAAGGCAACTTCAGAAAGCCTTGGAGCGCAGTGATAACTACATTGCTGACCTTGAGAAACAGCTAGAATCAAGGAAACATAATGAAACTGATAAAAATCAGCCTTCGGATTATTCAATATTCAACAATGATGGTAGCAAGAAGACAGTCAGTGAAAATTTTTCAAAAAGTGAAGAATCAATCTCTCAGCTAGGTTTACCCAAATTTGATATCGCAAACTTTAAAAGTGGTACAGTGGATGATGGGAAATTAAGTCCTAATTCTTCCTCGGCTAGAAGGAACTTGTTCTCTAATGATACAGGCAATGCTAAGAGCCCAACTACTACTAGGCGTTTCTATGGGCAACCATCAACCCACAATGCAATAGGAAACTCCCATAATGCATTTGAGGTTGGGGACTCAGCAGACGACTCTTTGGATGATTCTTATTTCAGATCCAAAACAGACGCAATAAAACCGGGGATTACATCGAAAGCATTATCAAGTACACTTAACACACGTCCAAATCAACATGACACTGCTTCCAATAGCTATAAACTCAAAAATCAAAGCAGCCCAAAGGGGAAAAACTCATCATTTGAGTTTGAGCAGCCAAGCCCTGTTACTCCATCCACTAAACTCGCAAAGCTATCCTTGAATAGACATGGTAGCAATTCAGTGGAATCAACGCCTGAAAAATCTCCTTCTCTTCCAAAAAAATTCTACCGATCCTCTTCATTTGAGTTGAAATCTCAAAACACCGGGATATTCTCCGATACGCAACACAAAAGCAACATTCTTAAGTTTAATAAACCCAGCGGGAGTGACATTAAATCTAAACCTGTTCCCAGGGTAACTGCTCTTAAAAGTGAATATTCAGTGATTGACACTCATAATCATAGAGTGGATGACTCAATAGATGTCACCCTTGATACAACCACAGCTGCACAAAATGAACTGAATGATTTAGACATCACGATCACACCTGAACTCACAGACTGCATGAAACTTTTCAACGCTGCACAAAGAAATGTGGAGAAAAGAGAGAACTCATCAAATTCCTCCAAGACCTCTCAGGACCAATCGAATAGTCTATCAAGGGATATCCCAACGGGGAGTAAACTCAATCTCCAAGAAGGAACATCCTCCAGTGGCAGCGATCCTATTAAAAACCCATACACATATTCAGGAAAGGGACTTGCCTTAGTAAAACCCTCTACTACTCATGGTGAGTTTTCAAGTATATTTGGAAATTCTAGTAAGGCCTTATCAAATGGTAATGATAAACCTGATTCTAATCAGAGACAGACGTTTACTGGAATACAGCTGTCAACAGAAACTATAACATTGAAGGATTACCCGCTATTTGCAATTGATAAACCAACAACAGAGAATAACAAATCGGCGCAAGCCCATAAAGACAGCATGTACAATAGTGTTCAGTACAGACAAAATGGCGGGTATGATACTGGGAGATATCGTAAACGCTCAATAGGTGACAGCACTGTTGATTCCTGGTTGCCTAGTAGCCCATCTAAAACAACAAAGTTGAATTAAACAATAATTAGTAAATTAGGCCCATTTGACAATTTTGGACCAAAATCACTCTGAATGTTGAAAACATGATTTTGAAAGAATTTTTGGCCAGGGGGTACTACGGGCCTATAGATGAAAATAGCTGATCTCAGTTTTTATCACAGGGTGGAGAACCTGACTTTTCAATTTGGGTGCAATCAGATTTGAATAAGGTTGCATATAATGTTTAATAAAGTGGATCATCCTGTGATTTTCACAAGAAAGACCACTAAATATTCAACTAAGCAATACACTGTAATTTAACTGTAATTGATACGTTTTCCATGAACCAAAAACTGCATTCATATAGCCTATATACTAAAACAACTTTATTCATTTCTTCAGAGAATTTTTAAGTAGATCAAGGCTTTCGACTTGTATCCTCGAGTCTTTTTCAATATTTAAAAAAAATGTAACAACATACATGTATGACGTCATTCATATATTTTTTCCACTTCCAAGTTATGTCCAGACAATGGCCAAGGCAATAATGTAATTTAGTGGAGTTAATAAGTCACACACGTCCTTTTTGTATGGAGAATTACTCTCCCCTCCAAAAGATTAGCAATTCTTCACTTGTTGCTTGTGTTTTGTGTTCTTATGTCACCACCACAAGTTGTAACATATTGTTCAGTGGTGACATATTGTTCCAACTTTTTGTTGATGTTGTTTGGCGATCGGCTTCTGTAACAATGGTAGGTGCTGACATTTTGCAAGTGAATGATTTGTTTCGTCATCTTTTACATGTTTTTTTAGATAAATGATTAATAAAACAGACGTTAACACTTTGTACAATAAGGAAGTTGATTCTGTCAAACTCAAGGACGGGAATGTTCTGTTTGATGTATTGGAACGAGAGAGAAAAATCAACATAGCTTATTATGATTTCTACGAAGACCTGTTCCCTCATTAATCTTACTAGGCAAATATTTGATAATGTCTTTGCAAATAGATTGAAATATTGGAAATTGCTGATCAGTCTTCATCTCTGATTTACAAGAGGAAGTCGTGGAACTGTGGAAATATTTAGTCTGTTAACAGGACACAGAAATGTTTGGGATCATGGCCAAATGTTAAGGATTATATCCAAATGTTTGGGATTATATCCAAATGTTTGGGATTATGTCCAATTGTTTGGGGTTATATCCAAATGTTTGGGATAATATCCGAATATTTGGGATTATGTCGAAATGTTTGGGATTATGGCCAAATGTTTGGGGTTATATCCAAATGTTCGGGATTATGTTCAAATGTTTGGGATTATGTCCAAATGTTCGGGATCATGTCCAAATGTTCGCGATTATGTCCAAATGTTCCGGATAATGTCCAAATGTTTGGGATCACTGCCAAATGTTTGGGATGATATCCAACTGTTTGGGGTTATATCCAAATGTTTGGGAAAATATCCGAATGTTTGTGATCATATCCAAATGTTTTTGGATTATGTCCAACTGTTTTGGGATTACAATAATTTTGGAATCACAATATTCGGAATTATGTCCAAATGTTTGGGATTATGTGAAAACGTTGATAATTGTTGGATTAAACCCCTTAATTCTCCCAATGCTAATTTGATTGTCACTTGTTTTTTTTTTAAAATTAACATTCGAAATAAAATCATAATTTACCACACGTTTTACGAAATTAACCTTTTGATTGTCTCAACTGTTGATGTTTTGACATCATCCCTATAATAAAAATAAATACTAATATCCATATATTTTTGCGCACGTCCCATCAGGGAAAATAGAAAAACTATGCATCACCTTAGTTTTAAAAGTTATGTGTATATCAGACTGTGTCTTAGAACTGGATTTAACTCCAGAATGTTGATGTAATGTATGTCTTTCTGATATTCGATAAATGTATATCCAACGCGATTTAAATGAGAAAATCTAGAAATAAACAGTTTTAATCAGATCTAGAAATAATTATGTTTGTTTACTGTTACATAAATCATTGATTTATTACAATATTCCGAAGTGGCTGACTTGATTTAAAGCAATAAAAAAGAAATAAAACATAGAAATAAGTGACTAATCAGATAACAGAATAATATAACTGGTTTACTTTTGGGATAAAACCGCACGAAATGTCTCTTTTATCTTAATTAGGTAATGCATTTATTTTGGGCAAATGCTTTTCTCAGGATTTTATTTCAATGAAATATACCACTTCCAAGCTTAGGAAAGCGTACTGTCAACGTTAAATCAAAATGTAAAACTGTTTCCTCAGAATATCGTAACTTAGTTCTTGTGATAAAATTTGACAGTTATGGTGAACAAATTATAGTGGCAGCGTAGAATATGGAAAGTTGAAACTCCGAAGCAATATGTCAATTAAGAATTTCGAATGTTTTCCTTATGCCATTTCTGAAAAAAAATATTGCAACTAAACATTCATTTATTTCTAGAAAATTATTAGCTACAAGGTTTTTTAGCTTACCTCAGTGTCATTGATGAAACAAAGAGTGTTGTCTTTGTATCAAAAGCGAGGAACGAGAACTCTGACTAAAACTGAGAATACTAATAAGGTTTTCTTAAAACATAAATAGAGATTATGCACGAACTGCAACGTCTACAGACATTGAGAAACTCATCCAAAAATGGGTTTAAATTGAAGAAAAAATATCGTACGAAAATCTGTCACTTGAACTGAAAACAGGACATCGTGTTACGAAGACACGGTGTCTTTGTATCACAATACCTCCCAGTAGTATACATATAAGGGCTAAATGATCCGCCTAAATCTCGCATCCAGCCTTTTGCCTGTCCACTCCATATTGTATCCGCTTTAAAATGAACAAAAACATTAACCAGTAGTCCCCAACCACTTCATAAAATCAATCAATGAAGAATGTGGTTTAGAACTTATGAGACTAGACGGCACCTTATAGCTAATAATTTACTAGAAATAAATGAATGTTTATAAAATGAGCACTGTTCGTTTGATGATATACTTCTGTATGAATAATATTGATCTTGTTTCCGCTACCAGTTACAGTTAACATTGACATTGATTACATTTGCGTTTATTCGTATTAATATAAAATAATAGGATGGTTGGTTAAGCTCGACAAGGAAATTTGTACGAGAACGTGTTGTATTGTGAGATTTCCATTTTTACATAGACGAGAACGACGCGGTTTTGACTAATCTCGGAGTTATAACTTAAAAAAAAAAAAATGACATCACACACAATTGAAACAATATCGTTGCTTTTAAAACGCGAAAAGCGCGAGCAAAATTACAAATACGTGTACTCTCATTTTTTTTTTTTTTTACATCGAAGCAAGACCAATCTTATAATCTCTTGTCAATAAAGTACCCCATCAGAAGTGCTAGAGCCCTACGCTAGTTGAACTCAATTTGAATATAAGCAAGGGGTCTTTTTCGACAATGCAAAATCAAACCTATATCGCTGCTAACGAAATATGTTTTCCTGGATGTAAAGGCAACTATTTGTATAGGGTGACATAATAAATTACTTACTACTCATTTGAGTAAATCACTTTGGTGGATTGAGTTAATAACGCATGGTGCTCATTGCAGCTTTTATTAATTCAATATTACCCTGTTGAAGATTCTAGAAAGAAAACGTTCACTCCACTCTTTATAACAAAACTTGATTACCGGAACGCTGTCATATACTTATATACGTAACTTCGATTCATACTCGTTACATATATTTCTTTAGGTTATAAGATCACACTGGAATGGCCTGACGGCGGTAAAGTCAGATACCGTTGTCACAAATGGCGGACATAACCATCGCTTCAACTGTTTAATCACTTGGTCCTCATTTCATTGGATTTTATCGTCACATATTCTATGCATGTATTAAGCTCTTGTGATGATGTTTCATATGAAATCCCAATTTCGATCAAATTGGGTCGTGAATCGCCACAATATACCGTTTTCGATATCGTCAATGACAACGGAATCTGAATTTGAGTGATTTAGAAAGACAACGGCATATGGTAATTACTAATTACAGTGTCCGTTGTCCCGTATCTCATTTTGATCGGTTAAATTAAAGACTTTATTTCGATGGTAGAACATATTAACTGTACAATGAATATTAAGACACTTTGATTGATTGTTGTCCCAAAGGAATTTAGTCTAGGTGCTCTATTAAACATACAGTTCATGGAAATCTAATTGAAGCGACGGTTATGTCCGCCATTTGTGACGACAACGGTATCTGACTTTACCGTTGTCAGGCTATTCCACGGTGTATATGTTACTAGAGAGCTTTGGTTAGAGATATATAAGTTATTTGGAATACGTTTACGCAAACTTGTACTTGTACAAGTCAGGTAAAACACTGGGAGGAACTCTGGAAACGAAGAGAGGGTGCTTTCATCCCTCAAATCACAACAGAGTATTTGGCACATGTAGTTCATGGGTTCCAGTTTCAAAACTTAGAAAATAATCTTGCCATTGCTGGCCATGGGATATTCACAAATCAATTTCCCCGATTAGGAAACATGGAAAATGTTTCTAATCAAATGAACTTTCCTGGTTTCTTTGAGAAACAGTGGTGTTAACCTCATTTAAAAGTCAAAGTTGCAGTTTAAGTTTGGACTGAAAACTTATATCGAAAGCTCTATATTAGCAGCATCGAAACTGCTAAATCGTTTGTTATATCCAGAGTAGTGATGGGTATTGTAAATATGTGTTTGTTAAGGGTAATTAAATGTCAGATCTCATCTGTAGAATTCAACATTTAGAACAAAGCAGTACTTAGCTAATTTGATGCCAGACTTTTTATGGACATTTCATATCCACATTTGCGGAAGTAATTGTGATTTGATTTGATATGTATTTGATTCTGCTTGTAGGGCACGTGTTGAACGTGGCATATGGCACATTAATGCGAAGTATGCGTAGAGGAAAATTTGAAAGTTTTGAGCTGTAAATTAACAAGAATTTTACTTTACAGGTTACATGTGTTATTCTGTTTAAAATGTGGTATTTTTGATGTCCAAATTGTAATATATTGTGCTTTCTTTTGCATCTCTGACATGGGCGTATCCATGGGGCGGGGTGTGATGGGTGCGATCGCCAAACAAAAGAGCTTTAAAATGCTTTTTATAACAAATTTTTATTACAAGACTCTAGCGACGCAAACACCCGTTATTCATCGAAAGGGAATCGGGTTGATATTCCCGAACCCGGACTACGGAGACAGTTATTTTGCAATAAGTAAAAAAGCATTTTAAACCCACATGTAACGAGGTGACAAAATGTGCATATCTTTGATCACCAAGTATCGTTTGACTTCACGAGAGCTTCGTCGTAGTTTATAACTATACTCTGCGCGCAGGGTAATATATTCGAAAAATATTGTAAAAATGCAGTTTACGAAAGTCAACGACACGACATTACGTTATTTTAGCTAATATAGGGCTTGCGGGCCTCGATAACAGTGTGAATAAATGCATTTTACGAAAGTCAACGACCCTACCTTATATTAGTCTAACTGATTAGAGGTTGTATGGGCGTTAACAGGACAGGAAACATAGCTAATTTGATTGACAGCCATGCAATTGCATGGAGCAATTACAGTAAAATAGAACTGCTTCCTGTCTGAGATAAACAATATTGATCACCATAAAGCCACATCCTGATACTCCTCAAATCTTTCTGTTTTTCAACGAGAAATTATGAAAATGAACTGAGAAATAAGCTATGTTTGAAAGAATTGTCACTCCCGGGCCCGTGGCCAGCTTTTACCAAGAGGAGGGGGTTCACTCTTCACAAAAAGATTCACTTAGAGGCGGGGGTCACATTCGACAACGTTGACCCAAAATCGGTAGAAAAGTTTTCAACATGATAAATGAACGTAATGGATGGTACTAATTGAAATTAACAAAGTTGCACTTTAAGGTGCCGTGGTACTTATCAGGAAATGACAAAACAGGAAGTGACAAAACCATGCTAGATTTCAAACATTTTTTGAACCAAGATAACAGAGATCTGTGTTGATGTCTCTGGTCCAGAGGGTGGTAATATTGCAAGATTGTACATTTCGTTCAGTACTTAACAAAAAGTAGAGTTGATCGGGTTCCATCTGGGGGTTCCAACCATTCTCTAGATAAGTCATAAAATGAGTATAACAAATAAAGCATCGTCAAATACTGAATAAATAACCTCCTTGGATATTCTCTCAGAGGCATAGCAACATACTGTACATTAATTGTAAATATATCGTTAAGCAAAAGAATGTTGCGTTCTGCCGGTACCATGACAGCGTAAAAACACTAATCATCAAACGAATTATCGGCTCTCTTTTATACATTGCTTTTTTTTAGATTCTGATATTAACAATTAACCCATTGACTTAGCATTCTAAGCATACTTGTAGATTGAATGCATTTGATACGACTTGATTTAGAGCTTGTTAAGCGTCTACTAGTGTCATTTATAGCCCATAAAATAGCCGAGTCCAATGAGCTAATGGTGATTGTATTTAGCAAGGTCCAACCTAGGGTAGTCGATAACAAGAAAAAGCCCATACTTTTAACATGTTATTTCTAATGATTGAGATTAGCATCCCTCAGAAGTGATGGCATTCAAAGAATCGAAGTACACGCAATGTACAATCCCCTAAAAGTCAAGCAATGGATATTGTGCGAATGCATTTAATGTTTGAATATTTGCATTTTGTACGTGTTACATAATTAATACCTCCGATTAATTTCGGAATATCAGATCCGTGGTCCACCGTGGCTGTACATTCTGATAATCATCACATCTTTCTGCCATCAACTAGAAATCTAGAGAAAAACTAATAGAAGGCCATGATTTCTCCGGATTTCTCATGATCATGATGGCTGTCGGGTTAAAGTCCCCGATAAATCGGGCTACGTATACCGCCGTGTTTACATTAGGGGATTATAAGAGTTTATTTTTTATTTAGGTATGCAAGCTACGTATATCAATATTAGGCCTTCATTCATGTACTCGTGTGCATGTAATCAGCATGCCCTTCAATATTATGTAAACCAGGCTATTCAAGTACTGTATAATGTACACTATTTATGTGTGTACTACATATACAATACAATTCCCTGGGAAACAAATCACAAATACTTTTTATATGTTCAAAATGAGCCATTTGATTGATGCAAACACTAAATAGCTTCATAAATAACATCTACAAAGTATATCTAATAGTAATTTTCAATTTCAATGGTGAAACTTCCCTGGTTGCGATTATATTGGAAATCATCACGAGACGAAGATCGTTCGCCTTCCTGGCTTACCTCTGAATCGTGTACCTGGTAATCTCTTTATATAGTTTAGCGAGAGCGGTGCGCCTTCGCAGTTTTAAACTTTGGCGCACACTTTAACACAAAACCCCGATTGTGAGAAGTGGGTTATAAATCCATTGGAGTAATTAATCCCCTCTTGATAGGTTAATATGGGACGGTGACCCAGACTTATAGAAAATTTATATGCCTCTGAGTGATCGTATAACATCTCTATCTTTCCGTATTAGGCCTACTAATTCTCAATGCATGTGTTATTTAAGACTGTGATACACAGAGGAAGGAAAAATAATAGATTCGATAATTTGTTCTCGGGAGAGCACAGATTGACCGCAATCGAAGATGTTTATATTACGGAGAAGGCCGAATATCTAACCCTAACCAATCAAATTCCTTGAAGGGTTAGATTTAATCTTCGGCCATCTTCGATCACGGTCCATAAATCGTTATCCATTTCCGTTCAGCTGGCATAACATCATATCTTCACAAAGCAACATATCATGTACTGTTTGAAGAATGTCTCTCGACTGAGCAATAACTCACAATCCGTGGATATGAAGTTATTCTCCCACGTGTAAAGGGTAATCGTCGCCTTTGTCTGAGGATTCACAAGGGAGCAATTTTAAGTAGACAAACGCCTGATATATTGCTGGATTTCCTCAGGGTGGCATTTTTATTGTATCATCATTTGAAAACTGCGTGTTATGTGAACGTTTCGATTCATTTTCAGCCATAGCAGAATTCGCATTAATTGGAGGCAGAGTGGGAGTTGAACTGTTTCTATTGAACGTCGGCGAGGTGGTACTTGTTGCATTGTCGTCTTTTTCATTTTGCCAAGTCGAAGATGTCATATTGATTTTATTCGTACCCATTCTGTGAATATTGGTTTTGGGTAAGATTTGAACGTCGTCCAAACTTCTTGATTTTTCGTCATCTGGAGCGAGAGCCTCGAAGTCCTGTACTATAATATCAGGAATGATAAGACGGCGTCGTGGTCGCTTAATTCCGCCCTCGACCGCACCAAAACTGATGGCCCTCCGACGCGGAACGTCTATCTCATCATCCGATTCAATAATGGAATCCAATTGGTCGAAGCTTCCCCGAAGATTCATTTTCATAATTGGAGGTAGTTTTCCTCCTTTTTGAGTCTGTCTATTCCTGGGAGAAAACTTTAATGGAATCTGGTTTCCTCTCTGGAATGGTAGTTTATCATGTGATGTACTTGACATTAAACTTTCTAGACTTTTATGCCTGTTTAAAATTAGTGGAGCAATACCAGAGTCCTCTCTCTGTACGTAGAGGTTTTCCAGTGACTTCGCCTGCTTACTTTTAAGTTTTTGTCTAAGAGCTGATAACCGCGTGTCATCCTTGGTATCTTTCAACGATAGGATGTTAATATCCTCAATTGAAGTATCTTCATATCCATCAGGTTTATCTGCCGCTGTAGGTGCGCTCATACTGTCATTACGTTTGCTATTTGATCCAATGGCCATGTCCTTCAACCTTGCGCGAATCGCCTCTCGCTCCTTATCAAACTTCATCATAATTCGACTGCGTTCGGTATCCAATTGGTCAATACTCTCCATTAACTGTTTCTCCATATCACGATTTTCCATCACGGATTTCTTCAAGCCTGTCGGTTGCGTATTTAAAACACGATAGAAGTAATTCCCGATTCGGTCTTCGGATATAACCGTGTCGATTTTTCCCGATCGAGTTTCTGATATCTTAGTTTCTGTTGTATTTTCTCTCTGTTTGTCCAGATTCTTCATCATTGAGTGCCAGGCAAGGCGCAGAAATCAGCGTTGATTGTAAGCGTTCTGGAAAAAACAAATTGTACGTCATTATTAAAAGACTAATGCATATGGTTCTGCTTAGCTTACTTTTGCGGAAACAGTGATTCGCCCTTCAACTCGTTCTCCAATAAAATACGCCTATTGGTATTCCGATGTTACCGATAGGCAGGTAGCATGTCGAATATCGTAATATGGGTTATTACTTGCGACATGTATGTCGGTCCTAGCTTATATTGTCATTTTCCTTGATCTATAATTAAAACCCTTGCATTCTTGTAGAGCCAGTAAGGTCCTCAAAGAAGGGGACGAAAAAACCATTGGAACTATAATCTATATTACACTGGAAAAATACTGAAGTTAACATGTATACATCTGCCAGGCTAACCAGTTGTTGAAACCAGTAGCTACTGAGCACAATATTAGTTATTCAACAGCAAGTTACAACATTCACTTGCCATTAATCAACGATCGTTATCTGTTTCATGAAATGATAATTGATATTAATACGTGATTTATGAGTATAATACCGGGCAACGTACATATAATCACGGACTCCTACATGGTTTGTAGATATTACTTAAACAAGATAGAGCAGGTGTATGAGCAAAGACAGGATTCATAAACAGGCGAGGCAAAACTCATTTAAGCGAGGCAAAACTTAAATAGGCGAGGCAAAACTTAAACATACGAAGCAAAACTCAATTAAGCGAGACTAAACTTAAATAGGCGAGACAAAACTTAAATAGGCGAGGCAAAACTTAAATAGGCGAGACATAACTTAAATAGGCGAGGCAAAACTTAAATAGGCGAGACATGACTCAAATATACGAAGCAAAACGTAAATAGGCGAGACATTCTTAAATAGAAGAGGTAAAACTTAAATAGGCGAGGCAAAACTTAAATATGCGAGGTAAAACTTAAATAGGCGAGGCAAAACTTAAATATGCGAGGTTAAACTTAAATATGCTTGACAAAACTTAAATATGCGACCCAAAACTTATATATGCGAGGTAAAACTTATATATGCAAGGTAAAACTTATATATGCGAGGTAAAACTTGAATAGGCGAGGTAAAACTTGAATAGGCGAGGCAAAACTTAAACTAAATGGAGTATTATACTACTATATCGCAAAATGTTCACAGTTTCAGTCTGAAAAATATTTTACTACAACATTTTGGTGAGACAGTTTCCTCTTTTGCCTCATATTGGCTACGCTAGTTTTGATATACACTGAGTACTTTACAATAAATTGGTTTATTTGGGATCAATCAATTGCACCCATGTACCATCTAAATAATATCAATTAGGAAAGATACTGTTTCACCGACTCAATTCAGACTACTTTTCACTACTTCATTTTGCATTCTTATTTTGTGCTTCTCTCATCTGCTTCACGATAAGTTCGTCATTAATTATTGTCGAAATTCTGAAATTCACCGTTTCAATTTGCTCTGACTAACCCTGTCAGTACCAGAAATATAATACGTTCTGCAGTTCTGTTATTGTTTCTTCCTTTCATCACACAGTCAGAAACACTTTTTTTTATCTTTTCCCGATAAATCTTGCTTCTTGAAAGAAAGCTTAAAGTAGAAGTAATGTGTGTACATCTTTTATCTTCGCGGAAATAAATTGAATCGAAAGTTCGAAACCAATTTGTCAGTCGTTCGGTATTATCGTGCGAATCATTAATTAAGTAAGGCGGATTTGCAGTAAATACTGTTACTTTTACCATTATCTCAGCTTTGCAAATGAGATCCACTTGCGTTATACGGCGTGTTATCGTGTCGCCCTTACGTTCAATGTGATTGAAGCTGTCATTTAAGGTCAATACGCCATGTTCCATCACAATACTGAGGGTCTCATTGGGGAGTAGTTTTGATTAAACTAGACTAGCAGTACTGTAATGTCAAATAAGGATGTCATTATTTCCAATACTGAGAATTGCACGTTTTAAATAATTTCATGTTGTGGTTTCCTTTCATTTGTAAAACCTCGTACATTTTTTGTTGTTTATGTCACACATTTTTTGCACGATTAATTATTATCTTTCCCTGATACAGAGATACACAAGCTTCAATTTAAGATATTTTCGTGCTATTGGAATATCATCTTGTGAAAGTGTCACAGGTATTCACCGGAAATAGAAATAAATATTTGTTTTATTATACACTGTTATATTTCGTACTGACATTAATGGAACATCAAAATTTTGATGTCTAATTATATAAATCATAGCAATATACTCCCGGGGACATATAAAATAAAAGTTGCACTGGACTAAGTCGTAACTGGTGAATATCATTTGATATTCAACGGAAGGCACGCATTCCGTTGAATATCGCTTTTTATTTTTAGTCACGTGTATGACATGAACCAATCAGAGAGATAGGAATATCACAGTGGTTTATTAATATATGATAATTGCTGTGACGATACTGTATGTCGTGACGGTATGTCGTCTAAAATGTTATATATCCATTGGCTTAGATAAAAAATTTCCGTGAGCCTAAATTGTAGATATTTGAATAAAATCGAATACCATTTTTATTTTATTTTTTCAGTTCAATCTTAAAATGAGATCAGCAGGTACATTCATCATAGCTACAGTGCATTAACGAGTCCTGGGGAGAATGCCATCGACACAATAGGTATAACACTCAGAAATGAGTATCGTCACGCCTCTTTGTTCTTTACTGAGAGTCGTTATAATAGGTTTGCCTCTCTCGTGAATGGTTAATAAACCTTCCTATAAATAGGTTAATGTGCAATTATATATACCACCATTCCCCAATGAAGGAACGTCCTAAACACCAAGCCAAAATTAGTCCAAATGAAAAAAGGAAACAAGCTTCAAACGCTCAAATTTCAAGAATCGGTCTCCATGTAAGAATAAAGCTCTGCTTGGCCAAATCACGGAAAGAAGAGGGAGCTTTGAAATCTAAACGAGAATGTTGACGTAGATCTAGGTAAATCAAATTCTAGTACTAGATGGCACATAACATAGATTCAATCTGGAATGAATTTGGCAGTACTTACCATTTTATGATATTGTGCTGTACGTATGCCTTCCGTTTCCGCGATTGATAGTATTGCTTACATGTAGTATTCTCATATTACCCCCAGAGTATTTTCTTCACTTAAGCTATGATAGTTAATTTGAGCCTACCTTGAGAGGTTTCGCATTAATGATGTATCAGTAAATGTATTACAAGATATTTCTTAGTTAAGTATACACCGTTGCTCATATAAATGGAACAATGGATTCATTCGAAGCATCGGTTAATTTCATTGAGTGGAAAAAGTAACTTTACGTTTATTTTGATAACGTATATAGTAGACTCAACGGCTTGGCTACAAGAAGGGGACAGCATATTTTCCATTCAATCGAGGTTGGGCCATGCAGCCGAAGGTAAGCCATACGAAGGTACGCCATACAACCGAATTTCGCCGATTCAATCTGACGGAGAATGCCCAGCCTCTCTTTTTGACCAATTAGAGACGTCCTCTTCACATTCGTGGTACCCTCGGCCAACTTCGTTTGGAAAGAAAATCTTCGGCAATCTCCAGCTACATCTTTGCTACGCAAACGGAGACGTCCGAGCGAAATTTCGATTTTTCCTAAGCTTTAGGACTGGAGTGAAGGGATAGGGCAAGGGTTTGGGGATAATGTTGGAGTTGAAGTATTCGGCCATATGCGGTTGCGGACCAAACCGTTGCATTTGGCTACCAGGGCTTTTTAACATTTTGCCAAGTTTTACATTGTTCTATATTGATATACATCTGATACATTCTGATATGTGAAATGTCTAATGGTTAATGGAGAAAAATAACGTTTATTAAAGAACTAGGACGTTAACGTAAACGTAAAATCCGGATAATAAATGCTAGATCAATATTTACTATTACACCGGGATGGAGCATACATCCTATTCCTTGATAACGGTCAGTTTTATCTCCATAAAAACTAGATTTAAAAAAAACTTCTCTAAAAGCTCTTTCATTAATAAATTCAAAATAAGTTGTTTTTTCCATTCATATGAGCTACAGTGTATTCATACGCAATCTGTCACTTATTTGTGATTATACGCTGCGAAGCATCACTCATCTTTACCTTTATTAACTACTTTAATAACTCTAATCTGTATTTAACTTACTCTTACCTGCATCGATAATAAAATGCTACCGCTCTCAGCTATGCTTCCTCCTAGAATAATACCATCCCGCGGATCTCTTTAATCAACAGGTTCGTTAAAATCCTGTATTGTACAATTGCCAGCGAGTGCCGACGCAAATTCTGCAATTCTGCTCGATGTACAATGCACAACTACCCAGGGTAAATCGTTTTGTGATGTGTTTGTTAACTCTTTTCAATTTGTGCCAACGCAGATTCCGAAGCGTCTGGCTCAATTGAACCACAATAATGAAAATCTGATTTCAGATTATTAATAATTCTTTTATTTCATCATTTGATCCAAATAGGTTCAGGTAAATCCTTTTATATACTCATTATTATTGCAATTTTGTTTATCACTCCCGTTTTTCATAAAAACATGTTTTCGACCTTTCAGATTGGCCTCATTGCAGACCAGACGTTCTCTCTTTCTTAACTCAGCTTATTCTAAATGAAACGAGTGGTAAATACAATAAGTACAGGGTGTCCCAAAATGATGGAAATAAAAATAAAAATTGTATGATAATGTACAGTTAGCAAAAAGTTAAAGTGGATTTAAGTTAAAATATAATAGCTAGAAGTGTTTGATTATTTGAATGATGTTAATTAAAACGTTCATTTTAAAATATAGCGTGGAACATAGTTTGAAGTATGTTTGTGAAAAAACTCCGTTTAAATACACGTCTGAATGAGTATAACAATAAGAATCAAACTCAAATTACAGAATCTTCACATTAAAATGGTGTCCCGCAATCGAATCACCTTTTTCAAATACACAACTTCATCGAGCACAGTTCTATAAATAATCTCCGATTAACTCAGTTATTTATATGTCTCAATCTTGATTTTACGATTTTATGACATGTTTATCATTCCCTTATGTAACTCATAACGAATGGAGCGTTTGATTACGCAGCTCAAGACGTCCATAAGTATGATATTCTTATAAATCGTCTACACGTAAAAAAAGGAGTTTAAGCTTGCAATGTTTTTCACAACCTAAACGCGAACGGAAATATCTTAACGATGCATTTGTATGCGATTGGTCATAGATAAGTTGGCATTTCGATTTTATATGCAAGCTTAAACTCCCTTATACGTTAGTTGCAAAGTCTATCTAATGATACGATAGGTACACGTATGAATAGTAACAAGAGTATGCGATATCTGCACTCATATTCGTTAATATAGCTTTTTACTCGACTCCAACAATTCGAACACCCTGTACTGAATCGTAAGAGCTACACTAAACAAGTATTTATTTCCCATATAAGACCTTGTTATTGATATACTTGATAGATTTATAAGTTAAGCGTCTTAACTCTTTTTAAAGCAAACATGCTTAAAGGGCCTGCTGTTTTGGCAAAGTGGGTCAATGCCCGGTGATGTATTGATCGAACGCCAATGGAATCGTTAATTCTTAATCGGTCAAAGTTTCCTTGTAAAACGTCCCTCGTTCTATATCGTTACGTAACATACTAGTTTACATGTTGTCTGGATACTGTATGTAACACCCCAGTCACAATTGTTGTACGACGGCCGTGCGTCGACCGCAGATCAATTAAATCAATGAACTTCTGCGACGAGCGACCGCCCCCCCCCCCCTTTCCCCAGATTTTTTAGATTTGAAACCGAGCCAAGAATTAAAAGCTGTAGAGCTAATTAAAGTCAAAATGTACTAATGGCAGAACATGTATAGCATTTACCCTTTGCATTCGTTTGACTTCACTTTGTAGTTTAACTAGACTCTGCACGCAGGGTATAAAGCATTGTGTAGTTAACCTAGTAACACATTTTCAGTAGAGCAAGAATAGTCGTTTCCACGACTTTTCTTTTTAGAATATACTAAGTCAAAATAAAGAAAAAAGTTTGCTGCCAGCCTACAACTTCATTAAAACTTTGTTTGTTTATTATGATACACAACGGAATTCTGTAGATTTGCAGATTCGTACCAGGTGGAACGATTGCCAGTGTATTCAATGTAGATAACAAGCGAAAACTTTTCTTTACTTCTTAATACATAGAGCAACGAAAAAACCGTCAATAATCAATGTGCAAAAGTTGGCTGCTTACTCACTTTAGAATGTTTTATAGGGTCCGTATACCAATACCATATATTTAACTAAAAATACCATATATTTAACAAAAAATACTACATATTTAACAAACAAATACCATATTTAAGTAATATTCACGACGCTCTTTTAAGAGAAGAATTCTCATTTAAAATAAGATTCTTATATTCTGATTAATCATCAGATTAGAATAATTGGGCATAAAATAACAAATTATAACTTAACCTGTCAGGGCCGTCAGATGTGGGGGGGGGGGTGCGATGGGTGCGACCGCACCCCCCTTTGTCACTACAGGCTGTAGTGTAGAAAATCATAATCTGATATCGTTATACTTTTTGTTCAGTTTGTTATTTTCTATTAAATTCCCTTTTCTTTTTACAGGGCAACAGATATAATAAATCAAAAACTAATTGGTTCTAACATACCGCTGAAAGCAAGCAAACCACACAGACTCGAGTAAATAAAAAGCCGGAATCCAAAACGAAATGTAAACATGACAAGATAAGAAGATACGATGAAATCTTAAAATATTATGTTTTACACATTTTATTCGGATTTTTTCAAGATCAAATAGGTCAACGTAACTTAAGAGAGACGATATATTTGATATTAGATTAGTCTGATGTGCAGTTACAAATTATCCTTTTTGGACTCACTTCCTGAACCATCTTCATAAGACATGCCCGTAGTCTTAGGAGGGGGGAGGGGGGGGAGGCTCGGGGATTTGAACTCGGGGATAATCCTCTGGCCTCCGACGCCCTTGCCAAATGTTCTTTCAAAATCATGCAGTTGTTCATCATTCTGATAATTGTTCAAGTGATTTTTGGCCAAAGTTGTAAGTGAACCTCCTTGGAATTTTTTGAAAAGTGAACCTGGTTGCAGATCTGCCTTCATGAGGTGCTTAAAGTAGGCATCGCTTGAAGGAGGCCCTGGGAAGTGTTCACTGCAGACACCAGCTGATCCAGATTCTGGTCGGATATTCCTCTCAGATGTACAGTTGTGGTTTCGTGAGTTTTTGTTAGTGAATACATAATAAAAAGTGACAAGCAACTTCAACATTTGACATACTCCGTGACACAAAAAATGACACCCACCCGCATAATGTTTTATAACTTTTTTGTCTGCAAATATTCTGACTTGTGTTTCCATGCACTAAAATTACACTCCATTTTGCAACTCCACAAAAAGTGTCAGATGACTAGCTTACCTAGATGCACATTTACGAGCGTTTCAAAAGGTGTCGTCTATTCTTTTGCTGGCACAACTGGATCTTACACAAAAATACACCAACCTTGTGTAACATAATTTTGGTAATAAGTTATAAAGATTTTTTCAATGACAACTACATTATTTTGTGTTCAATTGAATAGACTTCATTTCCCTGAAAGTACAAGCCAAAATAATTAGTATTCACAAAGTTATGTTACAAAAGCTGGGTTTTGTGAAGAATCCACGTGTGTCTGCAAAATAATGGACGACATTTAGAGCAAATGTTGTGACGCTCATAAAATGTGACCCACTTGAGCTGCACATTTGAAATTTCTCAAGTTGCTAAATTACACTATGTCTACTTTAAATGTGCCAAATATATATTAATAGACAAAGAAGTTATGCAACATAAGGTGGATGTCATTTTTTGTCACCCTGTGGCCTGTATTCATTTTCACTCATCAAAAAGTTTTTATTTGTTGTATAACAATAATTCATCATGTAAACCCTTAATGTTGCTCTCCATACCCATGACAATGGTTACCATAGTAACCATAACTTTTGTCAATACTTTATATTGATTGTCATGTGATTTAAACAGAATAAGGTCAGATACATACGTCTAAATATCCTTCAAATCCCTGGAGTATTCGGAAGCAAAGTTGTTTTTCAATATTTGTCTAATCGTCTTCAGATCACTCCTCATATCTATTCTATACCAAATGTAACATATAACTTGAATTTATGTTTGTTAATAGATGGCGATAATATCAGATCACTCTGAGGCAAGTGAAACGACGATATAAACTATACGTTCGTCAATAGATGGCAATACTATTAGATCACACTGAGCAAAGCATTAAACAGTTAAACATGTTTGGTTTGATAATAGATGGCAGCTAAATCGTTCCTGATTTGGGATTCCCCTAAATGCTGGCATGCTTGACAACTACTGAAGACTCCAAAGCAATATATCACGCGGATCAACTACCGGGAAACAGGTGAGTACACATGCATGAACAAGTATTGAATAAATAGGAGATTCCAATTTTTAACAAGCATATATATTGCTTACTGTTAAATAATTCGGTTCATGCGAAGTCCGAACTGGTCTTAGAGATCATATATCATTTCCTGATTGCGAAATCATACCTTATTTTGAATAGATTCAACATATGTTTTAAAACCGTAGCTTATCAATTTAATTATGGAAGAGCACCAATGCACCAACGCCGAAACTGACCGGGCGAAATTCCGGCGCTATGGGTAAAATTAGTGTTTAGGGCAAAAACTGTTAATTGTTTCAATCAAATGAATGCCGTTCAGATTGCAACCAGCATATGCACTGGCGGATTAGGGGGGGGGGGGGGGGGGGTGGGGGCTGGGGGCCCAAAAATAAAATTTGGGCCAAATAAGGCCTTCATGCCCCAAAAAGTGGGCCTTTCTGGTCATTACTGGGCCTTGTAAGGCCTTATTTTTTAATTTTAGGCCAAATTTTGAAGAAAATGGGCCTCAAAATTTGGGCCCACTTTGGGTTTTAGGGGCGTTTTTTTCTCTGACTTGAAATTTTGGCCCCCCTCCTTGTTGATTCCCAGATCCGCCCCTGATATGTACTATAGTATGATCATATCAACCATAGGAATGTATAGCAATGCCATATATTCTAATATCAATACAAAGAACTAGGCAGCCGGCGCCACAATCAATGTCAGTGCACCGATTACGTGGCATTCATAAACCAATAGATTTCGAGATCATTTAAATAAGGGGAATCCCCCATTACAAAGCAAAACAAACATGGCCGTCCAGACATCGGTATGTCTGGTACATTAAAGTCTGGACTCCACGCTATTCTTGACTGAAATCACTCGAAAGGAAACAGGAAATCTATTTGAATGATATCGTAGCATCATTTGGGCGGAGATAAGCAGTGGATGTCTTATAAAAACAGGTAATTCAAGCCAGACTGCATGTACGTTTCAACTCATCGACTGTCTGGCAGGCTGCCATTATTGAAATTCATTCATAAAACGAATCAATACTAGCCACCAAATCTTATAAGCTAGATGTTAATTACAATGGCATAGAAAGCAGTATGCTGCTATTGTGTACTACTCGTATATGTTTTTCTTCGGCATGTCTGTTAATGTAACTAATGCAATGAATGCTTTGGAAATTGTACGAATATATGCACTTAATAACCTTTTGTCTCGTGATTGTTGATATCACGTGATTTACCACTGTGTTTACACAAACTCACAACGGATAGGTACACTATAAAGATCACTCATGCTAGCTTGGAATAAAGGCATGCCTGATCTGTTACACTGGAAATTCCCAATACCCAGGCATTATTATTAATTAGATCTTGTGTACTTTTGCATAGAAAAATGCCAAATGTAAGGATAGGTCTTGTTTAACTTTGTACTGGAACGCCGGAGATTGATTTTTTAATCAACTTACTTTCCAGGGCTCTGTACAGCCTGGTGTACTATAATGATTCATGGACAAAATTATCGTAAACTGCTCTGTCCGTCCCCTCCTTGGCAGCGCAGGCTCATCATATTGTGTTATGTTTTGCATATACTTCAATATTGAGTTGGGGAATAAGTAGTCGAACTCTTCTCCTACCCTGAAGTAAGCGTGGAACTAGATAAGGGGAATGCTTTAATTCTATCTTAATTCATTTATTTGGATAATTCCCGATCATATTATTGCACTTATGGGACGAAGGACATAACAGTACATCAGGCATGGGTGGGGTTGACAATTGTGTCGTTGGCGACATACATGCTTAGGTTACACAGGAACTGTTTAGATATCATGAGTTCTATTTTACGAAAGTGACCAATTTATATTTCTGTCTGATTACAGCAACTGTGACCATGGCTTCTCTGGACACCGGGATCGGGCCAAGTCTGGCTGGTGCAGACCGTCAACTTAATGCACAAAACCGATCTTCTCTTACCAAGGAGCAACATTTACAATTGGAGCTCGACCGCACAAGAAATGAATTGAAGAGCATACGAGCACGGTTGGAAACCCTTGAATATCAAAATGGCACCACACGAATACGATGTGAAAGTGAAATTGATTTGCGCGTGGCTTACGAAAATAAAATCCAAGTTAGAGATATGAACTTAAAAGATTTGAAGGAAGAAAATAATAACTATGTTGAAAAGAATTATGAGTTAGAAACAACCATATCTGAGCTAAAAGTTATGCTCAATGAATCCAGAGGCGAAATATCTGAGATTAAAAAGAGAATGATAGACATATCGGGAAAACTTCAATTTGAAGTAGATAAGAACTCAGGACTTGAACGACAGGTTGAATCATATGAAGAAAACGCACACAAACTACTTATGGAAACTAAGAAAAATGAAAATAATCTAGAGAAAGTAAAAGAGTTATACGAAAAAGCAGTATGCTCAAGAGATCAATACGTTGTGAACTTCGAACGAACAGTAAAAGAGAACAAAGAACTTAGGTCAACTATTTATAATCTGGATTCTGAGCTAATGAAATGCAAAAACGATTTGGGCTTATCGCGTGAAGAAATCGAAACATTATATAATGAAAGCGCTGCCTTCACTCGTATATTAGTCGAGAACAATAGAGTAATAGACATACAGGTTAGTATACTGTATTAACGTTTGGCACACGTATTCCTACTTCGAACATATGTACGTGTATTTCAGATTGAACATATTTTGTGAAAGTATGTATTTCCCATTTTCCCATATGACCAAGTATTTGATTTCGTATCTGTACATCCAACCCGTTCCAATAATTTCAGAGCGCAGAGTCTGTCTTGAAACGAAGGGAACAAAGCTTAGAGAGGAGAATCCACCAGTGGAACCAGCGTGAAGCTCAGGAAAAACAATTGATTCCACTGTATCATGGACAGATTCGTGAACTCAAGCGGACTAACGCCAAGCTAAGGACAGAGAAAGAAGAGAGTTATAGACAGAAAGAAGAAGGATTGAAGAGGGAGAAACACCTTGGCAGAAAATTGGAGAAAGCGCATGACAAGTATAATAGGCAAAGAATCGGAGAGAGGGACGAACAAGTAAGAATGATTAAGTCATTATTAGTTTTCTGTAATATAAAAATGTGACTTTTATGTTAATTTAAAAGTCACATCCTCTTGTCCAAAGTTTGTATTGTAATGATAACAGTTCTTAATGTTACCCATTTCTTTACAATGATATGTGGGCGGTATACTTAGAAAATGAGACTGGGTGACTATCTATACTGCTCAAGCATAAGAAGATTTTAATTTTATGACCTCTACTTATAGAGACTGGAGACAATGGGAAGAAAATTTGGCAGGCGTGTGACACCAAGAGTACGAAAGTACAGTGGACGATATACAGCCGAAAGAAAAAAGGTAATGTAGTTGTAAGCAGAAGACTGTCAACTTATCTTAAAGAACCTCCATATCTTTATACTTTAACATACACATAGTGTTAATAACGTATGGACACCTTTTAAACAGTTTAACTTATAAGTACATGTTAAGATTAAGATGTGGGAATGTAGGAACTATATAATGTAGTATCATTTCAAATATCTAAATATGGAGAACATCATAAGGCGTCAACTTTCTAAAAATTGATCTTTAAATCATTTAAATCAAATTAAAACATGTATAACATTAATATGTGTTAACCATTTCTTGAATAAACCAAACAACAAAAGAATAGACACATAACCAACATTGCATCCCCCTTTGTACCTAACCAATATTTCTATCTAATTATAGTGGGGAAATTGATAGCTAGGATAACAGAGATTTGATTCAAATTGATTTTCAAAACTAACTTTTCAATTTTAAGGTGTGGAAGTCTCTTGTCTGCATCATCGTACTCGCCGTTGTCTACACAATATACAACTATTGGTGTTGACGACATTGATGAGTTGGCGGATGCAACAACATAAATTGTACTTGCAATTAATTGCAATATTAAGAGCAATATGTGATACAACATTAGTTTGTATTTTATCCAATGAATACCAGTTCATGGTAAGTTAAAATGGTAGCATCATAAGTAAAGTGAAAAAAATGTTGGTAGCTATATTCTAGATAAGCATGTCATTGTGTTTATTAGATCGATCTCAAATTTAATATTCGAAAGACATTCCAGATATCTGTTTTGATACGAATGTTGTTGCAAATGTTAGCTTATTAACGAAATCCATTATGAAAGATTTATTGCTAAATGATCAACAAAGCTTTGGTAATTTCTCGGATGTCTTCCTGGTTTACTATGTTCTATGTTGTCTCTTTAAAGTACTAAAGGATATGTATTAGTTTATGGAAGTTAAACAAGATCACAAATGTAGGATTCCTTGTATTTTCATTATATATTGTGGAATTTTTGTTTATTCTTATATAAATATCTGAGCCACCACACTGGTAGTTATGCCTTGTACATAATGCATTATTAGGTAATTTTTAGTAATACAATGTAGCTACTGTACACATAGTTAATGGATATACTCTCCCCTCCATAAGTTTTGGCAACCTTAGCTCCCCCATTGAACTACGTGTTAAAGCCTTTTTAATTTTGAACTTTTATTTACTTAACCTGAGAAGAAAATACTTACACTATTGATTGAAACGTAATTTGACTTTATTTCCAATACCTCCAAATTTTCTATTTTTTTCCTCAATCACAATAGGTCGAACATTGATGATAAGGGTTTAATAAAAACCACTGTATTTATGCCCAGAATGTACTCATGGTGAAAGATATGACCGTCTAAAATCACTTGCCATACTGCACATGGTCTTTTGATGAATTTTTGAAAATCTACATTCCCATGTTAACCAATGGAAATGGTAGGTTTGCCGCAAGTCATATGACAGAATATCCATCACCCCGGGTCCTCGCAAAAAATACAAGTTAGGTAGGCAATTATTAGGTAACAAAAAATTGATACCTTTCCTCACGATCAGCAAAGTTATAAGGTTGCCAAACTTATGGAGGGGAGTGTATATGTATAATATATGAGACAATTTAAACTTTATATTTTAGATTATAACCTTACATAAATTAATGTTCATATGAGTTTATAAATATACAAAGTGTTTGAATGAAAACGAGCACACCTTTATAGCTAATATATTGTACTGCTCATATATGATATATCGTTGGATAGATACTTCAGTTATTAATAAAATGATATATCACTCAATCAAAGCAGTTGAAGTGAATGAAATATTAGCTCTGGGTATGGTTGCTTTGGAACGCTTTGTCAGCCGTTCAATTAAGAATTTAACACTCCTGGTCAATTTTTCATATCTGCCAATTGGTATATTATATACAATCAATACTTTGATATATATGATATATATATATTTATTTATTTATTTGTATATGTAATCGCAATATACACAGTGAGCCAAAGATGTTTCCCATTCTGATATTAATTAATGAAATAAGAAATATTCTTCGGCCACTCTGTTATTGTATAGATGATCGTGGATATATGTAAAATGATCATGTCATAAGCGTAGGACGACGATTCTTTTGCAATCCATATTTTACTTTTTTTTGCAAAAAGGATACTACATTTTATTAGGTAATTAGTGCAGCTAAAAATATGTAATACGCTTTTAATTGTATTACATTTTTCTTATCATTGACTGGATTGACTGGACAAACCGTCCATTAGGAAACATTGTTACATGCTAACCCCCCTATCACACCAAACTAGTTCTTACCCGTTCTTGCCAGTCCTACAAAAACGTCGTAAAACGGACTCAATCTGGCTGTGGTCGGGAAATATGTCTGAAATAATTAGCTTCTTCGTCCTTAAACAGTCTTCAATACGTCCATCTCGTTCGCAGTTCGTTCAGGTCGCACCACGTCGGTGTACAACGTCGTAGAACGCGTCCCTTAGTCTAGAAGGTCAATATGACCTGATTACAGAACGGCATGGTCGCCATCGAACTTTGAATCGATTCAAAATTCTAAAATCACATTCCCGTCTGAGAACGTTCATAAAGTTCGTAAATAGACCTTAGAAAGTTGCAGCTAAGTTCATTCCATTCGCACACAGTTTCAAACCAGTTTTGAAGAACGCAGTGGCAACTTGTTTGGTGTGATAGCTATATTTTTGCTAGCTCGTTCATAAGCAGTGTTAAATACGTTCTTAATCAGTTTAAACCCGTTTGCAATTAGTTCTTCCTCGTTCTCAACACGTCCTCAGACAGTTCAACTCGTTGTTAAAACGTCCCTAGTAGGATTGAAGTACGACGGTTCCGTTCGTAGTACGTCCAGCTCGTCGTTAGTACGTTGTCACTCGTTCTAATTGTAGAACGTGACGACCACGAGTACATTTTGAGCATTGTCTAAGTTCTAGAGGACCTACCCGTTCGAGTACGTTCGATGAAGTTTGTAAATAGATCCCAAACGGTTCTTAGTAGGTCCAGTCCGTTCGTACACAGTTGAAGCCCGTTTTCGAGAACGTAGTGAGAACTAGTTTGGTGTGATAGTAGGGTAAGTAATCTATTGAAAATGAAGGTATTTCACAAATAAGGTACAATTTGATACTGTCTATATTGGCAGTAAAATATATTGTCATGACAAAAGTCAAAAGATGTCGTATTGCAAATGTATTTGAAAATGTAACTAGGAGAAACAAAGGCAAGTTAAGTAGCGCATTTTGTGATAACAAAAGTTGTGATAAGCACAAGTTGTGATAACTTCAATTTCAGTAGTATCAATTAGATAAGCTGCGTTATATTTAACATGTATTTATCAAGTTGATACCTACAGATATAAAAACAGTACCTGGTTGTAGCATCTATGTAGGGTTATTTCTGTCATTGATGCTGTGATTGTACATTCGCTGGTTTGACGTTTTTCGGAGTTTTGCATTTCGTGCAGTTAGCAGTTTTTCATTTTATGCAAACTACTGCATGATTTTCAAATCTTCTTAGAAATTACATTCAGAACACGGGAATGTTACCAAGAGTGTAATATACCTCCAACGACTTGTTATTGAACGATAATATCATGCACAAGAAAGAGTTTATATGTATTCAAGAGTGATTAATACTATATATATGTACAAATAAATAATAAATAATGTAAAATAATAATATAAATAATAAAAAGTCATATGTTTACAAAGACGAATGAGAAAATAAATTGCAATATAAAGTATTTTTTGCTTGTTTCCAAAAGGATACACCATTTTATGATAATTAGTACAACGACATTATAAATACTACATTATATTACTACAAGTATATTATATCTATTTTTTAGTTATATTTTTCTTATCATTGACTAAGTTCAGTGTGGATTTTAAAATACATGTATTAAATATTTATATAAATAAGGATCATAATATTATTACAACATGACATGGTATTGACTGGTTAACTATGATCTTGTATTTTGACATATATTATATACACGTAGTTGTAATTCATGGACCAACCACTTATCAGGGAGACTTTGCAATAAGTATTTTGTGGTATATTGATACAGAATGCTGGTAACAAACTAGTTACAATTTGATATTGGTATTGTCTTTATTGGCAGTACATGTATGTATTGTTATAAAAAATGTTGAAATGTAACAAGATGGCTTATTGCAAAGAGAAATGTAAATGTCACGAAGACAGGTCATGCCGTGTTTCATATTTTCATTATTACTGCATAATTTCCAAATCAACTCAAAACACGAAATATTTTATCAAATTATATACCTAGAGTGGTACAAACCGTATCAAAGTATTATACCGTGTACAAAAAATCGTATTACTATCAAATGTGTTATTTTATTTTGTTCAAGAATGATCACTACTGTTTAGGGCGTAATATAATATTAAAAATACATTGATTACAGAAGGAATAGGGAATAAATTACGTCATGAACGAAAGTGCATACACTAGTTTGTTGTAGAAGTATTATAACTATTATCGTAAGTCATCATACATATATTGTACAATTTTGAGAGTATACATTTACCTTTCAAAGGCCATAGTTCATTCCACATTAAGGGTATTGAGAAACGAGTTAAGTTCCGAGTAGACCCTTAGATTTTGCGTGTGTGCTGGATCAGAGACATATTATAAAACATTTCATTTTTGATTATTATTTGTGACATTTGGGCTTCTTAGATATAATGGTTGTACTTTTAATGTTTGGCCATTTCTTGCTGTTTTTAAGGTTGAGGGCTTGGGCTCTGTAATAACATATTTGCAAGAATGGTAGTACATGCATTAACATACAATGTCCGTCCCGTTTAATTGCCTAGTTGGTTACTGGTCATATGCGAAATGGATGTTATTCTAGGGTGTGGGTATCAATTAAAATGTGACAAGGTGTAAACTAAAACTCTTAATACGTGTCTGGTTCTTCCCCTTTGTGACAACTATGCTTACCAAAAGTATTTACAAGAACCTTCCTATATTATGTTTGGCAAATACGTATGTTTATATTCTGTTAATATATACTAGTTTCATGCAATTCTGACATATCAGAAATGTATTTCACAAATAAACCCCATCTTGACATCAGATTCGGAGATTGTTTGTAGATTGCAGTTGAAGTTATTCCACCCGGGCCATTTATCACGAGTCCATACCACCATGCAATTCTCTTGACCTAGATAGTCGGGTTGACCTTCAATAAAAAGATGATCGTTGTGAATGGAATATAGAAAATTGATGTACAGGGTGACAAAAAACAGGAACCCACTTAAGTCTTAATAACTTCGTCAATCATGCATATTGAGCTTAGTTATTTAGTACATGTATTGTCAACTGAATGTATGACAAGATGTTAACATTTGAGCATTAGTCTCCAAATGAGGCACGTTTAGATAATGTGCTTCGAATGTGCACCACGACGTTGGATGCAGAGCTGGATTCTTCTTGCAAAATTGTCAATGACCCGACTGCATTCATCTCTGTCTATCTCTCTAATTACCCTTCCAATGTTGAGTTTGAGGTCATCAATGGTCAGTGGACTATCTGTATACACATTTTCCTTAAGATACACCCACAGATAAAAATCTGGGGGGGGGGTTCAAATCAGGGGAGTGGGGGGCCCAGATGTTGCGGGTACGGCGACTGATTAATCGATCACCAAAGTGAGCCTGAAGCCATCGAATAAACCCATTTGAGGTGTGGGGTGTGGCACCATCTTGTTGGAACCATTGCTGGTCCCTTCTCTTACGTCGTCTACCCATCGCTCTCCAAAACTTTCGAACGTTAGGGATGTAACGTTCTGTGTTGACTGTTGAGTTGTCTTGAGTTTTGACAGACCTCTGTCTCCCCGAATAGGTTGGTTTACCATCATTTTTCTTCTTTGTTGGTTTTGCAGTTCCTTCTGAATCAAACTTCTGTACAAGCCTAAAGATCTGTGACTTGCAAGAGGCTCTCATTGCCCTGTGATTGGCAGTTTATGTCTCTATAGGATTTTCTCTTGATATACTTTCTCACAATATAAATCTTTTCTTCTGTCGTCCATGGCATGATTAATATCTAAGCTAAAGTACTCATTATGGTGTCATTTTGTTATGAATTCAGTCTAGTTTCTACCCTGAAGAAATGAAGAATGTAGGTATAATACTTACCGAGAAATTTGATGATTTATGGGTTCCAGTTTTTTTGTCACCCTGTATATAAGTATTAGCACAAAAGAGGATCTTAAAAGGTTCTGGACAAATTATTTGATTCTGGACTTGACATTTTTTAACGAAAGCCCCACCTTAGGGTTGACATTTTATTAGCTAGTTAGAGTGCGAATCCTGCCTAAGTATTACACATTTTGATAAAAATTAAATAAAGTCCTATTTGAGAGTTATACAGGGTGTCAAATAAATATGTTCTCCCCTCCTTGACTCTAGCATCAACATAATATTGCATTGATTTTTTGTCTACATTATATCTGAATTGTTCATACCATTTCATGAAAAATGGTGACCTTGTACTACAGAAATTGAGATTATGTTTCACAGCAAGTTGGCACGGCGATACTGTATAACACATGCTCTAGGGAATTGATTCTACTTTCTATAGACACCAAACACATCTCGTTAGGGTCCCAACCTCCTTTGTTTACATTTACAAAAACGTGAAAAGTGACAAAAGTTATCATAACTTTTTAAATCTAAACCTCTTGAAACCGATTTCACTTGCCAGCGACCGATACTTTAGTCTTTCACGAACCGAGCATGTCAATTTGGTTAGTGAAATCTCTAAATAAACGATTTCAACATTTTAAAAAACTTAAAAAAATATGTGTTAATAAGGAATTGGTCGACTCAATAAGTAGAGTCAATGAACGAAACGGTGCACTGGTGTATGAAATGAAGCAATTAAGATAATTAGTAGTGTTATACAATATTAGTATGTTTTAACCCGGGGTATGAAACATAGTACCTTGAATCTGGGTTTCAATAGCATGGGCATTTAAGTTTCAATTATAACTTCATTTGAATGATGTACCAAAACATTCGCAAGAAAACCATCTAAGTGGCAGCATGAGAAGAGAGGTAGTCATGTAAATAAGTAGAGAGAATGCGATGTGTGCAAGAAGAAGTTTTAAGCTAACAATCAATATGCTATTTTTGACAACTACACTGCTCAAGCTGAAAAGGTCAAATTCTTAATAAAAGAGGCAAAATTAAATTACCAGGAAAATATTGTAAAACAGATTAATGAATCAACCTGTAAAGGAAAACAATACTGGAACATAGTCAATTCTTTTCTATCCAGAACTTTTCATGATTAACTCCCTAGTTTGAAGTGCAATTTTTCAGATCACATAGCTACAACTAAGGGTGAAAAAGCTGAGTGTTTCCTTAACTTTTTTCTTCAAAATATCATAATTAAACCAAGTGGATAACGATGCACTTCCACATTTTCCAAATAGAACTGGAACATCAATTGACCATTTATCTACCAATTCGGATGAAATTCTTCAAATAATCCAGTCCCTTGATCGCATTAAAGCCTTTGGTCTTGACAAAATTAATAACAGAATGACAAAAATAGCCCAGGAAGCATTATCCTTCCAGTTATCTAAATTGTTTCATATGATTTTATGATGGCCGGATGGCAGGTTATGCCAAATTGCGTTAGGTGTCGGGTTATGCAATATCGTGTTGTGTGATTCGTGCTATCAGAGGTTGTGGCTGGTTGATGCAATTGATTTGACACCATTCTCATTATACTTTTCACGGTTTGATCCATTTGGTTTTGGTGATGAAAAATTCATTTGTCATTCATGGAGAATACAATAATGAAAATGGGCCATGGTATTCACTATACAAGTATATGATTGTATGTAAGTTTTTGTTTTGTTAGGAATTCAGTATTGTACTAAGTTCACAAACATGCATGTCAACCATAGTCAATCAGAGGAGAGCACCCCTTCTAAGTGATGAGAATAAACCCTTCCTACGCGGCTTGGTTTAGCTTTAGATCACTATGATATCACTATGTGGCAGAAATACATCCCGATTGGATATAGATCACATGACCTTAGTCCACCTTAGTTCACCATGGTATCAGGATATGGCATGCCAAAATGTAAAATCTCTAGTAGCGTGGGACCACACTTTGCTAGGGTGCACCACACATCTCTTTTTAAACCTGAATAAAGACAAGCTTTCATACAAAATACATTGAACTCTCCACTTGCTTAATTCTCGCTCATGCTCAACGTTTACTCGTCTTTTCTATTGCAATTTTGGAATAGTTACATTATTAAGTTTTTCTTATACATCACCAAGAAGTCCAACTGATCGAGCTATTTGAAGATAATCTCCAATTGGGGACAGTTTATGAAGGTTATAATGTGTTGCAAAGGTTCATCTAACCAGTTTCTTATATACATTTGAGATAGGAAGTGCTAACACAGTTGCCAAAGTAGCATCACTTTACTAAGAAGATCCTACATGATGTTGAGTGCCACTCTAGTGTAGCTGTGCAAGCGGGATTACAACCCCTTGAATCGTTTTAGCAATTTCTCTATGCCCTCCATACAGTTTACTCTTTAAACATGTCTTGTAATACATTCTTAGAACATCAATTGGAAACTGTGATTTCCCCGGGAATATATCCGATTTAACACCCATTCCGTATTAACACTTGGATACAGTATACCCATTCCTTATTAACACGTGGACAAGCATCAATTTTTTACAATGTTGAAATCGTTTATTTGGAGATGGTAGAACTCTCCTTACTTTTTGTACCATTGAGATGCAAGTGAAATTGACAAAGTTCGAATTAGAATTTCTCAAATCGCAGCCAATCGATTATTAAAGAATTTCAGAGAAATACAGCAATCATGTCAACAAAATTTCAACAAAAATATCTCTCGAAAATCAAAAGTTCTGTTCTTTTACATAATTGGAGTACCAAAACGTCATCATATTTATGTACATTGACCAATACACCACAACCAAGGTCTGTTATGATCACATGTTTCCCAGTTATTCTTGGCATTGCATGCCTGCAAATTAGAGTATTCTATCCAAAGATGGTACTGTAGTATACCATTGAAGTCCCTAAATATGTTTTTAATATAACTACTTTCCTCATACCGCGAAATAAACAAACCGAGTAAGGATAGTACACTCGATATTACGAATCAAATTGACATGCTCGGTTCGTGAAGAATTAAAGTATCCGTCGCTGGCAAGTGAAATCGGTTTCAAGAGTTTTAGATTTAAAAAGTTATGACAACTTTTGTCATTTTTTGTGAATGTAAAGAAAGGAGGTTGGGACCCTAAGGCTTTTTTATTATTCTATTGACAGAGATGTGTTTCGTGTCTATATAAAGTAGAATCAATTCTCTAGAGCATACGGAAAATACGGAAATACGGAACGATATAAACGGGACCGTGTATATAAATTAATTGCCAATTTTATTTCGACTCTATATAACTATCTAAGCACAAGTGCCTTTTAAAGAAATGGACCAAAAACTGTAAAGAAACCTAACAAGAAAAGCAAACTTTAAGTGTCATAAGAAAAACAGATCCTTAATATCCCGAAACCATGATCTAACCTGAAAGGAAATACTGTCTAACAACCCCTTCTCCCTTCAATCGAGAGCCAATATCACCATCTAGGAACAGAACACCAAGGGGCATTTCAATCAATTCATACTGAAGTCATTGCAATACATGTTGAAGAAGACATTGGTAGCCAATACTCACACGCATGACAACAAAAATAGTTATAGATACTAGTACTCATAAACTATTTGGGATAGACTAATCCAGTCTCGAAGTCCTTAGGCAATTAAAAGGGTCAACATACATTCACAGAGCCGTCGTCAGAATCCAAAAAACACTATACATTAAATGGTCATCAGGAGAAAACTATGGCTGGTTTCAATCAATATAAATTAGTTAAAAAGTACCTGCTGACCAGCCTCTGAATGATCCGATTGCACGTGAGGTCGCCCATGCCCATTGTAAATGAGATCCCTCTGTAGTTGATAACATATGACCCGCGGTCCACCATCTCTTTCCGGATGCATCTGGATTCATTTTTGATATAAACGTTTGCACTGCATTGTGTTTCTCGATAGTTTCATCACTATATAAATCGGCACCATCCATTTCACAGCTCGACTTTGCCTTTCGCCACGTCATTGATCTCGTTATGAAGCGGTAGCAGAAACTCCCAAGGTTCTCGTAGTTTGAAGGGCACGCTCCACCTTTCATTTAAAAGTTTAATTGTAGCACATGAATAATATGTAAGATGATATCATGAAACATCATTTTATTTTAGTGTTTAAGATTGTTTATATTTTGTACTGGGCACCCTTCTGAAAGGATTGGTATCGATATGGTGAACTATTTGAACACCCGTTTCTCTTAAACCAGTCATAAAAAAATCTGAAAATTTTACGCATCGTCAATTTAATGGTCATCATTTGAATGGTTACAATATGATTTGAAATAAATATATACACTTTTCCCTATATTGTTTTGGAAAACACATCAGACACTTCTTTTGTTCTTGGTATCATATGTTCGGAATGAAATTAGACATCTATCCGAACCTCATTGGAACAAAATGACATAAACACAACGTGTTTAGGTCTCTCAATATTGCAATTGTTCAAAGGAAAGTTTGGTTGATTTTATCAGGTTTATCTTATTTTTTATCTATTTTGGGGGTTTTTGTTTTAATTTTTTGAATACTTTTTGTTAAATCAACCAAAATTTCCTTCACTATAATATTGAGAGGTCTAAGAAAATGTTGTATGCTATTTTGTTCCAACAATCTTCAGAAAGATATTTTATTTCATTCTCAAGAATTGGTTAAAATGACCAAAAATAATTGCACTAAAAAGCAAAATTTTTTAACAAAAACAGTTATATAAAATATGTTTAAATTATTTTCGCATTAAATTGTTGTCAATCGGTCAAAATTACACAAAGGATCGTGTTTTTTACAGAATGTTTTCAATAATTGGTTCAAGAGAAAAACATTGTTGAATTCAGTTCACCATATCGATACCAATCCTTTCCAAATTGTTTGTTGCCATAGAGGTCAAACAGATGCACATGTATAAGTATAGTACATATTTTAGATATAGATTATACTCTCTCTCTTTATTTCACATATGCTGCCTTCCGTTGTATTTTCACAAAGCATCTTATTCCAATTCAATCCATTTTTGTCTAGGTAAATGCAGTTGTAGTTGGAGTCACCTTGTCGGAACGTTGGTCCTCAAGAAATATAAGAAAATAGTTGTAGACAGTTTGATATTATATGTGCAACATGGGTAAAGACATAAACGTGTTAAAACATAGAAAATGATTACTCTACATAAATAATGTAATAAGGAATGATTTATTGCAAAGGCAGTTTTGTCTGCACCAATGAAATCAGTTTCTTTGAATTGTTTTCGTCATCACGCTATTTTGACGAAAACAACATCAATGTCCAACAATGATAAATCAAATAAAGGACCCACGGTTCTGTGCTCACTCAGTGTGGAACCTTCAGAGGGATGTATATCCTGACTTTCAAACAAAAATATTGATTTGGATTTGTAGTCTCGAACTTTGAGAAACTTAGATAGCACAGTTGTGTGACCTAGTTTGATGACCTTTGACCTTAAAATTTTTACTTATTCAGAGCTCAGTAAGGTATTTTGTGATTAAGCTGACCAAAATTTACATCCAAAAATCAATTTGAAAAATCAACTTTCTTTACCTTTCGAAGGTCACTGAAGGTCAAGTAAAGGTCAAATCCTAAAACTAATGTCAGATTTGAACTCCTGGCAACTTGTAGATGATTTTCAAAAACAATTTGGTCAAATTGAAGCAACTTGAAAAATAACCTATTTTTACTGTTTTTGACATCAAATATCTCAAAAACGGTAAAAATTTGATGCTGACATATAGTGAGCAATATGTAGGGAATGCTTAAATCTAGTAATGATGTAATTCATTGCAAGAAATGATCAAGTATAAGGCAAACTTTGAGAAACTTGTCAATCACAAAACCTGCCATTGACTTTATACATGAGAAAGTTTCCTGAAAATGACGAAGTCCTACTTTTTGTCAAATTTTATAGAGTAAACATCAAGAACTGTAATTCCAAGAGCTTTGAAATCTTCAGAGGACATAAGTTGCATATACAGCAACTACTACAAGTTATTTGAAAGTTCTACTTCAACAAAGTGTCTAGTATTTACAGAAAATTTGACTTTTTGACGTCAATATCAGCAATTTCTCGGAAACCAAGCGAACTTGGGAAATGGTGATGATAGGTCAAATAGGTATTATGGATATGCAAAAATGAATGTGGATATAACTCAATCCGAATAGCAGTTTTAATTTGTGCGGCCAATGTTGACGGACGGACGGACCAACGGACGGACGGATGCCTGGTCGATCCCATAGGCTCACTGTGTGAGCCAAAAATGGCAGTATGGACTAATTTACCTGATTTCCAAGGTCTGAAAGTGCCTATCATCCGCGGTGCGTTCTCCCATCTCCAATTAGTATGGCTTTGTGAGGGATCGGGTATATAACCACCTATCCATAACCAGTATTCCCCATAAAGTTGCGCGTATAATTTACCTTAAATCAGTGCCCACATTATCTCAATGTCATATTCGATCCCTCATCCAACCTAATCATATGCACTGGTTTAAAAGCCATTTCAGTAGATCGGGGTTACGCTCTATATACAATCGTTCAAAGGGGTAACTATGTAATTCATACCCTACCTTGAGACTTTAGGGCTCTGTCAAGTTCAGCTTGCTTTCCGGCGCTATCATCAATGTACAACCCGACTCCTTCTCTCTCACATTCACGTTTAGCACCATCCCAGGTTATGCCATTTTCAGCAATGATTGTTATTCCATGTACACTATCTTTGAAAGCAGGTATATCAACAGTGTATCAAGTTAACAAGAATGAGATACAGGTTCCTATCATAACAGTTTCCTGGTTGATTTCTTGAAAATATTTCAACCATAAATGTCCCAAGTGACAATTCTTCATTTTTCGAATACAGAAAAATATAATTTCAATTTCGAGCTTTCGCGTGATTTTTTTCACGAAATCCTTTGCTAACCTACAACTATTTAACTCAGAATAACCGTATACTACAAAATTACTCTCCATTTTAATGACTTTTATTTTGCTCGAGAACAGAGAACAGACCTGTAAAGCTCTCAGGAGCAAGACACGTCCATTGAAATTGTAGGTATTTGTTAATCCCTGTGCAAGATTTTTCTTCATGTTCTAAAATCATACTAGTGTCAATTTGGCAGGAAATCTTTCCATCGCAGTTTGTCTTGAGATAAGTAGTAGTTTTAATTGTAGAATTAAAGCTGCAAAGCTGGTAAGCGCTCTCGTTAGTGTTTCTAGAGAAATAAAATTGTAATTCAAATGGAAATGTTGCTGGTTGATCCATTAGGGTTCGAGACTTGTAGCTTCACAGCACTGCACAGCTGTCGGGAAATGGACTGACTGCAATATGATGAATAAATTATGGTCGTCGTGTTCTAAATCGTTATCGCGAACCCAACGTTATATTGTCGCGATTCACGACCCAATTTGATCGAAATTGGGATTGCATATGGAACATCATCACAAGAGCTTAATACATGCACAGAATTAGTGACGATAAAATCCCATGAAATGAGAACCAAGTGATTAAACAGTTGAAGCGACGGTTATGTCCGCCATTTGTGACAACGGTATCTGACTTTACTGTTGTCAGGTTTTTCCGTTGTGACTATGGTAAATCGTATTACAACTAAGCATTAAACCTACCTTGGTGTTCTGCAAATATCCTTGTCGCTCCTTCCATAATTGCCTGTAAGTATTTCTATTTTGCTGGATCCCAAGCAAAAAATATAAATATCTCGATCTTCACAGATTACTAAAATAAGATAAACATGCTTCAATAACAACGAATTTAATGGTTAACGTTTGACAGCCATCTTGAATTTTTAGTGGTCATTTTCTATAGCTTTTAGCGTTTTACTGTAAACATTTCAGCCTTCTTACCAATCTTGCACTATGTAGTACGAATTCGAGTAGGCCATTCCGATAAATATAGCCATCTTTTGTAAACACAACGAATCAGGTTTAGAATTTAGGCAACCCGATTATTCATATTATACAGGATGGGACAATAAAAATTGGAACATTTTTCTATTTATTCAATTGTTTTTACTTTTTGCAGTTCAATCCACAAAAATTCAGATAAGGGTAAAATGAATATTTGTGAAAATGTTAAAGATAAAAATATGTAATATGTATGATTATTTTTGGCTTGTCAAGGTCATGATCTGTATTCTGCGTGCGTCATGAAAAATTTCCACATTTTCTTTGCTTGAGGCATCATTGCTGAGAATACAGTATCTCATACCATACAATACATGCCCTTCAAAGTGTATCAATTCAATTTCCAAAAAAGAAAAAAAAATTATTTCCATAAACTAAACCATATGTAGTTATCTCTAAGAGAAGCTAGACATGTCTCCCTTGGATAATATAGCTGAACTGACCTCAGCTTTTTTTTTCAAAACTGACACAATATGACTCAAACCTAAGCCAAAATTCGAAAGATATATTATGTGACAACCTCCGCCCGGGCCAGACTGAGTTTCCATGACGGAGAATAACAATTGAACACGACATACCAGTCGTTTGATACTTCGGGGCTTTAACTGCATCCTTCGTACCGACTGTACTAAGACGATGACTGACAAGTTCAATTGAACTGTTCAATTGTTTAACTGTCGCTTCCAAGTTGTCCAACGTAGATTTTACGTCCACAATTACGTCTTCAAAATAAATTAATGTTTCAGTAATCTGCTCGGCTTCTCAATTAATGTCATATTATTACGTATAACATGTTTAAAATCTGTATTTATTTGTATTTTGCAATGTGATTCTTGATTTGTTAGAGATGAATTCATTTTACAGATCACTTTCAAATCTGATGGTTTTCTGACAGAACGTAAATGAGGAAACATTGCAGAAGGAATGACATTAGCGTAAATTGATAATTTTTGTAATCTGTCATTAAACTATTTTCAGAGAAATTGTTGTTGCTCGGTGGATGATACGCACCATTACTTGAGTTGAAATTACTCCGGCAAAATTCCATTGACATTTGCGGAATATTCTGCTACTTGAGAGTAAGTAAGAATAACTGGAATATCGCTCTTACATGGGCACTTTAGAGCAATAATTTTTAGATCAAAAGTATGGTAAAAAGCTGTTCTGATTTTTTTGACTTGTACCAAATATTCCCTATATATATTTTTATATTTTTGATTACGATACGATTTGGTACGAGTCAAAAAAATCAGAACAGCTTTTTACCACACTTTTGATCTAAAAATTATTGCTCTAAAGTGCCCATGTAAGAGCGATATTCCAGTTATTCTTACTTACTCTCAAGTAGCAGAATATTCCGCAAATGTCAATGGATTTTGCCGGAGTAATTTCAACTCAAGTAATGGTGCGTATCATCCACCGAGCAACAACAATTTCTCTGAAAATAGTTTAATGACAGATTACAAAAATTATCAATTTACGCTAATGTCATTCCTTCTGCAATGTTTCCTCATTTACGTTCTGTCAGAAAACCATCAGATTTTTACAATAGGCATTTGTTTAATTTTCCTGACAATACTAAGAAAAAATTGTTTGAAAAATTTGGTGAAAATACAAATATGATGAATAAATATTTATGAATAAGTGTGTATTGAAGGTTACCTTCGAGGGAAACAATTTTCCCGTGCATCCGCTTCATATTTGTCATGATGTTCCCTTTCATACATATACCATCGTTTCCATTAGCAACAATGACGAATTGCCATATGGTATAGATCAAAGCAAAGACAAGCCACATTTTTTGCGGCCAGAATAGCTTTACACGTCCAGGGTTCGCGAAGATTACTAAGCGTAAAACAAAAGGTAGAATCAATCTATCATATTGTATTTAATAATAGTGATTATATGTATATCCAATAAATATCAATTAATTGATAACTCCCAACAACAGTTTTAGTCCGTGAACATGATCAACCTACCAAAACGTGAAATTCGAAATTCAAAATTCACCTCTTGTTAATTAAGGGTTGTCAGAAATTTACCATATATGACATGTTAAATATACGTATATATCAATGTTTGAATTGCAAATATCTTTATATATAATTGTTTAGTGTCGAATTAGAGTAGAACACGATTTTAATGCTTAAAAAAGTACTTACCTGATAAAACCTACCTGGTTCAAATGCAACTAAACGTACAGACAATTAAATAAATAGTGGTGCTGAGGTATCACACGCCTATCCATCGCGTAAGCAGGCGTCGCCGTACAGCGTCAAAAAATAAAGTACTATAGTTTTTTGTACGGTGACGAACATTAACTGAGTTGAAGCAAAAAATACATTGAGGGTTTTAAAAAAATAATTAGATGAAAATAAATACGATTTCGAGTGTAATAAAAACATCATTCTCTCAGAAATGGTTTTAACTTTTTAATTATGATAAACGTTTTTCGAGCACCGGTCGGATTTTTTGAATTGGATCGGCCCACATAATCGACTCGAGAGAAAAATAGTATGTTGTTTTTTCATTTTTTGTTTGGTTATTATTTTCCCTGCAGTCTGAGAGTATGGATTATTTTCATGAGAATATGTATTTGTTATCTACACATTTTAGAAGAGATGAAGATTCGGGAAATACTCATTCACCGTATATATTTAAAAAAAATCAGATCTGTACGATGACGCATCCTCTATACAATGGCGATTCCTTAGAATTTATGGAGTGTAATATATGAGCTCAATATTAACTTTGTCTTAGAATTCCGTAAGTTTTTGTGTGGAAATTCAAATGTTGTATACAAAAAGATAAATTCTTATGTTTCCATTCAATTCTGATAACATGGATTAAATACTGAAATACATTCAACTCTAAGCTCACTGTTCGAACAAGAGGTAAAGAAGTGTCAGATCTACATGTACATTATTTTGGTAAACCTTATAAAAACTCAACCTTTAACGTCCGAATTTTAATCGTGAATACTGATTGTTTCAACTACTAAGATCAAAGGAAAAACAATTGTACAATGATAAGCAATCATTGTTCAACCATTGCGTTCAACCAAGCGAAGTCAACTCTTTTTCAACGACTGCGCAACCGCTTCTATACAATCATTGTAATCTGCAACCATTGTAAACTACAACTATTTCACATTGAAATATAAATGGCTGCAACCATCCTGAATTAGTATCGTTCCAAAAAATTATAATTTTACCTGAATTAAAATTATCTTTAAGTAATGATTTGAATCTACCTCTATTCAACAACAGCATATTAGGATATTTTTTCTGCAAACATACTTGCATGTTTATTACAGTAAATTACTAAATTTAGTTTACTATGATATGTTTCTTCCTCCAGTATGGATTTAGGAATGCAATACCAGACTAGTTTTCCACTCAATGGCATACGATAATTTATGTTCTCTGTCATTTACATTATTTACACGATTAAAAGTACCATATCTAGTGTTCATCAAACTACTATAAGTGTTCATAAAAGTGGCACTTCTGGCAATGTTCAAATACTATTGCCAGTATTCATTAAACTATTGGCAGTATTCAATAAACTATTGCCAGTATTCCTTAACCTATTGGCATATTGGCAGTATTCAATGAACTATTGGCAGTATTCAATAAACTATTGCCAGTATTCATTGAACTATTGCCAGAATTCAATAAACGATTGCCAGCATTCATTATAATATTGGCAGTATTCAATAAACTATTGCCAGTATTCAATGAACTAATTGTTAGTATTCATGATAATATTGGCAGTATTCAATAACTTAGGCCAGTATTCATTAAACCATTGCCAGTATTCATTATACTATTGACAATAGTCATTAAAAGGATCAGGTCGTCCAAAAGCACAATTAGAGTAACCCCTCTGGTAATCTCGTGTTATATTATGTAAAACAAGCATTTCTATCGACTTACCAATGTTGGGGCTTCGGACGATCTGATCCCTTTAAGCTATTGGCAGTATTCAGTTCAGTATTCAACTATTGGCAAAATTAAACACAATATTGGCATGTTCATCAGCTAAATCTGACCTTATCTCATCATGCGGTTTCGCCTTTCATTTTGTGTATTACTCAGTGTAACATTATAATATTTTCCTTGCCAAATTTTAACCTAAATTTATATGATTGAACAGCTAATTAATATATAATGGGTATGTTTAAAAAATGTTTCATTATTTTAGCGTACAGATTTGAAAATTTTGTATACAGATTTTGCAATTTAATAGTAATATGCTTTCTATATAGTAGCTATGAGACATGGGTCAAGCTTCTCTGAGCTTTGTTACGGTTTGTTAAGCTTTGATACGCTCTCGGCGCTTTAATCAATTCGTAACAGAGCGCCCAAAATTTTTAAACAGTTCTAAATTTTTTGGCGCTCTTGCCGAATATCCCGATTTACTCCGAGCTTTTCTACGACCTATTACGACCCCGCCACTTTAATCAAGCTTTGTTACGCTTTGGTGCCGCTTTACAAGCCGCTTTAAAGCGCCATCAAAGCACCGTTGGTATGAACAAAAATGACAAAAATGACGGCGCTTTGTTAGCCAATTTAAAGCGTGGCATACACCGTTGGTGTGAACATGGCTTAAGGGAAGTATCAAGCGATACGGCCGTCACATTTGCATTTAAGATGGCGGAAAGGAAGTATTAATTTCAATATTTTTAGGTATCGTGGAATTCACTATTTGAAAGTTGACATAATGCGTTGATGTCATTTGAACTAAACCAGGCTTTTCATATATGATTAACAAAGATAGCCTACAGCCATCTTTACCCCATGTTAGATTTTGCATCTGCCATCCTTTAAAAGTCACACGTCATCACTTGTTTAAAAACATCAATAACATATGAACAACTATACTGAGTTTTTTTGGTTTCAATTGATCCTTACCGTATCATACATTTCCAGTAACCTTCCATCAAGCGGTGGAAGATATCGTTGAACTATGGCGTCCATGCACTATATAATTATGAACAAATGATCATACTCCAGAGTTTCCATTTCATATAAGCTTAGCCTCATTTAGTTCACCAAAGCATAATCTAAATATCGAAATCGACGCTTTCTGTCCGCATCTTAAATGCAAAGGTGACTGCAGTAACTTTTGCTTGATACTGATCAGTTTGACAACATTTATACGAGGGATACTTGATTGGATCAAAATTTGAACTTCCACACCAAAGTTTATGCGATTTGAAGTAAATAATGAGTTCTTTACATTACTTCTCACAAATTGTAATGAATCGTCACCGTACAGCTGATGCGTCATCGTACAAATCTGATATTTTATAAATATACACAATGAATGGTTATATGCTGAATCTTCGCTCGTTCTAAAAAGTGTAGTTAATAAATACATATTATCATAAAAATATTCCATACTCTCAGACGGCAGGAAAAATAATATTCAAACGAAATTTGAAAAAACAACCTTTTTCACTTTGGTCGAGTATGTGAGCCGATTCACTCAGAAAAATCCGAACAGTACTCGTAAAACGTTTATCATAATAATACAGCTAAAACCGTTTATAAGAGAATGCTGTTTTTATTTCATATGAAATCGTATTTGCTTTCATCAAATTATTTTTTAAAACCCCTGCGTATTTTTTGCTTCAAAGCAGTCAATTTTCGTCACCGTACAGAAAACCCCACTCCGCTATTTTTTGACGCTGAACGATGACGATGGTTAGGCGTGTACCAGTCATATTTAAATACAGGTTCCAGTAATCAACCAATAAAACATGTCTAGAAATAAAATATTAGTGTTGATGTTTAATGTCTCATTAATGATCAAATGTCAAACGGGAATAGCGTTGATATTTAAAGCAGCTGTATTTAGAATGGTTAACCACACACACATTTCTCTTTCAAACGGAAATTTATATTTTAACATATACTTGATATTGATTATGAATCCAATGAGACACATATCTTATCTTCATATAATATGGAATTTCTTCATTAATTGTTTTATGTAACAACCTAACCTAAATATTTAATATCACTCGTGTAGTAATCAGATGTCATAGAAAATTAACAGATTAACATGTTTAATGGGTTTGATGCTTTTGTGATATCCGTATGTCTATTCGTCAGGCTACCTTAGCAGATTAACATGTTTAGTGGATTGGATGTTTTTGTGATATCTGCATGTCTATTCGTCAAGGTACCTTAACAGATTAACATGTTGAATGGGTTTGATGCTTTTGTGATATCCATATGTCTGTTCTTCAGGGTACCTTAACAGATTAACATGTTTAATGGGTTTGATGCTTTTGTGATATCCGCATGTCTATTTGTCAGGGTACCTTAACAGATTAACATGTTTAATGGGTTTGATACGTTTGTGATATCCGCATGTCTATTTGTCAGGGTACCTTAACAGATTAACATGTTTAATGGATTTGATGCTTTTGTGATATCCGTATGTCTATTTGCCAAGGTACCTTAACAGATTGACGTGTTTAATAGGTTTGATGCTTTGTGATATCCGTATGTCTATTCATCAGGGTACCAAGTGTTACCTCTTTAGATTACTTGTATCCTTATTAGAAACAGAATTGAATTAAAATGGATTTGGTATGACCAAATGGGGTCTGATTTTTGCATCTTTGAGAGGCACGTTGTTACTCAAATCTCATATCGTGAAGAAATTCTACGTAGTGAATAGCGCATTAGGAGTATTAATTGTCCGGTTAAGGTTTAAATACATTCATATCTTAACATAGTAAGGCTTATAAGGTAGGAATAAGGGGGGGGGGTGTCTCTCTAACATCGGTTGGATATTCACTATTTCTCTTAATCGACTTCAGAAGTGTTTGAAAAATGTACACGTGATGATACAGTTTTTTCTAGGGATCGAACCATGTGAGTGGCTATATTGGAATATTGATTTTGACAAACATAGTGTGTACATATGTGATTTAAAAAATGTATTGCACAGTATCCAAAAATGTTTATATGCGAAAATAACAAACAAGCAAAATGTAAATAACATTGTAAACAAAGTTGATGAAATAAAACATCAATAAGCTCTAATTACCCTGATTAATACATTCGAAAATGCCTCAATATAGCAAAGCAGGATCAAATAGAATTTAACGTGCAAGCAATCAAATAAATGATGATGCTTAGATATAAGTCGTATATAAATACAAGGTCCCTCAATCAAACAAATGATGATGCTTAGATATAAGTCGTATAGAAATACAGGCCCTCAATTAAATAAATGATGATGCTTAGATATAAGTCGTATATAAATAAAGGGTCCCTAAATCAAACAAATGATGATGCTTAGATATAAGTCGTATATAAATACAGGCCCTCAATCAAACAAATGATTTGCAATTAAACATGAAAAAAGTAGGGATGGATGTTTAACGTCACATCAATGATCAAGTGCCAAATGGTAGCAATGCTGCAAAAGGCAGCTGTGTTAAGAATGGTTAACCACAATTTATTTCATATGAAAAATAAATTTTACTCTTATGTCCCCATATAATATGTTTTTTTCATTAAATTTTTATCATTTATCGAATCGAGTTAAGACGGTTTTGGAACAGATTCAGAAAATTGTACACGAAACTAAACCATTTTTCTAGGTATGAAGATGCTCTCGTGTAAGTGCATGTCTGTCTGAGATTTAGGGATATTGACAACATAATATGTACGTGAGATTTTAAATATTTATTGCACAGTATCCAAAAATGCGTGTAAACACTAATTATTCTCCTGCAAAAATGTAAATAACAAATTACAATTAAACATCGTAAACATGGTTTGTTGAAATAAACATATAATTAAACCTTAATTACCCTGACTAATTCCTCTTAAAAATAATTATAGCGTAAATATGAGCAATGGCTTTCACCTCATTCAAAGTTAACATCATGAACGCATTTAGATTATGTTCAGATCATATAAAAGTGAGTATGGTCGTTAAATGTTTTCTTTTGGAGACACTAACTCAGTCTATATTAATTGAGATTCGATGGTATCTTATGAACCTTCAGTGACGTCACCCGATCCAGATTCGCTGCTCTCAGCAGTTTCGGCACTTTCGACGGATTCGGCACTTTCTACTGATTCAGTACTTTCGACTGATTCAGAACTTTCACTGTCACTGGGTGTAGCCTGGCGTTTTTTTCTTTGCAAATTGTCACTTTGGGGTTCTTCGTTCATAGAGTCACCGGATCCAGATTCGGCACTTTCGACAGATTCGGCACTTTCTGCAGATTCGGCACTTTCAATAGATCCGGAACTTTCACTGTCACTGGATGTAGCTTGACGTTTTTTTCTTTGCAAATTGTCACTTTGGGGTTCTTCATTCATAGAGTCACCGGATCCAGATTCGGCACTTTCGACAGATTCGGCACTTTCTGCAGATTCGGCACTTTCAATAGATCCGGAACTTTCACTGTCACTGGATGTAGCTTGACGTTTTTTTCTTTGCAAATTGTCAACTTGGGGTTCTTCGTTCACAGGGTCACCGGATCCAGATTCGGCACTTTCGACAGATTCGGCACTTTCTGGAGATTCGGCACTCTCAATAGATTCAGAACTTTCATTGTCACTGGATGAAGCTTGACGTTTTCTTCTTTGCAAATTGTCAACTTGGGGTTCTTCGTTCACAGGGTCACCGGATCCAGATTCGGCACTTTCGACAGATTCGGCACTTTCTGCAGATTCGGCACTTTCAATAGATCCAGAACTTTCACTGTCACTGGATGTAGCTTGACGTTTTTTTCTTTGCAAATTGTCAACTTGGGGTTCTTCGTTCATAGAGTCACCGGATCCAGATTCGGCACTTTCGACAGATTCGGCACTTTCTGCAGATTCGGCACTTTCCACAGATTCGGCATTCTCAACTGATTCGACACTTTCAACAGAATCCTCACTTTCGACAGATTTGGCATTTTCAGTTTGACTCGCTGCGCTGAGTTGAGAGACGCGTCTACCTTGTGGAGCGGCCTCGTTCAGTCCAAACACCACGAGGGTTACCATAACAACACAGATGTAGGAAGAACACTTCATCTTGATGACAATATTTTTTCTGAAAGGTAAAGAAGCAAACAGTCATTTACGATCGAAGCGCATGTTCTGTCGACATTGTTTGAATACATTTTTCATCAAATCAAAACTTGCTTCAAATACAAGGTGCAACAAGTCCAGCAATTCTTTAATTATGATGATAATGAGAGTAGAATGATTAAGTCGGAAAGTTCACCAATGCTTTTGCAGAAAGTCAGACTTTTTATTCATGAAAATAGGTTATTTTCGTAAATGTTGTGCTAGTCTACTAGATTCGTGTATATGCAGTATAGTTTTATCCTTTTAAATGTTGTTTTAATGTTGAAAATAACAAAGCATATTTCGGAACTTATTTTATAGCTTATTCCTAACCTCAACTGCCACGTTCAAAGGAGGGTGATAACTACATGTAGCACGTACTAACCTTTATTCTTATAATGTTATTCAGCAGTTTCTCGATTGCAATGGTGTTTTGGATGTTGAGGTCCCAGTAGAGATGTCACACAGGAGAAGTCTTGATCTGCAAGCCCGACTGTCTGTAGAAACTTCCCTATTCTAGGTGGTCCAACTGTGAAGAAACTCTTCGCTTCTACTTTACTGGTGGTGGAGTTAGATAAGATGGTTTTCTCGAAAAACATATCCATTTTATAACAAAATTGACACAAAGAAGATTAAAGTATGATTCGTGATCTAAATTTAGATCTCCAAACGTGTTTTATTCAATCTGTTTGTGTACGTTAAGATTTAGTTTTCACGACTAAGCTGAATTGACGTCATCACTAACAGCCTTAAACTTAACTTGACAAAATGTTTGAATAGCATAGGTCTCCACAACATGCATGTATTGATCTTAAGAATACAATTACACGCTCTTTAGCGCGAACATTCGATTTATGAATCAACTGCAATCCTAGAGCTTAGTAAATGAAAATGAGAATTCATAAAAGTAAATATTTATTGCCAATGGATATATGACCTCGATTTTACAAGATTAAAATTTAAACATGTTGTTGAGTATCTGACACAGAACAATATAACCATACAACTAAAAATATCATAATTAGTTCCAGTAATCTACGCAATTTTGTATTTTCTGTGTATAATAGCATGCGCATAACATCAATGTTTTATATTAACCACGTTTTTAAACTGTGCAAACATGTTTCTTTATTTATCGAATTTAATATCGTACTTTTGGAAGTAAGTTATTTCCCGCAAAAGGCCTCAGTACATGCGATAACCTCGGATTGCAAAAGGTGTTAGACCCAAGGGGCATAAAGTACGAACTCAGCACTAAAGAAATGTTTTGATAAAAAGTACAGATGGTCAAAAATTGAGTTTCATTTTTTTGTAAGAAAAAGTAACATAGCATACAAAAAGTTGAGTATACATATAAATCCAAGAATCATTTAACTACATGAGAAACAGTACCCTTGCTCTTTTCCATTTCCTAAATATCATCAAAATTAATTATCGCCCTATGAATATAAAGGTTAGAGGAAAACGTTACTTGCGCGTAATGTGTGTGCAGAAAAATAAATCTAAGATTAAACATAGGAAAACCGGGCTTATTACAGAAATTAAAATGTTCCCAAGATTAAGAAGAAAATGTGCTAATTTTTTGGTTATATCTGCAACGAATAATTGTTAGGATATAATATAAGACATGGCCCATTTGAAAGGTATCTCTGTGCTTATTAGATAATTGATTGGGATTTTGTGTGTTCAGTGAAATTTTAATCTTAACGATAACGTATGCACACGGCGAAATCATTTGATTTTCTATACGAGTTCTTACACCATGGTGAAGGTATGTCACTATTTTCTCGAAAATATGTTAAGGTATTTGTAGCAACGCACCTAGTTGAAGTAAACTATCCCTTTGATTCAGTCCCGTTGTCACGATGTTCCCATATTCTCATTTTGACGTGCACTTGCCATATATGGTAACTTTTTGAAGGGCAAAAGGTCAAGCATACCATATACGGCCTATATTAACTGTTTTATGTGAGCAAGGTCGTCGATAATAGTAAGAAGTTTAAACACTTTAAATATTGGCTTTTGTGTTTACCTGCGTTTAAATGTTTTATAAATAAATGTGTTTATCTGGAATAATAGTTTATTTTATAAAAATAATTTAAAAACACCACGACGTGTACACATAATTGTCCACATGCAGAATAATATGTACTAGATTATTCCATATATATAGTGATGAGACGCGGAATTGTTGTCTTCATACCGTGGTATTAAACAAGGGTCGGTTCATATACATTTGTACACGATTCTGAACATATGGGGCTGAATCAGAGGCTGTTATTTGGTCAAGTTTGAATCAGATCACGACGCAGGTATCAGTATATAATGATGTTTCTAAGATGTCTTGGTCAGTTCAGATCTGGAAGGGAAACGTACAAACCTCTGAAGACTTCAATCATCAGATACATCAAAGGAAGAAACACTCGCTGCATATTATTTGAATTAACCTAAAAGTAAGTAGCTGTATCTTAAGTACTTTAGTACTAACATTCGCTAGGGGATCTATCAAATGAAACAGGCGTATTTGATATTATGTTTTATATTTTATAAGTTATGTTAAGTGAAGTTATTTACTTGGACTAAATGTACATGGACCCTCTGAAAATGTGTACAACATAAAACTAAAATGTGGCTTTCTAACTAAACTCATAACTTTCATGTACTCTTGGTGTCATATTAAAAATGTATATTGGGACTGATAAATTGAATAAAAATTCCATATGTTGCTCGTTTTCGGTCAAGTCAATCCCTTCCCTTTTAAATATTTGGAGTCAACATTTTGTATATATTTCAACATCATTAGAAGTAGCCGTTCATTAAAAGATCCAAATGTTCATTTGAGACAAAAGCTCGTGCAAAACAAAATGAAAGTATACACAATAACAATGTTCATTGCACAATATTAATAATATGATTCTTATATCTTTGCAGACGTCAATATGCGAATTGCCGTAATCATACTGATTGCGACTTGCATCGCAGCCACACAAGCATGTAATCGTGGCCGACATGACAACAATAAGCCAGAGCCCAACAAACCCGATAGCACAGATGAGAACACACCAGAACGTCCAAGTGGGGAAAACCGACCAGACCGTCCACGCGGTGACTCGCTGAATTCTAGAACACCAGACACTGAAGTAGGAGACGACGACCGTATTAAGTATGGTTTAGTCGGACGTCCCCATCCCAGATTTCCACCAAAACATCGCCATGGCAACCACACCGATGGGCCACACCATAATGGTACAAGACCACATCATAACGAAACATCACACGAGCATCCCCATAAACCTCATCATAACCACAGCGATAGTGGTTCCAGCTCACACGAGGGTCGGCGCCCACATCATCCACGTCGCCGTGGGCCTAAACGTCATAGTAGCGAATCTCAAAGCAGTGAATCCCAAGAAGATGATGTTGAATCTAGTGGAACTGACATTGAAAAACCAGAAATTGAACCAGAAGTACCAATCGATGGCGACAACCCTGAAAAGCCCATCGAGGGTGGTTCTGGTGATGGTGAGGAGCAGGGTTTCTTGCCATAGACATAGATAATTGTATTATTAGAGAAATTAGACTGTTGGACAATTATCTTTGAATACTTGATTGCTGGACAATCAAACAAACATTAGAAAGACATTTGCTCAACTAGTCCAGATGTTATTTAATTTTTAATGTAAACCCAGTATTTATAATTGGTGTCGTTCAGACAGGGTCTCGCTGACTAGGTGCCATGAAAATGCAATAAATATGTTATATGATATATACTTTTTGAGTTATATAATTGTTTGATCTTAACGTACAGAATAGTGACACCTGTTAAATACAATGAACGTTGATACCTGTTGAATACAATACATTTCTTTCGAATGTAATTCGAAAGATTTATTCATCGTGTACTTTTCCGTTAGCTTATGCCTTAATCAATTAACTGATCAAATTGTGATTCCCCAGCTGGTACACGTCGACATTAAAATCAAACACTTAACCAAATACGCTGCAAATCATATAAAAATTAAAGATGACTTTCTTTTTATACAGTCACTCAAATAACACTTCCATGGCCAGTTTTAATGAGCATGGGCAGAAAAAATCTATTCGTTCTTTGTATCCACGTGATACCTCTGTGGGTTCCTAATCTGTAAATAGAACATCTTAACAAAACAGGATGAACAGAACCGAACTAATTTAAATCTACACTCCCCTCCATAAGTTTGGCAACCTTTTTCCCCCATTGAACTGCGTGTTAAAGCCTCTTTACCTTTGAATTTTTATTTACTTAACCGGCAATGAAATAACTTATAATATTGATGGAAACGTAACTTGACTTTATTTCCAATACTTCCAAATTTTCTCAATTTTTTTTCCTCAATTACAATAGGTCGAAAATTGGTGATAAATTTGATGAATTTTTGAAAATCGTCATTCCCATGTAATCCAATGGGAAATGGAGGGTTCGGGGCAAATCAGAAATCAGGATATCTTTCCAGTAAAAGATTCACCAAAAAAATATTTTTATATAAAAAATTGAATTGTTTAACTTTTTTGTACACTAAGTGTTTAGTTTATTTGATGAATATTAAAGTTACAGCGCTTCAAAGTCATTTTGAAAATAATTTTTCGCCTCCTGTGTTATTTCAATGGCAGAGGTTTTTTAAAAATAATTTTGACTTGAAAGCCCTATAATTTTGTTGAACCTGAAGAAACAGATCAATTTTTTGTTAAATAAAGTTAGCAAATTCAATTGCCTGCCTAACTCGTATTTTTTGCAAGGACTCGGATAGATGGATATTCTGTCATATGACTTGTGGCAAACCTAGCATTTCCCATTGGTTAACATGAGAATGTCGATTTTCAAAAATTCATCAAATTTATCATCAATTTTCGACCTATTGTAATTGAGGCAAAAAATTGAGAAAAGGAGGTATTGGAATTGAAGTCAAATTACGTTTCCACCAATAGTATAAGTATTTTCATCGCAGGTTAAGTAAATAAAAATTCAAAGGTAAAGAGGCTTTAACACGTAGTTCAATGGGGGAAAAAAGGTTGCCAAACTTATTGAGGGGAGTGTACATTGTTTAACTCTCATAGCCACTTCCTCCTAAAATTCCTCATGTTGATAAGTCACAACTCTGAAGTTGGTAAAGGAGGAGGGAAAGTATCGCAACAGATTTCAGACAGTCATATGTTTGATTTAGGTAATTTTCATGTTAGGCCAATGCATTATCTCCAGGAAAAGCACTCATAGAGATGATAAAATAATTTTGACTTTGAGACAGGGAAGATGCAAACAACCGACCAACATGTTTTTTCTGAAATGTTGTCCTGATATTTCAACCCCTTCCACCCCTGCTTTTCCATTTTTTGTTGCATCAATATGTTGCGTTTTGGCACACAATTAAACTCTTTAAAGGAATAAGTAATTCCTCCAGGGGTATTAAAGATATCCATTATGGTTGACCAAAATTAGCTGAAAGCAATGGATCGCATGAGTTTTCGCTATGGGAAAATAACATGAGGAATATTGTTTTCCACTTTATCGAAGAGGAATCACTTATTCCTTTAAAGGGGTTAACTGTTTTAAAACGCAACATATTGATGCAAAAAATTGAAAAAGAGGGGGTGGAAGGGGTTGAAAATCAGGACAACATTTCAGAAATAACATGTTGGTGGGTTGTTTGCATCTCACCTGTTTCAAAATCGAAATTATTCTATCCTATGAGTGCTTTTCCTGGAGATAATGCATTGGCCTAATATAATATGCACCTGCTTAAATCGTCAGAAAATAGCCAAAATCCAACATATGACTGTCCAAAATCTGTTGCGATACTTTCCCTCCTTCTTTCCCTCAAACTGCAAAAACCCAAACGTGTAACAGTGTTAAGTTATAATGGAAAGTTCGACATAGTCAATCGATGTCGTGTATGCTTTCAAATCAAACAAAAAGCAAAATTCTCAAATTGAACTAAGTTTAAATATAATTCTCGTTGAAATATCTTCTAGAACACACCTTCAAATGATTTAAGGATTTAAGCCCTGGACTCATTCATTGAAGAGACCATTCCTTGAAGGCGTTGTTTCCACATTTTTCATGGGATGCGCAGCATCGACCGTTAATTTTAGAAAACAACGCCTGGAAGGAATGGTCATTCGACAATGCACTGCGTCTTGGGCTTAAATTCTTTTCCATTGCAAAATATGATTTGCCATGTCACTTAAAAGATACAAAATCAAGAAAAGAACTTATTTTCAATGAAATCTTTTGCGAGGGTCAAGTTGGCAAAGCATGCACTGCTGTTATATGAAATACTGTGTTCGGATTGCCTGGAATCAGACACACCTCGTCTAGCCATGTGTGAATAACAACCCATAGCTCACCTTGACCTCGATTTGACTTTTATTGATTGACATGATACCTGGCATAAATGTATGATGTATACGACTTGCTGCAAATACCCTTCGGTTCAACTTGATACAAATTCTCAATGGAATCGGTTAATCCCGAAAATTGAGGTGATCGGGGGGAGTATAGTGTGGGAACTCACTGTTGGTAAGAAATATTAGAAATTGGTTGAAAATCACATCATCTCTGTTTTTATAGAATAAAAATATAAGCTGGTCCTATTGACTTTCGTTTGAATATTGACCATTGAACTCGAGTATAGTGAATGCAGTTTCAAACAGGCATGTAATTTACAAAATAGTGAATAAATGTGCATCAAATTTTATAAAATGATTTGAAAAATATAACAAACAAATTAAGTGGCTCAGAGTAAATTGCAATACAGTTGCTAGTTTTTAGAAAACAAATGTTCTGCTATTTTGGTTGGCCTTATCTATTTTGAAATATTTTCCATTAAAGAGACAAAGTGCGTACAAATGAAGTCTCACTTTTGATCTTCATGGTATTTCCAATGGATTGATAAGTACCTGATCTTTCATTTGACACCAAAACAGCTCAAACAGACCACATCAGAGTAGACACCAGATCATGAAAAAATATTTTTGATCTATCAAGATTTTCAACCATACGCCATATTTTAATCCAAGAGTTATTTAAAAACACACACTTTGTGAAAAGTGGTAATTCACTTCTTTATTGATCTCTGCGCTTCAAATGCTGTTTTTTATGAGAGAATTTTTTTCACTTCAGTATTGACCCAAATTAAAGTTTTTATCATATTTGACTGACTGTGTGAGTGACATGTCTCAAATAATATGTTGTCCTTTTCCTTCAAAAATAAGCGCATTGCCTGTTTAATCAGTAAATATAGACCGCCAATGCGATTCTATGTAATATTTTACATACAGTACCATATGGCATCTATAGTAAGAAGCAAAAGAAATCATGAAAATTGGTCAATGCTGCAACTTCTGCCTCAGATATGCTTATTTTCTATGTACGGCTATTTGACCCCCCGCTTGCATTAGTATTAATATGTATGACTATTCATTTACGCAGGCATTTTACATTATGCAACAAATGCTATAAATATTTCCGAAGAATATTTCTCAAAAATAAATGCTATTATTATATCACTATCTAGCTAGCGACAGTATGATTGGTCAAAACCGGGTCACATGTCGTGGGATATCTGGCGATATTCAATGGCAATGCTAATCAGATAAGACAACCGTGAGATATCTAGCGATATCCCACGCTCCCGGGAATTTTCAAAGAATTTGTTTTCGTTCAGTATAAATAATTTAGTTCACTGTAAGTCAAAATGGCAGACGAACCGAGTAGATTCAATGTATTTCAATGTTAACCTATGACTTAATAATATTAGGGATGTTTAGCTAGACAGTGATATAATAAAACAAATATTTCACTCTATTTTCGGTGAATACCTGTAGCACTTTCACAAGGTGATATTCCACTTGCCCTTCGGGCTTCGTGGAATATCACTTGTGAAAGATGTACAGGTATTCACCTCAATAGAGTGAAATATTTGTTCAATATCTGGATTGAATCTGATGACATCTCTCCACTGTTTTCTGTCACAGACTTGTATTAAATTCACTTAAATTGAATACACCGATGGTCAGACCAGCACTTCTAGTATTTTATTTTTACTTTCTACTTTGCACCCACTTTACCTCTTTGAGTCACGATATTCACATATTCATTCACATTTTGACATGTTTTTGCTATAAATGTGTTAGTGTAAAAATTCAAGAGGTTAGGCTTGTCATATACGACGAATAAAAGTAGAATCTTATCTTGTGAGAAACCCTAAAATTCGAATCTCCAAAGTGCAAGCTTTATTTCATGAAAATTTTTTACATTAATGAATCACTTTTCTATAAATGTATTTACATTTATTATTTGGGAAAATCAAACATTTTCCGCATTTTTGCTTTTGCAATCTTTTGTGATATTCGTATTTGAATGTCAACTGTTGGTGTGAAAAGGGGCGGCCAGATTGAAACAAGATAAGATTGAACAAAATAGGTTTTGCATTGTTTTCCAAAAATGATTGGTTAAACAACAAAAAATGCATTGAAGCAGAAACAAATTACTTTTAAGTGAATAAAGTATCCAATGGGCATGGTCCCAGAGTGCTGAATATACAATATTGTATCATTTGCAGAAGTGATATGCTCAGGATTACACTCGGAGGAAGTTCAAGTTATTTTTGTGACTGAAATTCTGAACTGTTCCTGTCCGTCACCCTATTCTATGATTTTGAGGGAGTGTGTTTTGAGAAACAACAAAATGTCACTGAGGCACAAGAGAAGGTGGTGTCAAATTACTTCAAAATCATCAAAAGTCGAGTAACATTCTATATTTCCAATTCAAGCTTAAATATCCCTGATTGATGTTAGATATGACGTAATAGGTGTTGTGTCAAGAATCATGATAGAATCAACTATTTTTAGCTTTTAGACATGATATTTGTGATGTGTATTAATTTCACGTAGAAATAATTTATCCTAATATGTATTTTTCTAGATATTTTTTAATATATGACCCTGCATCCAGAACTGTATTTGCACATAACAACGTTCAAATGGTGTCGCTAATCTTTACCACTATGCTTCTTTCAATTTTGATTCGCTACTTGAGCAGTTATCATATGCACCATATAGTTCAGATATGGCCCCATGTGATTTTTTTTCCTTTTCCCCAAGTTAAAAGCATGGATATACACATTGAGGTTAAAGTGGCAGTCCAAGAGCAAGGGTGGTTTCATGAATGTCTTTCATTCATTGGTAACACGAAAAATGTGTTCAAATTCTCGGAAAGTATGCTGAAAAGTAAATATGTGAATGTATTAAATATTAATTATATTATGATGATTATTATTATGTTTTAAATACAGCTGGCTGGGCCCTCATATTAGAATAAAATCTTGAAAAGTACCAAAAATATGTTTTGAGAAACTTATGAACAATTATTTAAATATTGATCTTGATTATTTGAAAGTTTCATGCAATTTAATTTAAGTAAGAGCGGTGCGTTCAAGACTTTTGGGTCACTCCTCGTATGTTTTATGTTACCAAGATAACCAACAATCGTTTGAAGTATATATATATACCCTCAAAATAATAGCGTTTGTGTATACCTGCGAGTAAAATGTTATGAGAATTAATGTCAGTGTATATACGGAATAATAGTTTCTTTTACAGAAATAATGCAAAACACCATGACTCGTACACTTAATTGTAAAGTCATGTAAGACCATGATATATAAATAATTACAACCATAATGAGATGATACGAGGAATTGTTTTCTTTATATCTTACACGAGTAACGTTTAATGTTTTAAGTTAATTTATTGTTCCAATCAAATTATTTACACAATTCCGTCATATGGGGCTGAATCAGAGGCTGTCATATTGTCAAGTTTGAAACAGATCACGACACAAATATCAGCATATAAAGATGTCCACGAGATGTCTTGGTCACTTCAGATCTGGAAGAGATTCGCAACCTGCCAGAAATATCGGCCAACAACGACCGCAAAGGAAGAGAAACTCGCTACGTGTTATTTGAATTTAGCTAACGGTAAGATCCTTTCAGGAAGTAAAGCTAACAAATGAAAGTGAAGTTTCGGACTTTGCATTGATATTTAATTTTGTGTTTTATTATTATATTTTTATTATATATTATGATTTGTCATCCCTTGTGCATGTAGGGGGCCTGTGCAAGTTTGTAATTTTTCTAGCTTTACCATAGTGTCTCGTTTTTTTAGATAGTAATTTTTGCAAGTTTTTTAGTGCCTCCGTTATTTTTGACCCACAGATGTAAGACACCTTTTACGTAAAACGCATGTTAATTGGGGATAGGGGCAAAAATGCGATGGCCAAAAGTTCATGAAAATAAAAAAATGAAATTCATAAACGTTTCATAGATACCTTGTTTCTCTGGATTTTATTTGTCATTTTTTATTCTCCCCTCAATTTTTCAATCTCTTCATTTGTAATTCAATTCCGTTACAATGTAATTTCTAGGCGAAATTATGGACCGAAACTACGTTTGAATACCCAGCCAAGCATTTATCTATTTTTTACAATAAATCAGCGATTGTAATTAGTAGTACAACTACGTACTTTGAATATTAAAGACAAGTTGAACTTCAAATCGTCGATTATTCAATTACGCATTCTATTGATTTCAATGGGGTTTTGCGATACCTGTAACTATATTCGAGAGTACATATACGTTTAGTTGTAGAAAAACGTTAACTTTGATTTTTAGTTTAATTAAAAGATAATATATGATTATTTTAGGAAATATATATAAAAAACATTTATTGTGCAAAGAAAAATAAAAAATTCACAAATGTTAAAAATTTTCATCCCAAACTCAAATTGATCTCTATTTAACCTGTGTTGACCTACTTTTTCTGAAAAACCAATCCTTTCGGAAGAGGTAATTAAATAAGGTTTACAGCAATGCCAATATTATTGAAATCAAACAAATATTAAAAAATAACAGAGGGTGTGGGAGTTCAAATGATCCCCCTCGCGAGTCAGTGTTATAAAAAATGTTGTAGACATTGGGCTTAAGCCAATTATAGATGGAACTTGTTGGCGTTAAAGCAAAGTGATTTACGGTAGTTACGGTAGCAATGATAGTCTCATCCAACTTTTCGATTTCACTTATTCGATTTTTTAAATCACTAGGCAAAATGTTTGAACTCTACCAAGTTTAGCATTTATCTATTGCCCAACTGGTTCATTGATTGGCATTTGTAATTTATGTCGAAATATAAATGGTAACGACAAAATCAAGACTGGAAATTGAGGATTATTCAATTGTGCTTTCAATTGATTCAAATCTTTGGAAGTGAATGCGTTTAGTTATAGAAAAGCTTTAGTATGGATTTTCATTTTTGGAATCATAACTTACTATCAAGAAACTGTCGCACTTCGGCACTAAACCAATCTTCAGTTTCAAGGAACATCAATTTATCACAAAATGTCACAAATGTACACCCCTTATGTTGCGTAGATCTCTATTTGACCTTTGTTGACCTACATTCATTTGAGTTGTATTGAGACTGGTGAATTGTTTGAAAACTCCAATGTTGCTATAGTGTATTTATTGCATCAATATTCGTAATATTAATATCTTCGGTTTTTACCCCACGGAGTAAGTTAAACCGAACATAAACAAAACCAGTTACAACAAATGGTACCTACTATCCCACATATAATTGACTGCCTTACGCAACAAATATGTAAAATGCTTCAAAACTGTATTCGACCCGATCAAATATAAATTTGATAAGTATTTTAAATATGTGCGATGCCAAGTACCATTCGTATTGGGTAAACATCCATTTGTGGGGTAAGTCACGTGACTTACCGAATGCTTTTATATAAACCAATTTTCACTGTTTTGATGTGGGGTAAGTCACGTGACTTCAACCATGTGACTTGCGCCATCTATGTATTCAAAGAGCTCTGGTGTGATTCTCCAATCGCGAAAACGTATCTTCTATTAAGAAGGGATCGCTTGTAGCATCATGCCTGTTGTAATGATCTAATAACTTCTCTTGTGAATATGAATCGTATTCAAATTCTTTTTCCTCGCTTGTTTCATCCATTTTGAAATAATTTCTACGTCACTGGTCACGTGATTTACCGAATGGTTTTATGCTACATGCAGCATGTGTACTCATTTATGTGGGGTAAGTCACGTGACTTACCCCACATAATTTTATGCGAAAGTACATGTCATTAATCATGTGTGGTAAGTCACTATATGTCCGTGCTATTTTGTACTCTATGATTGTTCGGTAAATGAACATTGTTTGGTTCTAAAGTGTATTTGTATTTGATGCGTGTTCTAAATATATGTGTCAAACGTCTTTGTTCGTGTGTGTATATGGACTTAAATATGTGATATTTTACCAAACACTGAGTAACATAAACCGCATATACAAGTGCATTTACCGCATATATAGGTAAATAAATCAAATATAAATGTGTAAAAACAAACAAATTTATTACATGTTTCGAATTATTTTAATAGAGTGGAATATCGAATGGTTGTAATCAAATACAAAAGTGTGAAAATCGAATAAAGATGCAGAAAAATTCCATATGTTGCTCTCAACTCACCATTCGTAAATATTTTAAGTAAAATCTCTGTATTTCAAGGTCGTTAAAGTAGCCATTTATAAAAAAGAAAAAAATACAGTAATGACAAAGACAAATGTGCAAACTTAAACTAAACGATACACAATAATATTACCCCAAAATTATATCTTTGCAGGTAATCCCAAGATGAGAATTGCCATTATTCTACTGATTGCGACTATCGCAACCACACAAGCATGGAATTATGGCCGACGGGACCGACCAGAACGTCCTGATGGTGAGAACCGACCAGAACGTCCTGACGGTGAGAGCCGACCAGAACGTCCCGACGGTGAGAGCCGACCAGAACGTCCCGATGGTGAGAGCCGACCAGAACGTCCCGATGGCGAGAGCCGACCAGAACGTCCCAACGGTGAGAGCCGACCAGAACGTCCTGATGGTGAGAGCCGACCAGAACGTCCAAACGGTGAGAGACGACCAGAACGTCCTGAGGGTGAGAGCCGACCAGAACGTCCTGAGGGTGAGAGCCAACCAGAACGTCCCAACGGTGAGAGACGACCAGATCGTCCCGATGGTGAGAGCCGACCAGAACGCCCTGATGGTGAGAGCCGACCAGAACGTCCTGATGGTGAGAGCCGACCAGAACGTCCTGATGGTGAGAGCCGACCAGAACGTTCAACTAGAATGAACCGACCAGAACGTCCCAACGGTGAGAGACGACCAGAACGTCCTGATGGTGAGAACCGACCAGAACGTCCCGCTAGCGAGAGCCGACCAGAACGTCCCGATGGCGAGAGCCGACCAGAACGTCCCGATGGTGAGAGCCGACCAGAACGTCCTGATGGTAGAAGCCGACAAGAACGTCTCGGTGGTGAGAACCGACCAGAACTACAACGTGGTTAGAATTAACCTGATTGTCAACGTTTCTCGTAATAATACAATTGAATTGCTAATGCTACGATAAAATCGTTGGATAAGAGACTTACAAATATTGGACAATCATCAATTGAATTTTGATCAGACAATCAAACAACTATTAAACCAATGAGGTACCTAGTCTGAATGTGATTTCAATATGTTAAGCACAATTCCTTGACTATGTGACATATATACAATAAATATGAAGCGTTGTATCTAATCATGTTTTTGCGTTTATGTCCTTGCATTATTTCAATGCACGTTGACATTCTTTTGAATAAAGTACAGGGTGGTCCAAAAAAAGTGAACCCCTGCAAATGGCCATATTTCCCTTATTACTAGCAGGAATTCTTTTTTATTTTCACATGTTGTTGAGGAAGGTCTAAAATTTATGTTGGTACCATACATTTTTCTTAGTCTTGAAATTTGCAGAAATTATAAGCCCTAACCAAACATTACTGAAAATGGACAAATTGTGATTTTCAATATCCGCGATTCTTCAACCCTTAAACACATTTCCCCTGAGAATTTTTTAAGCTGCAGTCTTAAATAACTTATATTTTCTGACTTTGTTCAATTTTAAATCCTGCACATTATGGCTTAAAACTAGCATCCTACATTTGTTAGTTGCAAAGTTATTGTGATCCAAAGAGATGTGCTAAGCTTCCACAGACGAAAACATTTTCCAGTGAAATCATGAGCATACCCCTATATGATCTTGAAATGTCAATATCTTCATAAATCATGGACCAATTCTAATGATATATGGCTCAAAACATTGAATATTGGATTTTCTTTTGATTTTTTAAAGATATTTGATGAAGGGGTTATCAGATTCCTGGTCACAAGGGGCAACCCTCTAACTGTTGGTGTAGGTAACATACCCCTGAACTGTTGAACAGTTAAAAATGCTTCAAAATGATCAATGAAAGTGTGAAATACGTTTTCTGCTTGAATAGTGTCCCTTTTGTCATATGGTAGGGTTTTAAACTTGTATCTCTAACTGAAAGCTGTTTAAGATCATCCAATGTGTTTCAACAATTTCCGTGAATCACATTTGTAAAATTTTGTGCAATATCTAATTTCCAGGCATGTTTGTTAAACGCTTGTAATTTCTTCAAAATTTAAGACTGAGAATAAATTATGGCATCAACCAAAATATTAGACCTTTCTCTACAACATGTGATAATATGAGCCAATTCATGCATGTATTAAGAAAAATGTAGCCTGTTGCAGGGGTTCACTTTTTTTGGACCACCCTGTATATTTTAAAGATTTTTTGGCTTAGGGAATACATCCACCAGGGTATAAGCTACAGACGAACCCGTTTGAGAGGTGAAAACAATATAATTTCTCCTCGTGATAAGGCTAAAGTTATATGTAATGAATGTGATATAATGAATCATATAAAATGTAAACGTATACTCCAGAACTTATTTACACTATAAGGAGAACTTATATATAATATAAGGAGAACTACATATACTATAAGGATACCTTATAAACAATATAAGATGTAAGTAAAATACAATAAACGTCGTCTGGAAGATTTCTTGTCAATTTAATTTTCTATACCAGCATTTTTTTCCTTAACTGATACATATCAACAATAAAAGCAAGCACTTAAAAAATACGAACCCAGATGAAAAATTCATAAAAGATTTACTGACACTTAATGAGCACGACCAATTTTAAATGACATGGAAATCTATTTTATTTTTGAAATGTTTCACAAAGAAGGTTCATTGAGATGGAGAGGTGACAAATATTTCATCTAACCTCAGAACTCAAACTGACATACAGGGTGATCAATAAATAAGGTAAAAGTATCTGGCATTTCTTCAGATTTTACCCAATCCTCATAAAATTTGCACAGAATAATGTTCAAACATTATTAAATTGATATATCAAGTTACAGATCAAAGTGATGCGATTGGTTGAAGTTATCGTTGCCATAGCAACAGAAAGCATGAAGAGCCGGGGCAACTATCAAAAAACTAAATTTTCAGTCGAAAAACTTTAATAATATATTTCAAATCACAATTAAAATGGCATATCATATTCTTATTTCATACACCATAACTGCTACTTAATGTCCTTTGTTTTTAACATATAGTTCATGTCTTCTACTCCAGTCTTTGAACACCTTTTGAAACCCATTTTCCCATAGCCTGCAGATTTTCAAGACAGCTGACTTCAAGTCATCTCAAGAGAAACTCTCTCAACTCAGTCTTCAGCTCATCATGACGGTAAAATCATAAGGGGACAAGTCAGGAGAGTATAGTACATGACCTAACAGTGTGAAACCCAGTGCTTCAATGGTTTGTACCGTATAGCATAGGGTATTGTTTTTCATCATTGACCTGTGTCATAGACTTTCTATGATCACATCATATATTAATCTTTTATATATTAATCTTTTCCATGACATCAAACATCAAATTTGCAAGAAAATATGTAACAATGTAAACAAAGTATTAAAACAATTAATGCTGGTACCCACATTTATTTCTTTTCAGTTTGAAAAAGATGTGCTTTTTATCATTTTTTGTTCAAATTGGACGCAATGAAATTGCCCCGGGTAGCCCCGACTCCAGTTGCCATAGTAACTATAATATTAATCAATCAGATGGAAGAAGTTATATATTTATTTGTTTTAATTTAGAAATTTGCAAGGTATATTCTGACCAAATTTCAGGATGTTTGGACCAATATTTACAAAATGCCAGATACTTTTACCTTATTTATTGATCACAAGGTATACTATGCGCTAGCAGAGTGAAATACAGACGTTCAAGGGAAGAATATTTTCTGTATTTCACGAGAAATCATTGAATACCGTTTTTATTCCATGATTATCCATATAAAACTTGCCTAAATCAAGTCCCTTGGCTTGGGGCCGGACTGAAACAGATCAACCTTCTCACCTCAGAGATATTTTACATCGATATTCCTTCAAAATCTTTATGGCCTTGTTGTTTGCTTTGTATTGTATTATACGAGACATTTGATTTTTTTTCTTTTTTCTTCAATTTCATCAGCTGGAAGTGTAGTGTAGCGAAACGTTTTTTTCGACTTTCGTCTGCCATATTGGATTTTAAAATTTTTTACTAGTTCATGAAAACAATGTGCATGCTTCATATTGATCTTTTTATATTCACAGATGTGTGTTTTTTATCCTAAAATTATAAATTGTGATGATCACCGTATCATTTCCTATATCAGATATTTCTAGCAAAATGCAAATATTAGCATCTTTTTCACTCTGTATCCAACGCTTAGTGGAATGTGCGTGTAAATAAAGAATATATTTAAGTCACGTGCACCAATCAGATTGCAGGGAATTTCACCATCATGGAATAATCATATATACTCATCTTATATGATGAAAACAAGGTTGAAAATGAAACACATTTTTTATTTCAACTAAACTAAAACTAAACATATAATACTTTATATACTTATACAATTGTACATACTCCCCTCCATAAGTTTTTCAAATAGGCTTACGTGTTAAAGCCTCTCTACAGGGTGTCCCAGAAGTAATGATAATTATGCTCTAAAATTTTTATTTGAAATGGAAACAATATGAAATTCACACAAATTAAAGATCAAGATGTTAGCTTCATTTTACTATATTACATTTATTACTTTACACAAATATATTCAATGTATAGTTGCCATAGCAACATGTACGCGCGTTCTGCGGAGCAGCTGTGTGTTTTTCATACATTTTTGAAAAACATTTCATGTTCATATGTTTCCCTGCTGTTCACATTACTACTGTAATGCTCCTACTTCATTCCTGATATTCCTTAAGAGCATTGTACATTGTTGATTCACTTATCCACATACTGTCCTTTGCTGGAGACAATTTGTCTGTGCCTTTCCAGCCAGGATTGGAAGACATGATCAAAACCACTGTTGGACATATCCTGCAGAGCCAACTGAACCGAGTGGCGCAATTGTGCCTCGCTCTCGTGTTTATGCCACCTATACACAGTGGGGTTGGACAGTCTTCTCTCACCATATGCTTGTTTAAACTCCTTTATAGTGTCACTGGGTTTACCCCCTGTCTTCTGAAGGAATTTTATGACTGCTCTCTGCTCTAATTTTTCATCTTTGCTCAACATTGGTGGCATAATGTACACCTCCCTGGAAATTCCTAGGTTGTGTTCCTAAGAGTTTTCCTTTTGTGAAACCCTATATGACATCATCATGTGATGTCATAATATCAGATTAAAGTGATAATCCTGTCACAATGAGATAAATTACATAATATTAAACCACTATGACATCATGCAACTGTATACAATTACCATAACGATGATTTAAAAGCTTGAAACATTATCACAGAATAACTGCTTTTCTAAACTAAGTTTGAACATTTATAATATACGGAAACTGCTCCGCAGAACGCGCATACATGTTGCTATGGCAACTATACATGGAATATTTTTGTATAAATTCATAAATGTAATATAGCAAAGTGAAGCTTATATCTTAAACTTTAATTTGTATGAATTTCCTTGTCAAATAAAAATTTAAGAGCATAATTATCATTACTTCTGGGACACCCTGTATATCTGAATTTCTATTTTCATAACCTGCCATGAGAAAATCTGATAATAAAGGCGAGGACGAAGAATGATGTAATTCGACTTTTTTTGGTTTCCCGAGACCTTGCCATTTGTTCTATTGTGTTTCATTGACATTGAACTACTGTGTATTATGAACTCATGAGTCTGAAATATTTGAAATGAAAATTGGGAATTTTCTCTCTACATACCTTGTCATACATTTAGTCTCAGACATCACACATAGAAGATGTTAAGCCAAAGGTTGCCCTGATAGGTCAGAAAAAGTTGGAATTTTCTCTCTTCAGACCTTGTAAAATCTTTATACTGTAAGTAAAGCTAGGATGACAAACTTTCCCCGAATATAGTTCTATCAATTATCAATGATGATGTTAGACTGCTATTTCAGATTTTGTCTCTCTGAGCTGATGATTACATCACAAAAAATAATTATCCTATATCACGGGGTACCATCGAATAATTTTGGCAACGTACCGGAGAACGACATTTTACTAAGAAATGGCAATAATTTAGCACAATATATTTTTTAACTAGAGTTCTACTTTGATTTTGACAAAAGTAAGTATTCCATGCAATGACTATTTCATTCATGAGTTTGTAGGAATTCTGTTGGAACACAGTTCTGATCAAGTACGAAGTTATTGAAATCGGCGCAGACGGACTTTACTCCGAAAGATTGTTTTTCGATTATAACTTTTCACAACATTTAAGTATAGACTTTTGAAAAAAGTACAGAATAGTCCTTATACTTTTGAATAATTCTGTTATTTCTGATTCACACGACTCTGATTTGTTTAATTAAAAAAAAGTTTTAAAAATATTACTTAGGAACGTAACCGGAGCTGGGAACGTAACCGGAGCAGATCAGTTGAATTATTTAATCAAAAAAAATAAAATATATGATTTAAAGCACATATACTAATTTAAAAACATACGGGATTGTTCGAATGCGTATTTATTACATTTTATTTAAAGAAAAAAATTTATCCATTGTTAAAAATTAAATTTGGTATTTACCATGCATAAGTGCACTTACCTTAGAAAGGCTATCAAACATAGAACAATCATTGTATGGAGAATGAAGTGATTAAATGTAGTAAGCAAATAATTCCATTTGATTTCACCCATTGTATTTGTTCAGCGAACTATTAGAGCCCACTCTGTTATACTAATTTCGTATACTGTTTATACATAAATGTATTATACTTCTAAGACAGCTTCTCTTTTTCGGGGGAAATAAAAGCATTTAAATGCTAGATTATTAAAAAAGTTAGGATACAACGAACTGTGTATAGCGTATGTGTGTTAAGCACGTGTCATGTGCTCGACCAAATCGAATCAACATATGCTTTCTGAAATTCTTCACCTAACCCCCCCCCCTCCATATAAACGTAAGATGTTTGAGTGAGTGCCCGTTTATTGTTTTATGCAAAACCAGTTGCTATCCATCTTTGTTTCGATGCATTGGTTTTCCTGTAAGTGAAGGGTAATAAATGCTCATTTTAACATTCATATGTGTTTGTAAATAATATATATGCTTTAAATCATATATTCTATCCTTTTAAATTATATAATTCAACTGATCTGCTCCGGTTACGTTCCCAGCTCCGGTTACGTTCCTAAGTAATATTTTTAAAACTTTTCTTTTAATTAAACAAATCAGAGTCGTGTGAATCAGAAATAACAGAATTATTCAATAGTATAAGGACTATTCTGTACTTTTTTCAAAAGTCTATACTAAAATGTTGTAAAAAGTTATAATCGAAAAACCATCTTTCGGAGTAAAGTCCGACTGCGCCGATTTCAATAACTTCGTACTTGATCAGAACTGGGTTCCAACAGAATTCCTACAAACTCATGAATGAAATAGCCATTGCATGGAATACTTACTTTTGTCAAAATCAAAGTAGAACTCTAGTTAAAAAATATATTGTGCTAAATTATTGCCATTTCTTAGTAAAATGTCGTTCTCCGGTACGTTGCCAAAATTATTCGATGGTACCCCGTGTATATATGCCAATGTCTTTTCAGAATATGAAGAATATAAACTTTATAAAGTGAACAGATTCAACGCTAGGCATCGCGATTGATGCAAATAAAAATACATAAGTCAAAGCAATGACCTACATTTAGCTACATTTAGTCATTTTGTACATGTGATCCTCCTTGCAATGTCTAACGTAAACTTTTAAATATTATTTATCACTGGATTATCCAGAGTTTGTAAAATATCAAAGAATATTCAAACCCAAATGTGTGAAACTAAATGTATAACATTGAATTTGGAGACCAATTTTACAAGTATAGTATATTATTCTAAATAGACGTGGTTTTATCAAATGGATTTTATATTGTATATCCATATTCGTTAAGCAGTTTGATTTTCGTGAATCTTAATAGCTTGAATTTAAGATGTCGAATAGCTTCAATTGACAAAAAATCGGCCAGGAAAACATTTAGTAATTACTGATATGGCGCTAGCGCTGTGTTTAATCAAGGGCGAACGTAATATAATATGGTTCGGTTTTTTACCGCATCCGATTTGAATTAGCCAATAACCCCATTGTCTAATGAAGACCAAACAAAGCCCCGGATGTCGTGTCGTTTCTCGTTTCGTTTGGTACACAACTAAGCCCCGGGTATTAAATAAGCCCTTGGTTTAATTAGCAAAATCTTACACTGATTGTCAAAAGTGCCATCTATATTAGTAGAGATAGTCGGGGTTTCAAGTGGGTTTTCAATACGTCATTCAGGCAACTGTCTATGGACCTTTGCAATTACATTTGAACATGTAATCCAATAAACAGATTATGCCCGTATTTCAATTTACAAGCATACGATTACAAACTTATATCAAAACATCTCTATTGTTGAGTTGCTTAGGACTGCTTTATGAGATGTGTTTTAAATGTTCCCTTTCTCTTTGTGTTTTAATAATATACAAATATTTCATACTCGTGAGGTGAATACCTGTTTATCTTTCAATGATTCTAGCAATTCACCGAAGCCAAAAGGGCCCGGGAATACACCTTGCAGAATCATTGAAGGTGCAACAGGTATTCACCAAAAATAGTATGAAACATTTATTTTATTTATTTTATTATTCACTGTTGTATTCACCACTCTCTAACTGTTTGGAATGCCTCATAAGAACAAAAATTATCAATTTTTCGTATCACTTTCAAATTAAAACTGGACGCCGCGTGAATTCGCCTTTTCCGACGTCACGGGCATGGCTGTTGAATACGTCTTCTTATCTTTATATCACGCGTAATGTATAGACCAATGAAAGAGTTGGGAATATGAGTGATATAGTTTTTGGTACTCAGCACAGTCGCTACATGTACATATTTGACAAAAATTGAATGTTTAACACTTTTGTAACGTGACGTTACAAATGTCACTACATTTAGCCTGATGTCGTGACATTCTCATATGTACACATTTCAAGATGCACTAACAAGTATGTTTAAGGTGACCTAAGTTACCAACGATTCTCAACAGTTTTGACGGACCCTTATAAATTAAATATTGATTTTATATTTCCCTCCGATAAAGATAATGTTCTTTAAAACAAATATTACTTTCAAAATACATGTTTTTTAAAATAAGCTCAGATATAACTTACCTCAGCTCTTGTTGCTAAGCAATAACAAATATTATAAAAAAGTAGTGTTTATTATAGAAAAGACGTGACGTATGTATGTGTATATCAATGATTATTAACACGTGTCCTTTGTTTAAATGGACGCGGCATCGCTCACGCGGGTCTGAATCAGACCTTGTTATTTGGGTGTAATGATCGATTGCTGTCACGACCGAATATTGATATATAAAGAAGTTTCGAAGACGTCTTGGTCAGATCATCTTTATAAAAAGGCAAACGCCAGACGAAACTTCAATCATCTGAGACCTTAAGGGACGGAAATACGTTGTGAACAGTAAAGGACTGTCTGAATTAAAAAAGGTACGTTATTCCTTCATATTTCCCTGAAGAAAACGGACAGTAGTATTTTGGAATAAATAGAGGTTTTTAATGGGAGGGGTGGAATGTGAGTTTTATTCCGAGATAAAATATTATATTAACCAAAAAAGATCAAATTGACTAAGGGCAACAGCCACAGTGTCAATGAAAACTTTTTCGAGGCCAATATCATATTTTCTCGAGGAAATAATCATATTCCATCACGACCATCAATAACCTATTTATTCCATAATAATCTTTTAAACCTTATTCATTTTTCATATTGTTTTTATTTGTCATCATCCAAAGAATAGGGGCATAAAAATACAATTTATTTTTACTTTTATTAACAAGTTTTAAAATAAAACTAAAAATATTAACATCTAGCTAAATCCCCGGGGATATTTCTAATGGGATCTGATACGGGATTTTGGCTGGTGCGGGATCCAATACGGGATTTTTTGAATGTCGATTATTTTCCCTGTTTATTTCCTAAGGAAAGCATGGTTTAATGAAACTTATGTAACCAACATTAACACAATATAACATCAGCACCACGTTACAATTTGATATTCAGTCACTTAGAAACATTTTTATTTTGCTTTTGCAGAACCCATCAAGATGCGAATTGCGGTAATTATATTGATTGCGACTTGTATCGCCGTCACGCAAGCACGTGGGCGTGGTCGACTCTTTAAATACAACAAACAAGAGATAGGTGGCCGACAAAAAACTCCATCGAATGGTAGGATGCCGGGCAAAGATATGGAACGTCCAGAACGACCCGATAGCGACACGAAATCTAGAAATCCCGGACGCAAATACAAGGATAGGGTCCGAGGGGACGATCGTATTGAGACAGATAGCACATACCAAACATCACACCAGCATCGTCCCGGTCATCGTACCGACACCGATAGTTCAGCCTCGAATGGAGATTCACGTCCATACCGACGAGGGTATCATCCACGTCCTCGCGGACACAAACGCCACAGCAGCGAATCTTCATCCGACAGCAGCGAATCTCGCGAAGATTCTGTTGAATCTGGCGATGCTGAAATTGAAAAACCAGATGTTAAACCAGAAGAACCCACAAGCGGAGAAGGGCCCATCGAAAGCGGTTCTGGTGACGTGATGGAAGAAGGCATGTTGCCTTAGACATTGCATAAACGGTCGTTATGATACCTAACTCTACTACTTTAAAGGCAGAATCAGTTCTTTAGGGGGTGACAAAATTACAAGCAACTTTTATGATTGACCTATCAATCTATTCCTTACAATATCAAATACAATATCTCCCAAAAGATTCACAATATGTTATAAATTGGTGAAGTTATTAAGGATTCAAAGTGCAAAAAATGGGTGGAAAATGTGGAAATTCTCCCAAATAATAAGAATGGTAACCATTCTTATAGAAAAATAATACATTATTGTAAAATTCTTTACTTTTCCTTGAATGAAGTATGTACTTGTGTGATTTTTAGAAAATAGACATGACAAGGAATGACACGAGCCAAAAATATTCTAAAATTGATACAATTTTTTGTTTAGCCTGCCTGCTATATCTGATTCTCTCTTTCAGCTGTATTAATTAAAATCTACTTTCTGTGTTATGAAAGATACACCTGTAATATACGTAAATCTACTTTCTGTGTTATGAAAGATACACCTGTAATATACGTACATCCTCGGTCAGTATATAGTGGCACTGGTTTTATACATGGTTTTCCATGACGACAGAAGATTTATATGCAATAAATGATATTCATAATTCCATGTTTTGTTTAAATATTATTAATCATTTTTTGAATTAGATATGTACAATACATAATTTCTTTAATCAACTAAGTTATACTCAATGGAACAGTTTGAAGTAATTGGAATCCCCGTTCGAGTGCTTTTCAAGAGGGTGTCCAAAACATTGTGCCGACACAAACATGCAATAACTCTGACGAATTACTCTTGAAATCCGAAAATGTAATTTAATCATAAACAGCAGGTACAAATAACGCCATTAAAAAACTTGTTTCTTTCAGTTCATTTCGTAATCATGTTTGCAACTGAGGGTTAAACTAATATTGACTTATATGGTCATGTATTCACAAGAACATATTCAATCACGATAAATGGCAATGTTTCAATTCTAAAATAAAATGAAACGCTGTATAATTCAGTCGTGTTACGACGTTATATGGTTATCAAGTCGAACAAAAACTACTTAAATTAGTTATAGTAATAAATATTGTAACTCTTTAATTTTGAAATACATTATTGATAAGTTGTGTAATCCTAACAAAATACAATAACTGAAATTTCGCGCTCGGTGATATTTCACTATGTCTCCTCAAACTTTTATCTATGAATACATCATGCACAACACAAATAATCACATGAAAAACCACTACTTCATCAAAGCCTATATTTCAACGAAGTTAAAAAATCACATTTGAAGCTTATTTATTCTATTGTATTGTAAAAACATTTAGCTATAAAATAGATGGCGATGCTGAATAATCAAACTGTGATTTGTTCCTACTAAATAGATGACAATGCTGAATAATCAAACTGTGATTTGATCCTACAAAATATATGGCAATGCTGAATAATCAAACTGTGATTTGATCCTACAAAATATATGGCAATGCTGAATAATCAAACTGTGATTTGATCCTACAAAATATATGGCAATGCTGAATAATCAAACTGTGATTTGATCCTACAAAATATATGGCAATGCTGAATAATCAAACTGTGTTTTGATCCTACTAAATAGTTGGCAATGCTGAATAATCAAACTGTGTTTTGATCCTACTAAATAGATGGCAATGCTGAATAATCAAACTGTGATTTGATCCTACAAAATATATGGCAATGCTGAATAATCAAACTGTGATTTGATCCTACAAAATATATGGCAATGCTGAATAATCAAACTGTGATTTGATCCTACAAAATATATGGCAATGCTGAATAATCAAACTGTGTTTTGATCCTACTAAATAGTTGGCAATGCTGAATAATCAAACTGTGTTTTGATCCTACAAAATATATGGCAATGCTGAATAATCAAACTGTGTTTTGATCCTACTAAATAGTTGGCAATGCTGAATAATCAAACTGTGATTTGATCCTACTAAATAGTTGGCAATGCTGATTAATCAAACTGTGATTTGATCCTACAAAATAGATGGCAATTCTAAATATTAAATCAAACTGTGATTTGATCCTACTAAATAGATGGCAATTCTAAATATTAAATCAAACTGTGATTTGATACTACTAAATAGATGGTAGTGACTACATGGTAATTTAAAAAGGTTTAAATGAAATTAACATTGCAGAACGAAAATATTCAATGTGCAACATGGATAATGTGGTGAGATATAGTTTTACTATACATTCTATGAACCATTTCCGATAAATTGCACACACGTTTAACTACATGTAGTACCAAGACTTAGAACACTAAATGCCATTAAAAAGAGCGAAATTCTGTTGTTATATTGTGTACACCTTATTAAACCACACTAGCCTTCAAAGTATACAGCATTGAATAAGTATCAAGTATCCGGATTGTCGTTTTTCATACAACTGACTATACAATTCATATTCATACTTAATTTTGTTGATTTATTAATGTTTCTATTTACTTAAATTAACGTTCGCTGTTTAAAGCAAATATTTAATATTTCTTTGAAATGCAAAGTGATCGTAAAGAATGCCTAGCAATTATATAATAAAACAAATATTACATTCTATGTTCGGGCAATAGCTGTTGCACTTTCAATTATTTTTTGCTGGAATGTATTGCCCTCTTCCCATAGGCTGCGGGCAAAACATGCTGCAATACCATTTAGAAATTAACAGGTATTGCCTTCCATAGAATAAAACATTTGCTGAATATTTCCACCTATTCCACGCAGCCATAAAATTTAGTATTTTGTATAAAATACAATGTTTGCATAGTATTACGAAGCTTGTAGTACTATTTGTAGTACTATATTTCAATTCCATATGCCCTACCCTCTGTGTTAATGTGTTTGTCCAAACGATATTTTGGAATAAAAACTAAATAAAAACGAATATGTCGAGAATAAATTGAAAGTAAAAAAGAATACGACGTATTTATTTTTTTCTTTGACACATGACTATTTATGAAGAAAACATGAAAGCATACGAGTGTTCCAATTATGCAGGGATGTTACGCACTGTGCATTAAACATGCACTTTGGAATATTTCGCAGTTACAGGTTTCACAAACTGTAAAATATATATCAGTTAATGAATGAAAGTGATGGCATTTGTCCAAGTTGTATACAGGTGTATAAGCTTAACCTGCGTTTAAAATATCAAAAAGTTAAAATGCTTCACCGATTAGCAAACAATGTTAAAAGTATATCTTAAGCTTTAACAACATATTTACCTACTAAATGAGTATACGCACTGAGTAAGAGTCTGCATTGAGTATAGTTGATTGCTATTTTGACACATGTTCTCTCTAATTTAGAATTTTAACAGCTATAAAAATTTACCCATGGGACATAACGAGGCATTCCTCCGAGTAAACGGGAGGGCGACAGTAACATTATATGCCCCGGTGACTATTTATATTAGATGAGATGCGTTGCATTCAAATGTCATGATCTAACAAAACTTGAAATATGATTATTTGTTTCCGTGCTGATCTTACATGTATGAACACTATTAACATTCCGACAAGAGGTCGGGCGACTCACAAATATACAAGGTTATCATATATAATGGATCGACAAAAACGCAACATTATGTAAAAGGAAATGATAATTCTAAACCATAAAGTATCTTAGGAATAACTAAAATCAATACTTTAAGAGAAGATGATGCACAACTGAGGGAATTTTATGCATTAAAAAAATTTGATTCCATCATCCGAATTGTCAAAGACTCACAACGATGTTAAGTAAACTCCCAATAGGATCTGCCATTCTTACCTTGTACTTGATCGTTGCTGGAATAGATGGGTAAGTGAAAGGAGGGTTAGGATCGTTTAAGTTTTTACTTTTTATTTTATAATAAAAAAGGCAAAATCCATTAATGTTCGTTAAATTTTGACCAAATCGTCTATATGATGGTGGGTAAACTCTCAATAGGATCTGCCATTCTTACCTTGTACTTGATCGTTGCTGGAATAGATGGGTAAGTGAAAGGGGTGTTTGGATCTTTTAAATTTTTACTTTTTTCTTAAATTAAAAATATGCAAAACCCATATATGTTCGGTAAATTTTGACCCCATCGTCTATATATTGGTTTGTACAAAAGATGAGCGTGGACGTAAGAGGGAGTTGGGTCAGCTACATTTTATAAACCTAACAAAATTTATTTCGTAACCATTTGTGTTTGGTTGTAAATGGAATTCCAGGCACGTTGTTTTTTTACCAAAATCCAGTAAATTTTATATGCTTAATCTCTAGAAATGATACTACATCTCACTTGATATTGTTTATACACGCCAAACAAACATTTCTTTTTACCTTTCATCCTTGCTTAATCATGAAAAGTATTCATTTACGCGAGCTTGTGTTCAATGTTGAAAAAACAAGATTATCTTTAAGTCTAAATCTGATATTCAGAGGAGTCTAACCAATGTACTTCATTCAAAAATTGTTTATTTTGGCGTTCAATATTTATATTGCGTTGTTTATTTTGATATTTCTAGTATGATTCGATTTGGTCTCCAAATGCCCAGCTATGGACTTGTGATATCGGGTTGCGGTAATGATATTTGCATTTATTGGGAGTTAAACGAGTTTTTCCCCTGTTTTTATACCCGCTGGTCCCAAAGAAATCCGTGAAGACTGGCTTCTAATGACTTAATCTATTTATTTAGCAAAAATGAGGAAACGTTCCAAAAAGTCGCTGCAGGTATACTGAGTGAAAATTTCAGCCAGATTGACTCAGAAACAAAACTTTTAGAGTATCTTTGCAGTTAATGAACGCCTTGTATATGCTTGTACCTTTTCCACCGTAACACATAGCTCACCTGTGTGCATTATTGTAGAGTTACCATTATCATCTGCTTTGGAAATCAGATTAAACTTAGTAGCCCCGTAGCCAGGGGAGTTGGGGGAGTGTAAGCCTTCCCCCTCCCCTGGCAAGAAATTATTTCAAAATCGTGCAGTTTCTCACCATTCTAAGCACTTTTCGCATGCATTTTTGGCAAAGGGATAAAAAGCTCCCCCCCCCATCTGTTGGCAAAAGCTCCCGCTTTGGTAAAACCTGACAAGGGACAAGCTTAGTATATCTGCACTTTGACGTTTTTGGAGTTTTTCTTGTGCTTCAAAACGCCATGTATTCATGTGTTAAGAACAGATGCTATCACACGCAGCTCTAAAATGGATTGTACTATTAAACGGTCGTAAAATCTATATGCTGTTTAAACAAGTTTTCAGGGTCAGTAGAAATATGTGAAAGAACAACAAAAAATCGAGAGTTTGATAACACATTCATATACCACGTGGAGTTGACAAAGTGTATATGTCACCACATAATACGATAGTATCAACATGTGAGATAAATACAAGTAATATACAATATATTTAGCGCTATTTTGAGCAACTTTATAATTTTGCGAATCGAAATGTTACTTGGATAGAGCAATTCTAATTAGTTGACATATACTCGGCAATTTAAGCGTGAACGCTTGTATTTGAAATAAAAGTCGACATATCAAATCGAATATTCCACATTTATTAGAATTGAGGAATATGCATGGCTTTGGTTTTTTCAAATATATTGCCGAGTATCCTTAACACGTGATACAGAATGCCATGAGAAAACATCTTAGAATACAATTCAAATATGCTGACAGGTTAGCTCGTCTTTAATCATTTCACCAACAACACTTTAAAGAGAGAATCAGAGATAGCGAGCAGCCTAACAAAAATTGATTCAATTTTAAAATATTTATGGCTTATGTCATTCCTTTTCGTGTCTATTTTCTAAATATCCCCAAAGTAGACACTTTATTTCAGGAAAACTAAAGATTTTTACAATAATGTGTTATTTTTCTATAAGAATGGTTACCATTCTTATTACAGGGTGTCCAAAAAAACAGGACCGTAAGAAAGTTGAATAACTCGGTCAATTTTGCATATTTTGCCTTGAAATTTTAGAATTATTTAGTTCATTCAATGTGAATTTTGTTCTGAATGTTTGATGATAATCTGTTTATTGTGTCAAAAACTACAGTACTTTACAAAACATGCTCAAAGTGGGCACTTCTCTCTATGCACAAACGAATCCTTCGAACAAAGTTGTTAATCACCCTGACCTATACATTGTTCAGAATGCAATGGATTTCATCAGGAGGATGTAAGCCCCAGTAGCCATTGTTTTTGGAACAAACTTGTCCATTCAGAAAGATATGTGTGTTGGAGGATCATCAACAACTTTGTTCGCCGGATTGAATTGTGCATAGAGTGGAGAGGTGCACATTTGGGGCATGTTTTGTAAGGAGCTGTAGTTTTTGACTTAATTGGTAGATTATTATCAAACTTTTACAACTAAATTCACATTGAATGAACTAAATAATTCTGAAATTTCAAGGCAAAATATGCAAAATTACTTTCTTACGGTCCTGTTTTTTTTTGGACACCCTGTATTTGGGAGAATTTAAACATTTTTCACCCATTTTTGCACCTTGAATCCATTATAACTTCACCAATTTATTATATATCAAAGATATTTTGGGGGATATTGTATTTTAGATTGTAAGGAACAGGTTGGTAGGTCAATTGAACATGTTCCTTGTAATTTTGTCACCCCCATATTCTGATTCTGCCTTTAATAAACATCCAAAATACCGTGAGATCGTTCGTGTTAATAAGTAGTTTACATTCTGATATATGTTGATATATGTTGCAAAAGATCAAAGACTAAATATAGAGTGTTCGCAAACCGATAGTACGAGTTTCCTCGTACATGTTCATCTAACAATGTTATGAAGACAAACCAGTATGAATTCTCGGGGATTCTCGGGGATAGTATTCTGTTATTAATAAACGAAATTTCTAAATTCATAGAATATACAGTAGTTAGTTAATCTTCACTTTTATCCCCTCACATGTCAAGCTACAGTTACCCAATAGTATACTCTTGATCATCCTACACACAACTTCACTCACCCATGTTTGCTTGAACGAACTGTTCCAAGGGTAATACTCCTTTTACTGCAACAAAGGATTACCAGATATAACCCTTACGCTAATTTGTCTTCCCCTCACCCAACCCCTACGCTAAACGATAACCATTACCATGAAGAATGCAATTTATAGATGCATAGCTAAAACCTGCAGATAACCCATTTCTTAATCGGTATATTTGTTAATGTTTGATAAAATTACTACTCAAAAATATTTTCATTTCTTTGGAAAAAACAGTTTTGCACTCAACACTTAATTATGAAATTAAATATTCCTCTAATATGTACAATTTTATATGGATAGTCGTTTTACCTTATACAAAAGGGATTTATATAAATATAATACACTACATAACATGATATAACATGTAGCAAATATCACGGTGCCCTACAGTTCACAACAATGTGGTACATTATGGTGCATTACACTATACTGTACTACACTGCACTGTTCTACATAAGATATAATACAGTACAGTACAATACAATATGCAATACAATGCATTACAATTTAGAACAGTATGGTACGGTACAGAACAGTGCAGTACAGTATACAATTGTTGACCTCTCCAGAGGTCAACCGCTAATTGACCAATCAGATGCGAGTATTTACACCGAGGTGCTAACAATACGATATGGTATGGCACGGTACAGTACAGTTATACTACAGCACAATACAATGCAGTATGGTATGGTAGGGTACGTTTCAATACGATACACAACAATACAGTCCAATACAGTACTGTGCAGTCATTACAATACGCTACAATACGACACGGAACGATACAGTTTTGACAACATGTTTTGACGATAATTTATCAATTTCATTTTCAGGAGCTGCAATAAAACCATCAACAAACACATTATAGGCCACGAGGACTGGTCGACGTGTACTTTCTATAGGGTGGATCATTGCATTGTCTGCAGGGGGTAAATATTGAAATAATTGATGTATTTTGTGATTACTGATGTAAACGCAACTTATGTAACATCAGTTTTGAATGAATTTACACATCAACATGTATAAATTGACACACTAATAATGTATGAATCGACACACCAATAGTTTATGAGTAACACACTGAAATTGATTGGACACACCAATCGTGTATGAATTGACATACGATAATCATGTTTATTTCCAGCCCTGCCTTTGAGAGGGAACTTGCAAAGAACATTTGGTGTGATACTATACCAACTGAGGATGGATTTGAAGAGAACATTAAAGGGCCAATTCCTTTAGGATATTACGCTTTGGGGAATCCCCCCGACGACATAAATGCTGATTTCTACGCCATCTATCCACAACGGGACGATGGAAATGGATTTTTGGATTACAAAATTCTAAATCCTGAAACGTCTAGAAAACATTTACTTTTGGGGAGTTCGAAAAACAGTCCATTGGCAGTAAAAATCCGATCATGTTGGAAACAGTTACAGCGTCAGCTTAACCTTGGTAGAATGATTCAAAAATTAGTAACAGTTTTAAAAATGGACGAAAACGAGGCAAATGACCAAGAGCGTTTTACGGATGCTATGATAAAAGGGCTCATGATTGTTGGCAATTGATCGCTTCAATTGATAAATGTACATTTTTCATTAGAATGTTGATGAAAAATGTCATTCCGCTCTATGTTGTCAAAGGTATGTTCATATCAAAGAGTTGGAACGTAGAGTAACATTTTCATATAGGCCTTTAGCACCTTTTAAGTATTTTTTAATTTGAAATTTTCATCAGCCTCTAGCGCAGGATTTGTTTTTAGATTTTCACATTTTGGAGACTTACTTTACTCAATTGTTCATATCATCATTCTGATGTTCTTACTCATCATTTTACCTCCGGTTAAAAGGTATCATTCAAAAGAGTTTTATGGTCATCGAGGAAACTGAAAAAGTGCATCTACGGTTGTTACTCTCGGAGTATACACAGAATTAAACGTATGGACTCCTTAAACAATTTCACTCATTTTTACCCATCACGTTTTTAATTTCACGTAAACAATTTAAGTGATCAATTATATTGACTCCTCGATGTTACTCTGTTTCCGTATGAAAATTGTATATTTTAACACAGTGATTATGAATTCAGTGGTACTTACATGGTATTCAAGGAGGAGTGCGACCCCCCTCCCATCCCCTTGAGGCAATCCCCTGGGATTTTGTACATGATGCTGAGAAAGGGGGGAGTCGGAAGAAGGAAAACCAAGTGCAAGCTATATTTGTTTAGCTTTACACTTACCCCATTGGAAAAAATCCTGCAGTCAATTGGACCTACTGAATATTAAAAAGTGCAATAAAAATGAGTAATGTAAGTGTACCGTGAAATGAAGAGATAACATGTTTAAGGAAGGCAGTGTATAATTGATTTAGACATTCAACATGTACATGTACATAGTAACACGAAATATACCCGAACGATAGGCATACCTTAAGGATGCTCAATGCGATTGCCACGTCTACCTTTACCATAATTTATTGAAAAATAAAACTAAACTAATATAAAAACATAATCTTTGACTGTATTTATTATTAAATATCTGTAGATCGTTTTACCAAACCTTTCAAATAAAATTTATTTATTTTACACATTTTTTGTTATCAATGAATTCAGTTTTTGAGACAATTAGAATATCCGTGAAGTCATTGAATTAAATTTACAGTATTTTACAGCAATATACAATATATTACAGCAATTACATTGAACTGGTCTTAAAGGAAATGTCTTTGTGTTTGATAAATTGAATTTATCCATAGAGATATGGTGCTAATTATGTTAGTTTTTTTTATTGAGACATTGTGATTTTCACATAAATATGACACAGATGAACTTTTACTTGAATTTAGAACATTTTTTACTAACTCTCACTAAGATAATACAAAGTAGTTCACTGAAATAATATATAAGCAAAAGCGACAACATGGTAATTTTTATTGAGATCTAATGATTAATACTTGAAATATTAGATGTATGTTTTTTGAATTGAGAGCGTTTACGCCTCTGTTCGACGAACGTTCAAATATAAAAATATGTAATTCATCGTTTTCGGGAGGTTTTGGACGTGGGGCTCATCCAGAGGGAGATATGCATATCTACCTGCGGGACCGTAGGATAAAGTTGGTTACCCCTGATGAAAATAAGAAAAGGCTTTTATGCGTATTGTATACAATTATTGACCTCTCCAGAGGTTTACTGTCAAACTATATCCCGAGACTGTAAACCGAGACCGTAGGTCGAGGTTTACAGCCGAGGGATATAATTTTGACAGTAAACCGAATGGAGAGGTCTATAATTGTTTTGTTAGTCCGAAGAATATGTTAGATTTTTCTGACCCTTGAAGTTGACTTGAAGTTGGATCCAGACCCTCGAGACGGTCTATCTGCCACGGCAGTAAGTTCACTCAATGGAGTCAAATTACTCTCCTGGGCGAAGTCCACTAAAAGCTTTGTACAACGTTTTAGATTTTTCTTCGTATTTTGACTGTCTTTACTCTCTAAGAGACTAATAATATCCTCATCTTCAACAATTTTGAAACGGCTAGTGCTAGCGGCGGCCATTTTATCGTCTGATAATGACGTCATTTTAGTAGAATGCTGGGAATATTATTCACCGGCAATGCATTGCGCGGTGTACAGTTGAAATTATTCACCGCTCGTTGACCAATCAAAATCGAGTATTTCAACTGAGGTACTAACAATAAGAGTTGCACATTGTCGAAAAATCTAAAAGAATGTTGAAAGTTTCCAAACATTCAAAGATATCATTGATTTCAAAGACAAGAAAAAGATATTAAAGGGACTCGATGCGTATTTAGAACATTCTTTGCCAAAATGAAGACTTGCTCCTGATATTTATTGTATTTCAAATGGATTGATAAGTACTTGGACACAAAAAAACAGCTCAAACTGACCACATCTCTCATAGTTTGCAATGAATTATCAAAACAATATTTTCAATCCGTCAATGTTTATTGTCAAGTTTTTAGCAATGTCAATGAAAGATGTCGTTGTTTTCATTACACGTTTCATTCAATTTTGATTGCCAAACATACGCCATCTTTTCAACCATTGTAAAACAATATGAGACATTTGGGACAAAACCTAAAATATCCAATATACCTCATGAACTTCGAGAATTACTACACTTCTGTCATTGAATACATAGAGATTATCGGTTCAGGATATTGGGATTATCCCGAGGCCAATATAATATATCTGCCCAAGGGCCGTGACACCATGAATTAATCAAACAAACCATATGGAATAACAAACAATTTCTCTTAAAAGGCAAACCAGTTTTCTTTAAATATTGGATAGTTAGTGATATTATATACATGTATAAATACTTATCTCTTACATTGGACATTTTTTCCAAAAGTCAGGAGAAAACTGCTCAACCGCCCGACCTCGGCCTCGGCTCACATTACGTTTCCATTAATATTATAAGTATTTTCATCGCAGGTTTAGTAAATAAAAATTCAAACGTAAAGAGGCTTTAACACGTAGTTCAATGGGGGAGCTAAGGTTGCCAAACGTATGGAGGGGAGTGTAAATAGGTCTATTGTGTATAATCGTTTATAAAGGTGTGACATACACACAACACCATAGATAGAACGACACGGGCGATATTGGGAACAACCAGTGAAACGTATTTCTTTGTAATTCGATGTCAGAAACATGCAGCTTGAAAAATGCGTAGCTGTGACGCTTGCCGTTTTGCTTCTTGGTTGGAATTCCGTATTGGGTAATTTTACAGGTATGTTTTTGGACTTGCCACTGATTTACTTTTGGATATGCGATTTCTTAAATCGTCACTTTGCCAATATTAACTCGAAAGATTCTTAACCTCATATTTTATAATATTTAAAGGACCGCGAGTTGTTTGTAGAATGAATCTGGGAAGCTTTTTCATGCATTTCGCTTGTTTTTTTCATCTAAAAAACGTCAATACACTTTAAAACTTTTTAATGACTATACGATTGTACCATATAATCCTAAAAATATTTCTCATTTTAAAGGATTATCTATGGATTAACATCCAGGTATTGTTAATTTTCAGACTTCAGAGGGCTGGGAATCATTATAACGATCGTTTTTGAATAATATTGAGCTGTTTTAAACAGGTTTCATGTATGCAAATAGTATCTCAAATTGTGTAAATGGTACCCACCCCTTCCTTAATCCCAAGAATTTGGGATAACAGGAAAGTTAATCATTAATACATACCTCTTTGGCTTATGATGTAAACCAAAACAACCCAATAAGGCGTGTATTAATGATAAACTTTCCTGTTATCTCAAAATCTGCTTGGAACTATACCATTGGATTACTTTGGGAAATTCCTCACCAGCCCTGACACAGAAAATAATCCAGGGGTGGAAGTAAACAAGCATTTATCTTTAACATGACTTAAATTACTGTCCGAGTTGTACGAAAAAAGTGAAAATAGAAATACAGCAAACAAAGCAGAAACGTCCAATTGAGCTACAGCGTGACGCAAAATTTGTGGGTGGTATGTTTGTGTCATCCTTAACATAGAGTGGGCTTACCCGGATCAAAGTCAAAGTCGGATTGATAATTTCATAATCCCGGGATCACTTGGAGGAAAACATAACTATTATTTTCAGTATTTATAAAAAAGGAAAATACAGTAGTTATGGTAATGGTATTAACCAGATCAAGTTGCTAATTCGCAGTTATTGTTTCTTTTTAACATTTCTCAAGAATTTTGTTATTTTATATGTGAGCTCAATCAAGTACAATACTGACCTTCCTTTCCACAAATAAGAAATAAAATCTTGGAGTTTTTTTTTTCATGTACAGGCAGAATCTTGATGCTTTATCAGTGTTTCTTCATCTTTTTTAACGCCTTGTGATGCAAATTATATTCCATTTATATGTCTGAAAATAATTTTTGCAATATACTGAAAACCCTGTCTCGTGTGTTTTTCTGACAGAGTGAATAATATGTCAAGATGGTACTCTAAATTGTGGCATGAACAATATGAGTGTAAAATTGTTGCTTCGAATATTAGTATCATTTTGGAATATGTATATTTTAAACAGACTCCTGAAGTTTGTTTACTTGTATTTATTAAGAGCATCTGAAGGTTTATCTACCCCATTTGAGGTTTAAGTACTTTAAAAGCGATTCTTGGGAAACCCGTGAAAATTTTATAGCTCGGGATGTTAAGCTACCAACTACCAGAGTGAAGTAATGACGATTAATCAAATATAACCATATATGGTCTTATTTTAAAGACCATCACGCTCTTTCATTTTAAATACAATTCAGGAAAAATTGAAAAGTCGGTTTAATTCAATAAGTGCCAACGCAACTGACGCAAACCCCGGCAAATCTAATGCCCCTCTTGTCAGTGAGTAGGATATTAGATATCATTTTACAAAGATAATGATGAAATAAAATACAACTTAATGCTTTGATTATAAAGTATCCTCATATAAAAAACAATAGACATACATAACCAGTTTTAACTTCTCATAAATAGTTGATTAATGGTTTATTGTACAAAGCAAGATCGATTGTTTTCCTGTCTTTCCTGTCCGTGTATTATATTCCACTAAACAATGGAGTCTCATTTTTAATATTTTACTCATCGCAGCTATTGTGTTCATTTTTTTACAAATTGGTCATCACTTATTTGAGGTAATAAGTGTTCATTATGCTAGCCTTTGGTAATAATAATACCTTATTTTGTAATTATAAATGCATATTGAGGAATCGATGGACACCTACATATAACAAGTTTTAACATCCTACAAACAGTTTATTATTGCTTTAATGTACAAAGCAAGATTGGTTGTTTTCTTGTTGATTCCACTGAACAATAGAGTCCAATTTCTAATATTTCACAAGTGGCAGCTATTGTGTTTTATAACAAGCGTTTTATAATAGGTCATCACTTGGTTGTGGTCATTAGTATTATTGAAAGAGTTCTGGGAAATGTCGTCGCTTCTTTAAGCCTACTTTCTCTTGAAATAGAATCAGAGGAAATATTCATAACTCTTTTTAATCCAATGATTCCAAGCTTTTGGAATTTCTTCAATATTGTCTCACTGTACGATAATAATTTTCTCAGTAGAGTAAAGGTGAAGTACATAGTGTTACATACATAAATATGACAACACAATATATCATGAGTCTCAATTTTTGCTTTTAGATCCGACCACAACTCCCGTTGAAGATGATAGTCCAACAACTGGTGTCGATCCTCGAACAATGGTGTTAACGAACAAAGAAGAGACTGGAGTTCCTACACCAAGCGCGACGCCACTCCCTAATGTCACTCATGGTAGCCTCCATACATCCAGCTTTACAAATGTAACAACCAGAAAACAAGAGGAGGATGTAGAACTGGACGACATGACTTTATATGTTAATTTCAACTTCTATTTCAATTTTCTGGTCCAAACATTGGTGCGTATTTTCGGTATCATTGGTAACATTTTCAACATGCTCATTCTTAGTAAGCCTGCTTTTCAAACGTCAAGCAGTCATAACATTTTGCTTCTTTCGCTAGCTGTTGCAGACATAGGGAACTTAATCATCGGTTTACCCTTTAATATATGGAACATTGAAAATTCCATGTTCTTCAATAAGCCGATTTCCTTTGAGTGGCAGGTTTACATATATTACGTCCTATTCACGATCAGCTACATGTTCATCTCCGCTGGAAATTGGACCACGACGGCGATCAGCATTCACCGCTACATTGCCGTCTGTATGCCGTTGAAATGCAATGAGTTGTGCTCGAACAAACGTACCCGTATAATCACCGCGGTTATTTGGTTGATTTCTATCGTTGTCTTCACCGAGAACTACCTTAACTACAGCGTCGATTACATTCTTGATGGTAATTCCACACGTGCAGTGTTCGTAAAAGGCATTCTTCGTTGGCCGCTATATGACATCATCACCAACAACGTCCAGATTGCCTTCTGTTCCTATATACCTTGGTTCATTTCCTTTTGTGTCATTATCCGCATCGGGGTAGAGCTTAAGTGCAAGAGGAAGGACGATGTGATGAGAACAAACCAGGAACGTGGCAGTCAAGAGACGCGCATCACGGCCATGTTGACCTCTATAGTTTTCGTATACCTTTTGTGCAGTATCCCAACGAGTGTTCGTTATATCGTTCGCACCATCATGACCATTCCCGTCTATTACAGCAAAGGGATCGATTACCAGGTGTTCGACGGCTTCGCTAACTTTTGTATTGCTTTTAACAGCGCCATCAACATTGTCTTGTACTCAGCTACAAACCCCAGATATCGCAACGCCTTTGTCGAAATCATATGCCCCTGTTCTGGCAACACTAACGCGGACAACAAAAATAGTGGACCGAATCGGAAAGGTAATGCTGCGATGTGCATTAACCAGGACCTCTCTGCAAGCAGTAAATCGGTTGCAAGTTATGTTGGAACTTCGTCAACCGTTCTTTCATCCGATGCTCTTAGCACAAATGGACATATCTAGCTCAGTCTAGTTAACACTTACTTTTTAGAGCTAGCCGCAAAGGTCCATGTGATTTTAAACAGTCATATCAGTAGTATTATCCGTAGGAATGAGGCCCGGGAAAGTCAGGCAAATGGGAAAGTCAGGCAAATGGGACCAATCTGAAGCAATCAGGGCCAATCTGAGCCAATCAGGGTCAATCTGGGACATTCTGGGACAATCTGACGCAATCATGGGCACTCAGGGACAATCAGGGAGCGATACGGGAGCCGGCGACCAATAGGCTGGCTCGAACCGATAACGTTTACTTCGTTTAAAGATAACAAATTCCACCATCTGAAGATAACAAATTCCACCATCTGAAGATAACAAATTCCACCATCTGAAGATAACAAATTCCACCATCTGAAGATAACAAATTTCACCATTTATGATTTTTTCAACATTTTAAAGATAAGGTGATATACTATATAATGGCTGAGTTTTAGACAGGTCTGCCTAATCACGTCATCTGCAGCAGAAAAAAATAGGTAAGTTGAACTTTTTAAAAAAACAACTTAAGGTGCTATTCTAGGCCCGCATTAAGGGATATGAAAATTGGATGGGAAGCTGAGGAGCTAAGACATCCGCCCTACTGAGCTATGTAGAGCCATTGATGAATACGACTGTTAACCACCCGCTTATATACTGATTAGGAGCTACTTGGGCTGGAGAATATGTCACTGATTAAGGAGACTGAAATGCGATCGAGTCTCGAAACACGAGTCCAAAAATGTTTTTAACCCAAAATTAGAAGGACCGAAAATTAAAATCCGTTCGTCCGTTTAACATGGCAAATCCCATTGGCGCTGGGAAACGTCAGAAATTAGGGGGACCAAAAATATGTTACGGTCGAATTAGGGTACTCAAAAGCTATTTCAGACCAGCATTTAGAGATCGAAAAGCATGTGTGTGAGAAGTCTCCACGTCTATGGCATACAGATGAACTTAGTTGTTTAAAGGAGCCGAGCTCCTTTAAACAACTCGCGTACCGTACAGAATCCGAGCTGTATACTAGAGTATGCCCCCAGTAAGCAGCAGCATGATCGGGGAGAAACAAAATGACACACTTTATTTAGCCAGTTTTAAAGATAGCAAATTCCTCCATTTTAAGATAACATTTTTCATCATTAGAGATAAAATGGATCCAAAGTCCTCGGTTTTTCAACATTTTATAGATAAGGCGATATACTATATTATGGGTTGACAGGTCTAACTCGCCTAATCACGTCATCTGCAACAGAAAAACAGTTAAGTCGATTCTCAAATGCAATTTCAGACTTGTTTTTACTAATCTAGATCCAGAAACATTCTTTATACAGTCAATGAGGTCTTTATTCGTATCTTTAGTCCCGATCGTTTATCCTTCAAGCTGACACATCTGTTGGCACGCTACAAGATAGCAGTAAACAGTCATTATAATCCGATATATTTGGTAGTTTACTTTGTAAAGATGCTTCCTCTAGGTATGCCTCTGCTAGGTTTAGTCTTTATAGTCCCATAACCATGTACCTGCAAAGAAGATCAATTTATTTTGAGTAGGAATAAACACGCCTTGCCTCTATTTCGCATGGAACATAAACTATGGTCTCTAAATATCAGGCTAAAAATATTTTTCACCTACATTAGGAGACTTGAATGCAAACGAGTCTCGAAATACCAGCCTCAAAATAGTTTATTACCTAGGAGACCACAAAAATAAAATCCATACGTTTAACATGGGAAATCCCATTAAAACTCAAAAATATCAGAAATTAGAGGACCAAAACTACTTCTTCACCTAAATTAGGAGACTGGAATGCAAACGAGTCATGAAATACCAGCCTAAAAATATTCTTGACCGATATTTAGGAGACCGAAATTTAAAATCCGTACGTCTGTATAACCTGGGGAATCCCATTGAAATTCAGAAATATCAGAAATTAGAGGACCAAAAATAGTTTTTCACCTAAATTAGGAGACTGGAATGCAAATGAGTCTCGAAATAATAGCCTCAAAAATATTTTTAAACTGAATTAGGTGGCCCAAAATTAAAACCCATGTGTCTGTTGAACAAAGGAATCCCCATTGAAACTCGAAAGCATCTGAAATTAGAGGACCAAAGATATGTCACACTTTAATTAGAATTCTCAAAGCTAATTCAGACCTGTATTTCGATCAAGAAACATTCTAAGTTGAGTTGACAGTGCCATGTTCGTCTGCTCTGTGAGATCCCTTCAGTCAGCAGCGAGACTTCTGAAACATATAATTTAGCTCGTGTTTTCCGCGTTTCTGCTAAAATGTACTGATCTGATTTTCAAGAGTATGTTCCCACAATTCAAAAAACAACTCTCACCTCCTTGAATGTGTTCCCATAGTAGTCAACTGCCATAACTCCCACTTCTTGAAAATCCATAGCCATTATATGTGTACATTGTCATGATATATAATTCATAAAATGGTTTCTTTTAGTCACTTCTCAAGAGTGTAAACGCTTTTAGCAACAGTTTGCCTTGGACTTTGATATCAATTACTCATACTAGCTATATATCGACTGTATATTCTCGACTGTATATCAGTTGACCCTCTTGAGATAACACATACCCGTGCTCACTTTTAACCGCGCTTATAGAATATGAATAATTAAAGTGGTAATACAGTTTCAAAAAGCAGGTTAGGGTTTCCTTTTAGCTTTAAATTGTAATTGTCAAAGGTCTTTGAAACTTTAAGGTCCAAAACAATCAAATTGAAACATTATTTCTCGAGTTACTGCTTAATGAAATAAATCAAAGTAAGTAAAATTGTAGCAGTCCCAACTCGTCTCAAGTCTTTATGACCCCTTTAATTGTAATGTTCTCTGAAATCATTTTCTTATATACAGGGTGACACAACATCATCTAACGGATTAGTAACATACAGGGTGAGTTATAAAATGGTAACCAAAACAATTATCTGAGAATATTCCTATGAAGAAAACAGTAACATTGATTTAAGTAATATAGTGAACGTAAAAACTAGTGGGGGGGACTTTAGTAGCATAAAACGAGACACTTCGTCCAAATAGCACTCATTTACATTGAACCATAGGATGGATACGGACCATTATTTACACGTGGACAGTAGGGATTCCCGAGAATATTTCCCATTTAACACCAGTGAGCATTTTACAGTGAAATTACCTAGTTATTTAAACCTAGAAGGATATTGGAAAATAGGACTCTTGCAAATAGGACTTCCTGCATTGGTAGACCAACCAAGTGTAGCCTACCTGGATGTGTTCTGCGATTTGATGGATGAAAGCTTGGTCAATGGAAGAAAACAGTCCATCTTAAGGAGGATAGAGGCAGCAGAGGGTTGGCGATACTTCAATCCAGTGCTCTACACCTCCGTGAAATTCAATCAATTTGATAGAATTCATTTCTATATAAGAGGAAGTGACAACCAATCTGTCTCATTTAACAACCAGAGACTGACTTGTACAATACACTTAAAAAGAGTGATTTAGAAGAATGCCTAAGCTAGTACCTTATATAGATAACACCAACTAGCCTTGCCCCAAGTCGGTATTTTTTACTTTATCTGATCTTGAATTATTACCGCCTTGTGTAATCCGATACATCTCCACTGTTATTATGATAAATTATGCACCAACTATTACGCGTGCCCTATAGCATTAGCCAATAGCGGTAGTCATACACAAAAATCAATAAATAAATCCACGTGTTCGCCATGCGGTTGTGAAGTTATTTGCGGCATGCCTGCAGTCTGCAAATCCAGGCATCTCCCTTACAAATAAAACGCATTCACCAGAACCATAATAACTTTTCATTATCCTTTTCACAGCATAACTATAAGTTACCTAACCTAAATATGTGAACTGATCAGTCATCAACTTTCTGATATAAAATCGGTTCACTACATTCAAATTACTTTCAATTATATTTAGCAAATAAAACGTTTATCGATTTTGCGAGGGTCATTTTCAGTTTTGCTAGCTGATGAAAGTAAAGCGAGGTAGGACTTCCCACAATGCCACTATCAAAGGTTCCAATACTAAATTGCTGATTGGAGCAAAATCAACAACTGTATTACCTCGTGTGTTTGTAACCTAAATTTAGACATTGAAAGATCGCGTGCTATTGGTCAAAATCACCGACATAAACAAACTGTCGGTAAAGCACGTGGCTTTCTCTTTGGTACAAGGCGGTCATAATAGAAATCAAGATAGTAAAAGAGAGGCAAGGGCAAGGCTAAACACCAACAAGTGGCAGCAATTGTTGAAATCTGATAGAGAGGTGGGAATCATCACTCAAATTGGACGTGGAAAACACAGAAATAGGTGGATTTCTGTTGACATCATTAAGAAACCAGTCACTGTTATATCTCCAACTGAGGCTGTAGTGGAAAGAGCACAGGCGGAAATAGAACGTCAAAGATCGATATATAAGGGAAAACGACAGGCTAGTGATCCAGTAGTTAACAAAGCACCCAAGAGTAAACGCACGAGGACAACTGAGGAGTATAAAATATGGCATTCAAAATAGATGGCTCTAGTGGAGACATTTTGGATGGTAGCCTCAACTTGTTCGAGACACCCAGCACTCAAAGCAGTGTGACAACAGTCAACTTCGTGGAAATTCGCCCTGTGAACCCCTTGTCACGTGGAACGCCAGTGGAGTTTGTTATCCCAAACAACTCTTCTCAGTTCATCAATCTGAAGGACGTCAAGCTCTTTTTAAAATTGAAGATCACCAAGAGTGATGGATCGAATTTGGATATATCTCCCTCTCTATCAAACGTAGCACCAGTAACTGGATGGATGCATGCCTTATGGCAGCGAGTAGAAGTCATGCTGCAGCACCAAGTGGTTAGCTCCTCCAGCAATTATTACCCCTATAAGGCTCATCTAAACAGACTTCTGACACAGTCACCAGCGGCTCATAACTCGAGATTGCAAAACGAATTTTTCTACAAGGACGAAGGGACTATTCAGAATTCAGCTTTCATAGATGATAGCAATACCATATCTGGGAACAACACAGGGTTAAAGAGGAG